GGGAAACTGGCGAGGAGGAAGATGGGAAGATGGAAGACGCTTTCACACCTAGAAGGGGAGGGAGGATAAAAAACAAAAGAGTAAAAAAACGAAAAAACGAAAAAAAAAACGAAACGGACTAGGAGGAAAGGAAGTGCGTCGTGAAAGGCTGGCGTGGAGATGACGATGGGCGAGGCGGTCGGTCGGGGGAGGAGGAGCTTTTGGACGGACAGGGAGGGAGGGAGAAGCAAGTTGCAACGATCAGACGTGGTTCATTTGCGGGCTGCAGGGAGACAACGTTGGGGCAGTGAGGGCCATCGAGACGAGGGGAGGCATTGGACAGAAACACGACGAGGAGGAGACAGCGAGCAGCGACAGTCAGTCAGTCAGTCAGTGGTGACGATGAGAGATGGAGACCAGGGGAGAAGAGGGGGAAGGGCAGGTCCAGTTCCTTCTCGGGGACGTGCGGCAATTCGAATTACTGACATTGCTTTAATTTACAGTCTTTTTTACTAGGTACTTTGTAGAGTAAGTTCTATCTTCTAGTTATTCAGTTAACTAGTAGGTATGTTTAGTATATAGAGAAAGTACTCCGTATTATGGGTTTCTTAATACTAGATAATAAGGCTGTGGCAAAACTGAGACGTTGAGAGCTAACACTAGACATTTTTCCTATAAGTATTAATATAAAAGGTATTAATATTAATACTTATAATCTGGTTAGTTATACTTAATAATAAAAATAAGTAGTTCACTAGCATGAAGTCTAGGAGTTATAGTGAAATTAGAATACTATATAATACTGTACTGTTACCTTCTACTATCTAGAACTGTCTGATGTCATATATCGCAGATTCTAACCCATAATAAAGATAAAAGGCATGAATGGATTATTATTGTTAATTAATTATTATAAATTCTCTTTGATGAATTGAAGATCCTCCTTTATATAGTAAAGATAGAATAGATAGGTCTTTCATCATGTATACTGTCCTATAACTGGAGACAACTGTAGGTCACTAAGAGTGATTTCTGTCCACATTCAAGTGTCCAGCATTCTTGAACAAAGTCAACAACGTTGCGGAGTTGCGGTCTGAAGGAGGGGCGTGTCGACTCCTTACAGAGTCCAGCAGGTGTAGCAGGTGCAGCAGCAAGAATATGAGGGAAAAAAAAGCTTTAAGTCTCTCGCAAAGATTTGACTAGTGACTTGGAGGGTTAAAATTGGGCGTCTTCAATTGTACGGAGGAGAATCTAGTGATTTCTAGCTTTTATCCGAAAATAAAAAAAAGGCTTATCAACATGCCCAGTATTAAATCGGTTAGGAGAAGAGAAACAACAGGGAAGAAATCAAAGAAAAGCGATGCAATTCATACCATCCCGCCCTCGCGCAAAATGCATTGGTAGAACAAGACACACAGAGACTAGTAGGACAGGCAAAAGCGTCCGTCACCAGCTCAACGAAACCCTTCAAAACGCCGAGGGAGATAAAAAAGAAACACCACGGGCCTGCGTAGTAAAATCGCTGCGCCACACTCATATCGAGAGATCAATAGTAACAGTCGAAGATTAATGGAACGAACGAGAGTGTAGATCGGATTTGGCCAAAGAAAGATAAAAGAGGAAGGGGTGGTGGTTGATATCAATCCAGTCGGTCCTCCTTCACATCCTTCGAATACGCCTTTTGTACATGGCGAGACCCGCGGCCGTCCAACTCCAGCATGAAGAGGATGTCTCGCACCTGGATCCCAGAACCCTTTTCCCTGTCTTCCCGCCAGACACCCAGTTTCTTCACTGCCATTGTGCTCGAGTCGCCCCCCTTGGCGGCCGGTTTGTCTGTCCCCGGAACCGGCGTGGCCGTCTGGGCGCGCGACGGGGTCGAGAAGCCGCTGCTGCTGCCACCGGGCGGCCGGGGGTTTAGCCACGAGTACGTCTTCTTGCTGCCGAACATACGGCCGGAAAGCATGCTGTTGGTGGCCATGCGCGCCGTTTCAACCGACTGCTGATGCTGCTGCGCCTCGCTGGCTCGCGCATCCATGAGTTTCTTCGCTTCCTTCTTGGTCATGCCCTTCTTATCAATCACCGGGGCCTTTTCTCCCATCGGAGTCGATGGGGTGGAAGGCGGAATGTCCATCGTGTCCGGTCGACTGCCAGTGCTCTCGCCCAAAATCGCGCTGGTATTGCGTTTGGTACGTTTCGCGGTCCGCATCTCCTCGGCCAATTGGTCCTGTTCTATCAGCATGCGGCACCGCGCAGAAAGACTCTTGGCTGAGCTGGATTCCATCGCAGAGCGGGGCCCTAGAATAATAACATTAGTTCTTGTGATGTCCAACATTTCGTCAAAACGCCAGCAGAAAAAAAAAAAACAAAAAAACAAAAGCCATACGTTTTAGCGGAGTGGTGTAAGCAGGGTCGCCACCCGCAGCAGCAGCGCCGGAAGATGCAGCAGCGAGGTCAGTCCATTCCACGGGCACCAATCCGTGCGAGTGAGTGCGGCGGGTCCTTGACAGGGTCGATGAGTAGTCAATGACAGAGCGGAGGCGTTCTTCGCAAGATATCGACAACAGATTCAAGATGTCGACCAGAGGTGCACCTTCTTGGTTCAGAATCGTCTGGCCGGTTCGTACGATCGACGAACCATCCGGGCCGGTGACTTCGATTGGCTGCGGCCGTCCTGGAACAGGATGGAAAAGCCCCTCGGCAGGTATGCGAACGCCCAACTCGAACCCGCGTCGCTGTAATCGCTGTTCGAGAACTTTGGCGAAAAGGAAAGGCTCCTGTAGGTGGTACTGAGCACGTCTTGCCGCCTCTGTGTCCTCTCGTGTGGGCTGGTTTGGGTCCTTGAACGGTACATGCGGCTGGGCAGCTGGTTCTCTGTAAAACGAGTCCTGCGAGGGCTGAGGTTTGATCAGCGACGGATCCGTGAAGCTTGTCGCCGTCGAGACCGTTCCGCCCGAGGAGATTTGCGAGCCGAAGGAGGTGTTGATGGGTGGTGGTTGCTGCGGGCGGGGTGGTTGCTGGACTTGCACTCCTGGCGCTGAGTAGCTGCTAGTCAAGAAGGCCTCTTCTTCCCTGACATCAATCCCGGACGACGCCAACACATCAGTCAACTCTGCCGCATCCGTTGCTTTATCCACAGGGCGGGACGGAGGTCCCATGACACCAGGAGGCGGCGCTTGGCCGGGAGGGGGAGGAGGGGCAGGCGTGGGAGGAGTGGTGCCGTTGATGGGCGTGCCGTTCATGGACGGCGACGGGTTCGGCGGGAGCTGCATCGTTGCAAAGTTGGGAGACGCATAAGGCGACTGATTCTGCTGCGGCAACGGAGAGAGACGAGGTCTTTTAGGTGGCGGGATGCCCCCATTCACTGGGGACCCGGCACCAGGTGACGGGGAGGACACGGGAGGCGAGAAAGGCTGGGAGGAGTACTGCTGGGGCTGCGTCTGCGCCATGTTGGCGGTCGTGTCGCTTGCGTAGTGTGGGAAAGTAAGAGTTTTCGGCGCGCAAAAGACTTGCTGCTATTACTCTCGACCGAGTAAGTAGCACTGAGGAACTGCCCGCGCGTGGAGTGAAGAGTGAGCGGATTGCTCAAACCGCCTGCTGCCACCAACGTAAACCATCTCAGAGCGCCGTGTAGAACATCAAGGGCTGTGCCGCTGCGATTCTCAATGCCCCTAAGGCGGAACTGGCGACAACTCGTGGCGTGCTGCTGGTCTCCCTCGCGGTCGGAAGGGGAGCGTTCAGTCTTTGACGACGTCTCGTTGCCGGACTTGAAGAAGGCCAAGAAAGCGCGCCGAGCATCCTGGTCACGTGATTATATAGCTTACATCAGCATTTCCGCGCGGCTGCTCGCTCGAGGTTGTCTCAGGCCAGGCGAGGAGGAGTTGCTGCCATCACCACCGAGTCGCTGCATTTGCGAAGCTGCTGGATCGCCTAGATACGTGGTTGGTGCTGAGTTGCGCATGGAGTTGCCCCTAGTATGGTGAAGGGAGCCTGTGGAAACTGAGAAACGCGGGATACGTTTTGATCTCGCAGGGTTTCTCTAGGTTTGCTGCAGCGTGTATACACTGTTCCGGGGCAAACAAGTCTTACGTGTTACTTATCCTGCGAGGGAAAACACATTCAGAATGGCGAGTAAGCGCAAAGCGTCGGCAATGGCCGCGGCAGTGGATGAACAGCCCGTCGATCCCTCGGACGAGCTGGCGTTCTACTGCCTCGGTGGAGGCAACGAGGTCGGGCGGTCGTGTCACATCATTCAGTACAAGGGAAAGACGGTAATGGTGAGTTTTAGTTGCCATTGAGATGGCGGCGAGGAAGCCTCTTGGATCGAATGATGTGCTGATTCTTTGACGCAATCTAGTTGGATGCCGGTATGCACCCTGCAAAGGAAGGCTTCTCGGCGCTGCCCTTCTTCGACGAGTTTGATCTCAGCACGGTGGATATTCTCCTCATCAGCCAGTACGTGCGAACCTCCTGCCCTTTACAAAGTCCTCGTTGGTGCAAGTATACAGTTCTGTCGGGAGCCGGAGGCTTCAATGGGCCCCAACGCGCGATGATCGAGCCAGAAATGTCACCCAGTTTCCTGTCATTCCATTCAATGTATATGAGAATCAGAAAAATACAACTCGTTCTTAACCTGCAACCCTGTTCCGGTGTATTTCTATTGTTCCCGCATAAGCTATGCAGATCGTTCTCCATTGTACTTGAGAAGTTGCACATGGCTAATCTTTATCTTCCTGGCTCTTGCAGTTTTCACGTCGACCATTCGTCCGCTCTCCCATATGTCCTCAGCAAAACCAACTTCAAAGGCCGGGTTTTCATGACCCATGCTACAAAGGCCATCTACAAGTGGCTCATCCAGGACAATGTCCGAGTCAGCAACACTTCTTCTTCGTCTGACCAGCGAACAACCCTCTACACCGAGCATGACCACCTCTCCACACTTCCGTTGATCGAGACAATCGATTTTAATACAACCCACACTATCAATAGTATTCGTATTACGCCGTTTCCTGCCGGTCATGTGTTGGGTGCAGCGATGTTCTTGGTTTCGATCGCCGGTTTGAATATCCTGTTCACTGGTGACTACTCGCGAGAGGAGGACCGTCATTTGATTCCAGCTGAGGTTCCGAAAGGGATTAAAATTGACGTTCTGATTACAGAGTCCACTTTTGGAATTTCTTCGAACCCGCCCAGGCTAGAACGCGAGGCTGCTCTCATGAAGTCGGTGACTGGGGTCTTAAACCGTGGGGGCAGAGTCCTTATGCCGGTCTTTGCTCTAGGGCGCGCTCAAGAACTACTCTTGATCCTGGAAGAATACTGGGAGCGACACCCCGAGCTACAGAAAATACCCATTTACTATATCGGTAACACGGCGAGAAGGTGCATGGTTGTGTATCAGACATATATTGGAGCGATGAATGACAACATCAAGCGGCTCTTCCGTCAGCGCATGGCAGAAGCAGAAGCACGCGGCGACAAGAGCATTAGTGCAGGGCCCTGGGACTTTAGATACGTGCGAAGTCTTCGAAGTCTCGAGCGTTTTGACGACGTGGGTGGCTGTGTCATGCTCGCATCTCCTGGTATGCTGCAGACTGGCACCAGTAGAGAGCTCCTGGAGCGGTGGGCCCCGAGCGAGCGTAATGGAGTGATCATGACCGGGTACAGTGTTGAAGGGACAATGGCAAAACAGCTCCTCAACGAACCAGATCAGATTCCAGCCGTCATGTCCAAGGTTTCGACAATGCCTGGTCGGGGCCGGGTCCCCGGCGCCAACGATGAGGACCAGAAAGTGATGATCCCTCGTCGATGCACAGTGGACGAAATCAGTTTTGCAGCACATGTCGACGGCGTAGAGAACCGCAACTTTATCGAGGATGTTGCTGCGCCTGTTGTGGTAAGTTTGGGGTAGTTTGAGTGCTATCCAAAAAAAAATTTAAATTTAAACGCTGATTTACCAAACAGATTCTCGTTCACGGCGAAAAGCACCAGATGATGCGTCTTAAGTCGAAGCTGCTGAGTTTGAATGCGGAAAAGACCGTCAAGGTCAAAGTATATACGCCTGCCAACTGTGACGAAGTCCGTATCCCCTTCAAAAAGGACAAGCTCGCCAAAGTCGTCGGGAAACTGGCACAAATAGCGCCGCCCTCCGAGCAGGATGACGGCCATCTTATGGCCGGAGTTCTGGTGCAGAATGGGTTCAACCTGTCGTTGATGGCACCCGACGATCTGCGCGAGTATGCCGGACTGACCACCACGACGATCACCTGCAAGCAGCACATCACACTGAGCTCGGCCAGCATGGATCTAATCCGGTGGGCGCTGGAGGGCACTTTTGGCGCAATAGAAACGGTTGGCAAGTCGCCTTCAAACAAATTTCGTGAAAGTTCCAAGGAAAATCCTTCAAACGAAGAGATGGAGAAGAAGGAAGACGCAGACGAAGAGATTCTCCGCGAAGATGTCCAGAAATATCTCATCATGGGCTGTGTGCTGCTCAATTATGATCCTCGAACGCGCGAGGTCGAGCTGGAATGGGAGGGGAACATGATGAACGACGGAGTGGCAGATGCCGTCATGGCAGTGCTTCTCACAGTTGAAAGTAGCCCAGCCTCTGTGAAACGTACGCATTACCCTATTTTATATGATATCATTCTCCGATGCTAATAAATAATATCAGAATCCGCCAGAAACAAGCACCACCATCATCATCATCATCACGACCACGATGTCCCCCTCCCAAACCCCCATTCAAACCTCGACCCTGAAGAACGCTTCCTCCGCCTCCTGATGATCCTGGAGGCTCAATTCGGCTCGAATATCGCGCCGATCGAGCGGCCCAATATCCCTGCGGATCTGCTCCCCACCACCGAGACCGCCAGCCAGAACGGCGAGGACGGCGCCGATGATGACGCAGACAAAGACAAAAACGAAGACGAAGACAAGGACCGTCTCAGCTCACTCGAAGCGGCAGAGCTCGCCCGGCTGCATGCCCTGGGGATCCCCGTGCCGGGCCTCGAGATCAAAGTCGACAAGCATATTGCGCGCATCTGGCTGGAGACGCTGGAGGTGGAGTGCGCCAACGCCGTGCTGCGCGACCGCGTGCGCATGGTCGTCGAGCGGGCCGTGGAGACCGTCGCGGCCATGTGGGCGGATGCGCCGGCGACAGCGAACGGTGCCTCTCCTGCACAGAGCGATGAGAAGACATTGACCAATCTAGCGGAGGTGGAGATAGTAGCCTGAAAACTCGAGAGCCCTTCCTCTACGCCTTTTTTTTTTTGCGATTTTTCATACTTTGTATATTACAGAAAAATTAAGGTAGACAAGAGAACTATCTTAAGCATCCTTGTTATCTCTAGAATAGTGAACCTGAACCAATCCCGCGTTTGCTCTATACATGATTTTCTTTTAGTCCATCCATCCTACCATTTCATATTTTGATCACATGGTCTTCGTAAATAGTTGGAAAGTGTATTTGGTGTAGTTTTGTAGTTTGTTTTTCAATCCCTGGTTCCTCCCGAATGAACCCATACCGAGACGGTAGTAGCCGTCGAATATACCATGAGGGCGAAACCCAGCACGGCGATGAGGAGATCTCTACATTTGACGTAAGGGGAGGAGGCAACACCCCTCCAGTGCAGATAGGCCGGGTAGATGTAGACGAGGGGGATGCAAGCGAAGGAGCCGATGAGGGCGACGAACTTGTCGAGATCGCCGGCGCCGAGGACAGAGATGAGGGTGCAGAGGAGGACGATGGCGGTGCGGAAGACGTTCTTCTTCCATTTGATGGACGGGTCGCGTTTCCCCGAGAGGCGGCCGAAAAGACGTCCTTCCATGATGCGCACGGCGGGGAAGAGCTGCACGGGGGTGCCGACTAGGACGGCGAGCGAGTAGAGGAACTGCACGGCGTTTACGAAGCGGTCGCCCTGGGGGAAATTGGTGATGATCTCTGTCTTGGTGGCTTCGCCGAAGGTGCCGTAGGAGAGAGCCCCCACGGCGGTGAACAGCACGGTGATGATGGCCATGACTGTGTAGAGCAAGGGGCCGAACTGTTCGGGCTTCCTCATTGATGACTGGATGGGCAGGATGAGCCCGATGCCTTCGAATGTGAAGATCGAGGAACCGATGGTCAGCGTGAACGAACTCGGGTTGAAGAGCACGACCGACGGGGCTAGTCCATGGCGTGAGGCAATCGTCGCGATGTCGTAGTAGTAGATGTACGTTAAGCCGATGAGAATAAAGACATCGGCGAGCAATGCGGCGGGCCCCAGTTTCGAGATGTTGCGGATGAAGGCCAGCGGAATGAGGATCAGCAGCTGCAGGAAGATCAACTGATTAGTCGACCAAATGTGGTGGTGTGCGTCTGTGGTAGATGCCACGGCGCGTAAAAAGGTGTGCATATTCTCTGCCGTGAAAATGATTCCCGCGCAAACGAAACTCAGCTGCGAGAGGGTGATGGAGCCCAGGATGAGCGCTCGTAGACGCGGCCCTGCGATCCGCTCCCCGATCTCTCCATACCCACCTCCATAGTGCTTTCGACACTGCAGGAGAAGGTGAAAGCACAGCGCTGTGATTGCAGCGACGCTGACAAGTGTGATGGAGGAAAAGAGGATGCCACCGTTGCGAAACGCTTTGGGCAGGAACATGATGCCAGTCCCGATGAACGCTTTGAGTAGAGTAAAGAAGGATTTCATGTTCGACGCATCGCCTGGACGGCCCATCCGGGAGACCCTGCGGCGGCGGCCCAAAAGCGGCCTTCTTTCGCCCGGTTCTTCTTGTTCTTCTCCTTCTCCTTCATGGTCTGGTCCAACTGACGACTCATCTTCCGTCTCGGCCAGGTCCTCACCCGCGAAGCTACCGTACAGATCCAGGAACTCAACGAAGTTCCGTGTGGTCAGAACCAACGTACTCGACCGATGACGATGGTGATGACGAAGGAAGTGCCGGCGGAAACTGCCTGGCTCCTGGGCAGACACTACCTCTCCATTCTCATCTTCGTATTGTCTCGGAGGGAAAGAGAACGAGGCAGCCCGTTTGTCCAGCCGTGCCTGCTTCGAACGGGCTTCGATACGGTACAAGTCTCGATGGATATCCCCCGCCTGCAGCTTCAGCGACGACTGCAGCTCCGGCGACTGGCCACTGGATGCAGCTGATTCCTCCTCTGCCGCTGCTGCCTCGGGCTCCAGCGAACCGGTGAACTGGGGGTGTAGGTGTCTAGCAAGGATTTCGGCATCTCTCCGTTCTTCGTCCAAGGTCAGCGAGTTCGAATGATCGGCCATTGTGAGTGCATGCTTGGGGGTCCACGAGGATCGTGCCCTGTCCCAGCCAACAATTGCAGTTGTTGTTGGACGGTTTGAGGAATGTTTGGGTTTGGCTGCAGAAGGCAGAAGCCAGAGGGCCTGGCACGTGATATAGCATATGACGTCATCACTTCCCACTCCAAGCAGGGAATAAATAAACTTCTACTAGAGACAAGTATTGTAGTGGTCTGTTTTTACTTATAACTATTTATATTAGATTAGTTTAGTATCAATACTTTAATAGTTGGTACTATTATTGTCTCCTGCTCAGGTTACGGTTTAGAACCCTGATAGAAGGAAAGATGATTGCACACTGAGTACTTCGACTCACTCACACAGTGGTTTATGAATAACTAGGTAACTATTATTTCAGTTTTCGGATATAATAATAGTATTACTGCTTCATAAAGCATCATAGCTGAATTATTAAATTATTATGATTTGGGTTATCACCAGATAATTGAGTACTGTATACTCTCTCAGTATTGCTTGTAGGCTAATGCCTTATTCTAATCATTAAGAGATTTGTCTATTTTTCTTCAGAATAATAATCTCATGAAATCAATTCTCTAATTAATACTGAATTAACCGAATAAGTCCTTGGTTATTTTGTCTGGATAATAGCTGGATAATAGCTGGATCATGCCGCTGTTCTCCCGCTCTGTTGAACCTCCCCTCTTCCCCCCTGCCGGGAACTCCCCGAGATTCAGTCCTACACGCATCACGACACATCATGACACATCTCTCCGTGAATATGAGCGAGTCCAGGATCTTCTACAACCCCATCGCCCCGGGGTTTGGGCCCGATCCGTCTGTTATTCGCATCGGTGATACCTTCATGATCACGTCCTCGTTCCGCTTGTTTCCTGGCCTTCTCATCTCCGTATCGCGCGATCTCGAAAGCTGGGCAAAGATAGGTGAGTGATTGGCGAAGTTGAGGGAGTCTCGAATGTTGCCGCCTCTTTGGATAAATCGTTGCTAGGACACTGCGTCAGTCGAGTGGACCAGCTGGACTTGGCTGGTGCTGGATCGAAACTCCAGACTCTCCTGAGCGGGGACCAGCTCGTTTCAACGGCCGGGCTGCTTGCTCCAAACATCCGGTACCACAAGGGCGTGTTCTATGTGGTGTGCACCAACGCGTCGAACCAGCAGCGCGTGACGGGGCATTATAACTTCTGGGTGAAAATGGCGGACATCTGGTCGGGGGAATGGAGCGGTCCGGTGTTCTTTGACTTTGACGGCATCGACACCAGCCTGCTCTTCGACGATGATGATCGAGCGTATATCCAGGCAGCGAACTATTATAGGGAACAACGTCCGAGACAACAATCGTCATCGCTGTATCGATACCTCGACCCAATAATAGCGCCTATCATTACTTACACTGTATATACATATATTTATGTATATGTTAGGTAAATATGACAATCAGCATAGTCATACCCTTCGACACATCAGGAAGCACACTAGAAGGAAAATGAATAGGGAGCGCACAAGAATCGCCTTCTAACAAAGATGAATGTTAGAAATAAGAAGAAGCAACAAAGAGACTTTAGGAGCTGACTTTGAGTGAATTCTCTTTACTCGAACCAGGCAGTATTTTAGAGAGAGGAAGTGTACTGTATTAGATTAGAGAATATCAAACTACTACATTCACTTTCCACTAAACACAAAATGAGAAGAAAATAATCTGTCTACATAGAGAGCCCCCTCTCTCCGCGACTGCAATACTTCCAGTACATTATCTCTATTCATAAAACAAACTGAAAAAAAAAAGTGATGGGTTCCATTTCCCCGCGTCGGCCCCCAATCGCGGGCCAATCGCGGGGGAGGGATGCAGCGGCACGGTCCGTCTATCCCCACGCATGGACGGAGAAGATTGCCGGTTTGGTAAGATCTTGGTAAGAACATTGAAAAGATGAATTTTTACAAGAAATAAATAGATAAATAAAATGGAATACTTTATAGATCACTGCTAAATATTCATGAATATCTTTAGATATACATGTGAGCCGTGTTCCCACAGGACGATCGTCTTGTCTTAGGTATTTTCTTGACGGCGGGGGAGAATGAGATACGCGGGCTTACCTACCGCGGAGGGCTTAAGTCCGAATTTAGACTAGAGCTTATCTTTGATCTCGTAAGTCGAGGTCTTTGACTTGTTAGAAATAGAAAAAAGAAGAAAAAAGGTGGATAAATTGAGACATCCATTCTTGGTAAATATATGGCTTTATAATTTATCCAAACAATCTCCCGACTCCGGTGTCCAGGTACAGCGTAGAGTAGGATGGCCAACTGGTTGTCTCGGCAGCGGTGACTGCATCAAGCCTAGTCTGGACTGTCACATGACTTCCACTGTGCCGGTTTCCGAGCAATAATTGCAGCCTGAAAGCTCAGGCAAAGTAAATATGGTGTCCCGCGCAGGATTCGTCTGCTGCTGGGAAAATAACACATATACTCACTCTATAGTCATTGCCATTTGATAATTACCATCTAACTACCTTAATATCTACTAGATACTACAAGGTATTACTGCATGTCAATGACTTCTTGACCTCCTCCCTATACTGAGACCATAATTGCTAGTTTTATACCTACTTGAATGACTTCATTCCTCTAACAACTCAATCAAATATTATTATCGAACAATTGAAGACAACACTTTCTCTCTTTGACAAAATGAGCACCCCCCTCCAGGTCACTGGGGGCCTTATCCAGGGCGTGGCGAGCACATTCGACCCCTCCATCATCCACTACAAGGGCATTCCTTACGCTGCCCCGCCTACAGGCCCCAACCGCTTCAAACCGCCCCAACCGATTGTCCCCTGGGAAGGCGTCAAGCTGTGCGACACCATCGCTCCCAGCTGCCCGCAGGCTGCTCCCGAACCGAAATACGTCGACGTGCTCAAGGGCCATCCCCAGTCGGAGGATTGCCTCTATCTGAACGTCTACAAACCCAACGATGCCCATGAGAAGCCGTATCCCGTCTTCGTGTGGTATCATGGCGGTGGCTTCCGTGAAGGTGGCAGCGCCGACCCCAACTTTGACGGCACTGGTCTCGCGCAGAAGGGCGTGATTGTCGTTGTTCCCTCGTTTCGTCTCTGTAAGTTCTATGAATGTGTTGTTTATTTGGCATGATCACGGTGCTGATGTTCCAGCGATCTTCGGCTACTTTGCTCACCCCGAACTCAGCGCATCCTCCCCCTCCGGAACGTCAGGAATGGTCGGCATGCTCGACGCGGTCCAGGTTCTCGAATGGGTGAAGACAAATATCGGGGCGTTTGGTGGTAACCCAGACCGGGTGACGATTGGTGGGCAGTCGGCAGGCTACGCCATGAGCCATACCCTGCTCGTCTCCCCGCTGTCCAAGGGTCTCATCCACGGGTGTGTGCTGCAGTCGGGCCCTCGCTCGTTCCAGGAGCCCGCCTCGGCCAGCGGGCCCATGTCGTATCGGTCTCGCGAACAGGCCGAGCAGGAGGGCGTCGAGCTCCTGCAAGAGCTGGGTCTCAAGAACGTCGCCGAACTCCAAGCGTTTGACGACATCGATAAGTTGATCGAGATCTCCCTCCGTCGTGACCCCAAATGCTGGGGTCCCCCGCCCTTCTGGCGTCTCATCCTCGATGGCCACGTCATCCCAAAACCATGGAACGAGATCGTCGCCGAGGGTGGATCCAACAATGTTCCCGTCCTGGCGGGCATGAACAGCGACGAGGGTGGGACCTACAACGAGCCCCGGTTCACCTACGAGGACTTCCTCGAGTGTGTCGAGGGTCGTCTGGGCCCCAACTCGACGTACGGCAAGGGTGACCCTAGTCTCGTCAAACGCTTCCTCGAGCTGTACCCGCCCACCGACAAGGAGACGGGCAAGGGTCCGCTGGAAGCCTGGAACCGCGCCGCACGCGACAACACGCGCAACAACATCTCCCTCTGGGCCCAGGAGTACCACCAGGGCACGACCGCTCCGGTCTTCGGCTACTTCTACACCCACGCGTGCCCGCCCTGGCGCAACTGGCAGCCGGACTACAACATGCCCAAATCCCGCGGCTTCACCAGCCACAAGGGTCCCGTCGGGGGTGCCCACCACAGCGCCGAGTTTGCCTACACCTTCAACAGCCTGATCACCAACGACCTCCGCGAGTGGACAGACAAGGACTACGAGGTCGGCGACAAGATTTCCACCCTCTGGGCCAACTTCTTCAAGTATGGGAACCCTAACGGATCAGAGGGCGTTAACAAGCGGCCCGAGGGTGTCGCCTTCTGGCCTGACCTCGTCGAGGAGCCGAACAAGCTGCTCGAGATTGGCACCTACTGGCAGCTGATCGATACCGTTGATGAAGAGAGACGCCAGTTCTGGACTGACTACATTCGTGATCAGGTGGCGTGGTAGAATGAAACAATGGTAAGAGTAGAGGTATAAGAAAAAAGAAAGTAAAACTGAATAATTCATACAGATGTTGTTAGAGTAGGAGAATAGTGGAATATTGTGCCTCAGCATGTAGTCTTGTTAGATAATGTATACCTTATAGTCAACTGATACTAGAATTAGCTCGAGCTACAACTTGGATTTATGTACTTTTTCATTCTCCTCCAACTCACTCGAGCCCACCTTGTTAGGCTCAAGGAAGCTAAGACTGAGTTTCAACATTCTCAAGCGGGATGAGTTCCGGAACTGCTCGTAAGCTTCCAGGATGTCGTTGAAGTGAAAATCTGCAGGTCAGTGATATCAGCATTCCAGATACGCTCACATGAACGTATACGTAGAGTACGAACCGTGAGTCAGAAGCAAAGCCGGATCAAGACGGCGCGATTTCCAGAGCCGAAGCAAGGTGGGGATGGTGACGGTATCGACCAGCTGGGAGGTGATACTGATATTCCGCCCCCAGAGCTTATCCAGCTCGAGGGAAACAGGACGACCATGCACGCCGACATTAGCGATGGAACCCCCCGGGGCAACAAGACGCTGACACAGGGCAAACGTCTCAGGGACACCGACGGCCTCGACGACGGCATCAAAGCCTGGGCCCGCGGCGAGGGCTTCAACCCGTTCGGGGGCGGTAGCAGTATTGATAGTTTCGTCTGCGCCGAGACGACGCGCATGTTCGAGACGGGTCTCGTTGCGACTCAAAACGACGACGCGCGAGGGCGAATATAGGGACATGGTCAAGAGGGCGGCGAGCCCCACGGGGCCAGCGCCGACAATCACAACGGTGGAGCCCGGGGTGACGCGGGTGCCGAGGGCCCCGCACTCCATCGCCGTGGGGAGCGCGTCCGAAAGCGTGACGGCGGCCCGCGGGTCCACCCCGGCGGGAAGCACGTACAGCGACCCCGCGGCATGCGGGACCCGCACGTACTCCGCTTGCGTGCCGTCCACGAGATGGCCCAGCTGCCACCCGCCCGTGAGGCAGTGTGAGCGCATCCCGCGCTGGCAGAGTGCGCAGGCCCCGCACGACGTAATGCATGCCACTAGCACCATGTCGCCGATGGATAATCTGTTGCGGGGGATTGCGGGGCCGAGCTCCACGATCCGCCCGACTCCTTCGTGGCCGAGAGTCCGGCCGGGGGATACGCTGGGGACGTCCCCTTGGAGAACGTGCAGGTCGGAGCCGCAGATCGTGCCGTGCACCATTTGGATGATTGCGTCGTCGGGCTTCTCGAGCGTGGGAATTGGTTTGGTTTGCACTTCTGGCTGGGGGGTGCCGGTGTACACTAGGGCTTTCATTGTCTGGACATTAATAGATACATAGTATAGATATCGAGAGGGAGGGCTCACCTTGACAGTCATGATTACTTTTGACTTATTATACCTAACTGTTAATAATTAGTGTCTAGCTCTAGTTCTCTGATGGATACTACTAAGATATCAACACTGATGTGATGGATGCACTTATATACCTTCCCCGAAGACCCAGTACTTTGTACAAGCTCTCTGACCCCTGTACCACTAAGACGACGTTGCATTAAGTGAAGATAATGATCTCAGAAAGATTAGGATAAATCAGGATTTTATCTATGATATCACTGGATGTATTGGGCCAGGGTGGGTGTCGAATATCTCACTCTATACCCTCTTTCTGCAACACTCCATTCGAATATGATATATCATATTCATCTACTAGGATATATATTACTTACATGATACACCATGCATAGTTCTGCAGATGAGCATATTATAAAGTAACTATATTATGAGGGATATTTAGGATAGATTATCTTCTAGCTAATAGTGGCGCATGTTGATGACCTCCTGATCTCTTTAAGATGTGGTGGCATCCTTAGATTAGTGGTCCTTTTATAAGGAATGATGCTATAACCAGGTTAATTTATAGTTAATAGAGATATATAGACTTGGTCCACTATCATCTTGTTGGCCAGTTGATCCTTATCTAAGGATCATCTATTTCAAAGTAGTGATATTCTCACCATTAGGTGGCGTTATATATATAGAGCCCTTTTTTTCACCTTTAAATTAATATTCTAGAGCTAAATATAGGGTTAGGGACTTTATGCCCATCTGTCAAATTCCAGACTAATATATATGGAGTTGTTTATATAGAGTTCTCTCTTTCTTTTTTCTGCTTTTCTTTTTTGAAAATATCTTCCCTTAATGAAGGAACTAAGGATGTCTTCTATAGCCTCCTCTGGTACAATTGCTACATTCACTCGAGAATCTTTCTCCTATTCTTACGTCATGTTAGCAAGTACATATTAAGCTTCGCCCATGTAAAATTATAAATGATAATTTCTGCCTCTATTCAATTAAGTAGCACCTACTACTTATGTAAAGGTGGTCACCACCTTGGTAGCATCAGTGACAGAGGATCTTTCTAAAGTGGTGAGTGAATTTACCTTGGCCTTCTTATTTATTGTGCTCATTCGACTGATCTTTCCTTTTCTCTTCAACATTACTCTCTTTCCACTGATCTTCCTTTTCTCTTCAACATCACTATACTCTCTGATCATTTCTTTTACTCAATTCTTTGGCCAATAGCATGGCGACTTTTCTGAATGAAGCGTGCGAAAAAGACTCTAATCTGACTACCACCAGTTCTCAGCACCAAGGCCAAGAAAACATGTCGTCTCTCTATGAAATAATGGCGGGGCTTCCCGAAGGCTACGTGTTGAGAACCTACGCCAGTTTGAAGGTCCTTGAGATGACAGCAAAGGAGGTTCGTGACAAGCTCGAGCACAATGATCAAGAGGGAAATCAATACATTGTCATCCTCGGTCTCAGCAAGCAGGCCGCCGAGCGTTTGGGAGGAGATCCGCCTCGTCTTGGGGATGTCGTGTACCGCTTCACACTGGACGGCTCCACCGGTGTCCTCAAAGTCGTCCCGTCATGGCCGCACGAAAGAGTAACCGGAGACTTCAATCTCCAGTTATCCGCCCTTTTCACTACTGCTGGAGTTCCACTTGGCGATTTCGGATGGGCTCGTTCTATGCGATATCCAGGCACATCTTCCGACAGACAAAAAGAGGCCGATGAGTGTCTAGTTCCAGCGACGAGAATGCCAACAGGCCAGACGGAAGGATGGCCGACGCTGGTCTTCGAGACTGGTGTCTCGGAATCTTTGTCAAGACTTCGCAACGATGCTAGATGGTGGTTCAACAACTCGAAGGGTGCAGTGAGAATTGTCCTTGTAATCTCCATCAAGAGATCTGGAAACAAAGAGGTCACCATTGAAAAGTGGCAGCTTTTACCCCCCGGAGCGCCTCAACCAGTGACCCGGGCAGTTATAGATTCTTTTCGCTATATTCATCCAGCACCCATGCCCCCTCTTGTCCATCAACCAGCCGTTAGCCAGCATCCCTACGATGCCCAGGTCATCAAGATCACTCAAAACAGCGTCACCGGCGGTCCTCTAGTTCTTCCATTCAGGGCATTGATGGATCGTCCTCCTCAGGGTCAGGAAAGAGATATTGTGCTCCATGACCAGGAACTGAGGTTCTGCAGCCGCTCTGTGTTCTAGTGCTTCTTACTATTGAGTACTTTAGATTCACTAGGAGGAAATTAAATCAGTTCAAAGTATAGCTCATAATAGAGCTAGAAGTTTTATAATTAATGAACATCAGATGCGCGATATAATATAGAGGAATACCATTAGTCTAGTAAGTGTAGCCTATAGTTAATTAGTACAGAGACATAAATACCTCGTAAACCCCTCGACTGCTTTTCTTTGTTTTCTGGATTTATTTTCTCTGCTGAATAAATGGATGAACAAGAGATCTTCACCATGTATACCACTGAAGAGATTATCTATTTATTAAATGATAAAGAACCCCCTAAAGCAAATCCTTGGAACACAGCTTTATTCTTTATCCTTCTTCTTATCCTCTGTGTTGTACGTTCACCTCTCTCCCTTAAATCCCTCATACTAATTACTATTAGCTCGCCTACACCTACACCGTAATCGGGACTCTCACAGCCGTAGAGTCTCTCCAGCAGCGCTCTACAATTAAATCAAACGCCGACTCGATAGAAACCCACCCGGTAAGACAGTTTCGATGGACATGGCGATTCCGTGGATGGACAACCGCGCTTTTGATCCGCGGAGTGAAAATCGCCCTGTTCTGCATCCCAGAGAGGCTCCGCATGACTCTTCCCATGGATTGTCTCTATACAACCACGATCGACCTGCTCCTGTCTAGTCTCTACGTTGTTCTGATCCAGACGACCATTGCCCAGCCTGTCTCGAGACCGTTTCACCGACGGGTTCCGGGCTGGAGAGCGTGGCTTCAAATCGCCCCGGCGGCTTGTCTTGCCAGTCTAGCGAGGAGTGCGAATTTCTTCGTACCGATCCGATTCTTGCAGAGTACATCGTTTGGAACGGTCCATGTGGTGGGCGTTATCCTGTCGAGCACGGGTATCTATTTCCTCGTGAGTGCGCCCCTCCAAGCGGTGTTTACCAGGGCTGCTGCCTCGATTCTATCCGAGCAAGACTGCCCCGTTATACCGCTAGACGAGAGACTGCGTGGAAAGAATGGTATTGGAATCCTGGATGCCTGGAAAAGCTGGGATGGAACGAGTCGTGCGCGCTACTTCAACGCGCTGGGCAGGGCCTTTCTTCTCAGAGCTGTTGTGTGGATTTGTCTGGTCTGGTGGAATCTCTCGGCTTATAACCCCGTTTCATTGGAGGTGATATGGGCGGCAGTCTGACATATATATATATGTATAGTACTATTCCTCTCATTCATGCTATAGTATAGACTAACGCTTCGTCTGGCTTGACTCTACTTTGACAGAGTGATTCCCATCCCCCCTCAATCCCCTGAGCCCCGACAACACCTTTCCCCCAGACAAGGCGTAGGTCTGGAGCAGCAGCCTCTTTACCTGCCAGCCAGCTGGCCCATCGCTGGTCCAGCTCGCCGAAGTACTGTGTTGGCCCTGTGGTTGCTATAGCAGCTTCCTGCATGGCAGACGTGTTGACCTGGATTTGGTGAAGATGGATGAGCGTTTTCTGCATGGCTTCAAGATCCTCCATTTTATAAACCTGTCAAGTAATTAGCTTGAGCTACATGGTATAATTTATCTCTCTCTCACCTTTTGTTGCAATCCCACTGCAAGCACCATCAACTGGCAAGTCTTCAAGAAAGGATTGTTTTTTATCAAACTGTGTAACTGTAACAGACTCCCATCGCGCCCGCCGTGGTCGACAATGACGATCTTCTTCGGCTGTCGACTGACAAGCCACTCCTCAACAGACTGAACCACAGCAGAAGAGGAAACCTGCGTATAAGAGACCACGTGAACAGGAAAAAGAGACGAGAGATCGGCTTGTGCAATGGCAGATGGCGACGAGGTGATCTGAAGCAGACCCAGAGGTCCCGTCCCAGCCGGCCGACCGCAGAGATTATATGTGAGTGCGCGACCTGTCTTGGACGAAGCAGAGAGATTGATCACCACCGCTTCAGAGATATCTGCTTCCATCGTCGTCCATGCTTCCTGGGCGAAATTCCCAGTCGGATGCACTGGTGGATGTGTTTGTGGGTTTGGAGTGAAGACGTACTCGCTGAGCAGATAGCCACAGGCCCAGACCGGTCGCATGGAGGCTTCCCAGCCTTGACAATCAACAGTACTCAGATTATTGGAAGTACTGAGAGTAAGAGTATTGTTATTGACGCGTATGTACCTGTTATATAGCGGTAGCAAAGCTTGACGATACGGCGAGACTTCCATCCAGTGACCCTCTGGCTCGGCGACAATCAACTGCAGATCCACCACATGGCTGGATAAAGGCCAATACCCCCAGAGAAAAGTTGTCTCGCCCGGTAAACTGACAGTCGTACTGGCAATCACCTTGGCGAACCCCCAGGCCGGTACGATCCCCCAGACGGATCGGTTGTTGTAGGGAACAGGAGCGGTCGCAGGTACAGGGTAGGGATCCCACCAGTGGAGCATGTCGCCCATCCCGGCGTACGTGAGGTTGTTGGATGCGAGACTCACAAGGGTTGGCTGTACCCGGACGGAAGAGGGGGCGAGGGGTAAACTGGGTTTGGTCATTTGGAAGGCTGCATGTTGGCTGCTGTCCAACTTGGATACAACATGGATATCCATGGGGAGGGGAGGAGAAGCAGAGAGGAGGATGAGAGGAGAAGAGGACAAGAGGAGAAGAGCAGGGGAGAGAAGTAGAGAAGAGGAGAAGGAGATTGCAGTTAATTAGCCCAGTCTAAATATGCAGTCAGCTTATCACTGCAGGAGACAGATCTTTAGATTGTATGTCTGTTTACTGGATTGTATCAAAGTCTACTCTATATTCCATCTATAATTCAAGATAATTAAGCTTATATACTAACTATTTATATTATACTATTCAAACGATTCAAGTGAAGACTCTGATTCTGGCGTGAAAATTTCATTTCTGATCAGTTCTCGCGCTTCTCTGCAGAATTTCTGTTCTTTGCTTGGATCTTTGATGGATTCCAGGACCCGGGATTGCCGTGTCTTGGTATCTAGACATGTTCAAGAAGGAGTGTCAGGAGGGGGTAATCGCGATTGTCACTGGAAATCTTGAACGGAGTCAAGCCTTCATCATTTTTCGCGAGGATGTCGGCTCCGTTCTCAATGAGATGCAGGAACATGTGCATGCGGGGGTACGCGTCAATATCACTCTTCCCTCGGCTAGCCTTGCAGGCAAGGATAAGGGGGGTATTTCCAGTAGCATCGCGGGCGTTGATTCTAAATCCAGAGGAGAGTAACACGTCAAGAAAATCTACCGTATATAGTGAAATAAGCTTAATCTATTATAGTCTTTTAATAAGATATTATAGCCTTTATCCACAAGTTTTTAGATAACCTTTATATTGCTGTCAAGCTAAAGAAGAATATGTTCTCATCAGGGGTTAGCAACCCGTATGCCGTGCAGGCGCAGTTGGTTAAGCATGCACAGAGAAGATTGGAATCGAAGGTTGGAAGGAAGTATAAGGAGGTTGTGATCAAGTGTTTGACGGGTGATTTTGGAGTTGCGGATGATACGAGGGAGGATTTGAAGCTTCAGCAGGCTTTTAGACACCAGGTTGTTGATGTTATTGAAATGGCTGCTAGCAATGTTTAGATTATGATTACTGTAAGCATAAAATTGCCTGTCAGAAGCAATTAATAGAGGATGAAAGCCTTCAGAAATTTGATACTATTCACCTGGTCCAGTGAATCTGCTGCCTCATTATTAAGGCATCAACGGCAATTTCCAGATATCCGAAACCCGAAGATTTCCGCCAACGCCGTCCAGGGTACAGTGATTTGATAGCAGAACATTAGTATAATGACATTATTAATGTTCGAATGTTGAGTATTGACTAGATATTTCTTAGGGGGGGTTAGAACTACTCATATCTAATAATCTACACTGTTCTGGTGGCTAAAGACTCACCTCATAGTTACTCGAAAACAGAATATAACTACGTCATGGATACAATATCAACTCCTACCCCTCTAAGCTTGGATTATTCACTGGGAATAGTCTAAATGAGACCACGGAATATGGAGTCCCCTAGTTCCTTCATGTTAAAGAACCAATAATGGTGTCTGAATTATACGACATCCAGAGGACCAATTCACTGAAGTGGCCGAGGATAACCGAAGCTTATGACTTATAACAGTGAAACAGCCTGCCTGAGGCTTACTTGACAAATGGAAGGATAGACCAGGCAGCCTTTGATTTATATTCTTGCAACTGCCTCTCACAGGCTTCCTACACACTCTCCTCTCACTATTTTTAACACTCATCAAGATGCTTACCTCAGGGATCTCCCCAGGGCTCTTCCTCGCACTCTCAGTGCAGCAGCTTGCTGCTGTCTTCATCTCACTCATCGCTGTTACGGTATATCCCCTCTCTTAGCTTGCTTTCTGTCTCCTGAAAGATGGGCCTGGGCATGCTGATGGTCAGATCTTTGGATATGGCGTGTACAACCGTTTCCTTCACCCCCTCCACAACGTCCCTGGTCCTCTCCTGGCGTCCTTTACCCCGTTCGTCCAGCTCTACCACGGCATCCAAGGCGACAGACACGTTTGGTTACACGCCCTGCACGAGAAATACGGCTCCCACGTCCGCGTTGCGCCCAACTTTGTCTCTGTCAACACTGCCCAGGGCCTGCACGACATCTACGGCCACGGCAAACGGTTGAAGAAGGCCGACTTTTACAACGCTTTCCCTGCTATCAAGGGTGTGTACAACACGCACAACGCAATTGACAAAGCCGTCCATGGCCGCAAGCGTCGTGTCCTCAGCCAGGCTTTCTCTGACACCGCGCTCAAGGGCATGGAGGACGTCATGCTCCTGCACGTCCGGCAGCTGTGTGCCATTCTGGGAGGCGAGCGGCGGGCCAGCGAGGACCGTACAGGACGTACCATACGCAACATGGCCGATTGGTTCAGCTACCTCACCTACGACATCATGGGGGAGTTGTGTTTTGGCAAAAGCTTCGATATGCTCGTTGACAGTGCGAGGCGTCATATGGTTCATCTTGTCGACCGGGCGGCCTATCGTCACTACGTGGTAAGTAAAACCGGTTTTCCAAAAGCTTGGGTTCTTTTCTAATGTTAATGATAGTGTGGCCTGTGGATGCCTCTCGACAGATGGAACCTCGACCAGATCTTCATCAGAAAGCTGACGCGCCAGCGGTGGAGTTTCATCATGAAGTCGCGGGTTGAAGCCAACGAGCGCGCCAAAGAACGCACCAAGGCCGGCCACGAGGCCAAAAAGGACTTCTTCTACTATCTGCTGAATGCCACGGACCCGGAGACTGGAAAGGGTCTGGCCACCCAGGAGCTGTGGGGGGAGGCCAACGTGCTGATGATCGCGGGCAGCGACACCACCTCCAGCAGCCTGTCAGCCGCGATGTTCTACCTGGTACGGTCCCCCTGGGCGATGGCTAAACTGGCCCAGGAGGTCCGCGCGGCCTTCACCGACGTCGAGGAGATTGTCATGGGTCCCACGCTCAACGGGCTCAGCTACCTCAAGGCCTGCATCGACGAAGCCATGCGTCTTGCGCCCGCCGTTCCCGGTGCGATCCCCCGTGAAGTCATCGACGCGGCTGGAGCTGAAGTCGACGGTCTTCTCTTGCCGCAGGGCGCCAACTGCGGCGTGCCCGCCTTCTCCATCCACCGCCACCCAGACTACTACCGCGACCCGCTCAGTTATCTCCCCGAGCGCTGGATCGAGGGCGAGACGTACCAGTCACCCCGTGACGGCCTGCTCTGGACCACAACCAAGCATGAGGTCGAGATTGCCCGCCATGCCTTCTGTCCCTTTAGCATCGGCCCGCGCGGCTGCATCGGCAAGGGAATGGCCCTCATGGAGATGCGGCTCACCCTGGCGCGCCTGGCGTTCCTCTTCGACATTCGCCTCGTCCCAGATGGTATGGGCGAAGACGAAACCGGCCATTTTGCTCTCATTGATCACTTTGTTGTTTCAAAAACCGGGCCGAATGTTGTCGTCAACAAGGCAGTTTGATTGATCTTGCTTTATGAGATAATGAATTGGCATGGAATCTTGCTTTATCAGCTGTTCTAATCCTTTTTATGAGACAATGAATATCATTTTTACTCCATGGAATAATAAAATATTATCAAAATTGTAATTGTAATATTGGGACCTGTGATTGATTTACTACATAGCCTAGCGCCCCAATACACTGTCATATAATAAAAGACAAGGCCTGCCCTCTCAACCTCTTGTTCCCTCCCTCTCCCTGCCTTTAACTCCTCTATCTTATACTTATCGCCGCCCCCTTTCTTCTATTCTGGCCCTTACTGACTATTACGCCTTATCTTTCAGCCCAATGTACTGCCCCTTTCATTTTACTGGAGATGCCGCTCCATCTGACACCTAGCTCATTCTCACTCCTCCTGCTGGACTAGCAGTCGCACAGGGGCAGAACCACTGAGATGATCTAGCCTGTAGTGGCATCGCAAGACATCGGGTCAATACTGCTACTCCTTCCCTAAGGGAATGACTGTGCTCCATACTACGAAGTGGCTGCCCCGGGAACTTTAGAGTTCCAGGATCAGTAACTATAGCTCCCAAGAGGGTTGGTTCATGTTTGTAGAGACAGACTTTGGTACTCCCAGGAAGCTAACCTGCGATCCTGAGTGGTGGCATGTTTATATTAATAAGAATGGCTTTCAAGCCCCAATTGTCACGTAGAATTGGTAGATGTTGTTCTCCACCTTCGACAACGCATTCGTACTCCCGACAATCTTGACTTTTTCACCATCCTCCCTAGTCACCTCGCACGCATACTGGAGCTCACGGTCAGAAGGCCAGTTGTTGTCATCGTCATAGAAGTCTTTGATGGATGGCTGATATCCCGGCTTTACTGTCAGGCGATTGGCCGTCCAAAACTTGCATAAATAGGCCATTGCAAACCCTGTTCACCACTGGTGAGCCTCGAAACATATGAATCATCGACAAGGGAGGGAGGACGGGAACAAAGAGAGAGAAAGAGAGAGTATACTGACCTGCTTTCCCGTCGGTCTGCACGGCTCGAAGAGCAACTCCGATACCATCCATAAGTGTAAAGCCTGCGGGATGAGTTTTTAGCAACGCTCCAATCCCCAGGAAAGGGGTTGATCTCACTGTTCTGGAAGCAATATATTATATTGTTGATGTTCTTCCACTTGCCGACTTTCGTGCCCCATGGGGTCTGTACCTCGGCTGTAGGGGATTCGATCAGTCAGAGGGGTTGTCTCGAATCATAAGAGGACAAAGGCAACAACTTACATCTGCCAGCTTGCATGGTTTTAACGCTCCATGTGTCTCCGCCAGCAATGATCCCATTATCATGCGACCAATCGTCGATCTTCCAATCCTTCTTGTCGAAATTCAGCACATGAACCTGCACAAAGTAGTCCTTGTTGACCAGCGGCAACAGGAGTTCAAGAGAAACCTCGATAATAACCGTGGCAATGGACGCTCCCAAGAAGGAGGTCAGTTTGGGCCATTTCGCCGCAAAGGTCAGGATCTTCTCGACCGCAGTCCCCTTGGGCAGGGACTTCAACCAGATCTTATCCACGTTGCCGCGCGCAGTCCGATACGCAGCTCTGGCCGTCGCCATCTCGATCTCGGACGCCCCCCTTTTTCTCTAGATCCCTGACGGCTGTGAGGGCAGCTTCTCGCGCCACGCCCGCCTCCAGCATCTGGCGCGCCTCGGACTTCATGATCGCGGCGAACATGCGGGATCCGATAATGGCGCCGACGCCGGCCACAAACCCGGCGATCGCCAGGTGCGGGATCGCCTTCTCCCATCGCGTCCACGACAACAGCGCCTGTCCACTGTTCTTGGACATGTAGCCGACCTCCATGGTCGTGTTCATGCGGACATCCTCGTTGGGAGTGTTGGCGGAAACCGACGCCTCGTCGGGGGTGGCTCCCCCTTCCTGTTTTACATGGATCCAGAACACGCCGCTTTCGTTGGAACAGAGGTGGATCTCGCGCCCATGCTCGTCCGTGATGCAGTTGAAGGCAGCCTCGCCAAACTGGTCAATCGTGGTTTGGATGGCGTGCATGTCGGTTTCGAACTTCTTGTCCATCTCTGCTAGTTTGGCGTGGTCATGGTTGCGGATGGCCGTCTCGCGCTCTTCCGACAGGAGAGTGACCTTGGAGGTCGTCGGCTCATCCTTGGTTTGAATATCTGGCGAGGAGCAACGGAGAAGGCTTAGCATGGAGTTTTCGTAGTGGGATTTGTATTGATTATGGGGTTGTGTAGGAAGGTAGGTAAAGGTGTGTTAGTATTAGTACTTACCGGCCTTGTCATAGGCATCGATAGCAGCCTTCATCAAGTCATCCATTTTCAACAGAGAGTAGGGTCTTGCGACAAAACAAAAAGCATAAGTATATAGTGCGGAAACGAGAATTTCACTTGGAGGGTTTGGCTTGCCCTTTATTTTTTGATATTTTTGCGAGTTTGTGATTCCAAGAGAGGGAAATCTTCCAATCCATAATGCTGTATTTATAGGCAAAAAATCCCCCAGGTTCTATCTACTAGTAGTAGTGAAAAATCAGGATGGAGAACTCTCCTGGTGTGTAAGTGATCATTGGACACAGCCCCATCAATTCTAGGTAGGAATATAGGTCTAGTGCCCACATCTTCAGCTGAACAGGGGTTCATCTTCTCATGGTGGCTGCCAGAGTCTACATCTTGGGGTTTTGGAGCCGATTGGACATGCACGAACGACATTGAGACTGTGGCGGCCTGCATCTTTGCATCAGCCTCGCCTATTCTCCGCGCATTCATGACTTGGTGGCCAGTTTAGATTCCTCTTTATAGTGATTACTATCAGCATTCTTGTCTTAAAATTTAGAGGGAGCCATCTAAGACTAAAGGCTCAAGTTTCTTCATAAAGGATAGGTTAGTCTAGTATTAGTGGTCATGATCTTGGGCTTAGGGTACAGAAGCAGGCGCCATAAGGGGAATTCAAAGACAAAAGGCTAAGGTTTAGATTTTATAACAGAAGACTTAGGAATCAAGTGTGTTGAGGCCAGCGAAGGCAGCGGAGGTGAGATAAGGTTGTTGAAAGGCCTCTAGGGGAGAGGGCAGGCAAAGCACGGTGCTAATTAGGTATAGAATAGGGGGAGTATAGGGCAGCAGGCGGTTAAGCGGCGGCTTGCTATCCAAAGTTATAGGTGGAAAGGCAGCCATTTCTGGCGCCAGAGGCTATCATTTTCGGCGTCGTTTTCATAGGTCCCTATATTCTAGTTGTAATTGTCTGTAAGTATAGTATCTATAGTAACAGACATCACACACTATCCAGTATGTCATTCAGTGTATACTGTTAAACACATCAGTTACCACCCTCACTGTTGTATTGACAATAATATCAATCTCCTCCTGAGTAACAATGTACGGGGGTGCAAGGATCACATGGTCACCACGAACACCCTCGACCGTGCCTGTTCCCGCGTAGAGGGAGATGCTGTACTCTGGTTTCAGAGCTGTGTCTTGGATGAGAGATGCGATGCCGAGTTTTGCATCGAACGGTTCCTTGGTGGATTTATCCTTGACGAATTCAATCTATCCAATTAGCGTTTCGTTCGATTCAATTGAATATTAGCTTGTGTGTAACGTACCCCCCAGAACAACCCTTTTCCTCGGATATCACCCACGTGAGGATGACTCGCAAGCTTGGCCCGGAGTTGAGCTTCAAGATACTCGCCCATCCGACGCACGTTCTCCAGGAGGTTCTCGTCACGGATGGTTTTCTGCACGGCCAGCGCGGCGGCACAGCTCACCGGATGGCCCTGGTATGTCTGCCCGTGTCGAAATACACCGGTGCCTGCGTCAAGAACCTTGACGACTCGCTCGTTGATCAAAACGGCTGCAATGGGCGCGTACCCGCCTCCAAGACCCTTGCCGATGGTCTGGATGTCCGGCACGACGTCTTCTTGCTCCCATGCATGCAGCGTGCCGCACCGGCCCATCCCACTCATCACTTCGTCGAGGATGAACAGCGCGCCGTACCGTTCACACACAGCCTTCATGGCGCGGAAGTAGCCGGGGACGGCGGGGACGCACCCGAGAGCCTACAATCGGATTAGAAAAAGGAAAAACAAGAAAGATTGACGCCTTTAGGTGTTTGGGATAACGTACCGCTCCCACGACAGGCTCAGCAATGAAAGCACACACTGTGTCCGGTCCCACGAGTTGAAACTCCGCGTCCAGCTCGGCTGCCAGACGAGCCACGTAGTCCGCGTCCGATTCACCGTCTTTCTTGCCCCGGTAGGCAAAACACGCAGACACATGCGATGTCTTTTTGGTCAATAATGGCCTGAAAGCTTCGCGGCGAAGAATGTGGCCACCTGCGGCCAACGCTCCGAGCGTGACGCCATGAAAGGAGGGAGTCCGGCCGATGAACCGGGTTCGCTGGGGTTGAGGGGTGGGCAGCTCCAGGAAGTATTGTCGAGAAAGCTTTAGCGCAGCTTCGATAGCCTCAGAGCCTGCCGAAAGTATTAGAAACCGTCATCTTCACTTCACAGACAGTGCCAGCAACAGGATGACGCACCGGAACTGATAACAAACACTTTTGTCATTTTTCCTCCCGTGGAATCGACAAGGAAACGAGCAAGATCCTCGGACGCCTGCGTGCCAAAAAACGCCGTGTGGCAATAGGATAGCTGGTTGATTTGCGCAATCATCGCCTGCTGGACATTCTTGTTGCCATGGCCCAAACAGCAAACCGCTGCGCCGCCGGTAGAATCGAGGAATTTCTGGCCATCTTCGAGGAAGATATAACACCCTTGACCCCCCACGGCGGTCTTGGGGATGGCATGAGTGCTCCGGTGGAGGAGGGCAGCTATCATGTCAGTCAGTATCGCGGAGTCCGTGTGAGCCTGCAGTGATAAACGCTTCCTACGTACCTTGTTGCGACATTTTTTTTTCAGCGAAGTCCTACCAATAACTTTTCACGTAGACACCCCGCATTTAAATACCCGAGCTATACTTTTATTGTTGTGATCTTGAGGGCTGGCTGACGTGTAGCTTTTTGTCTCTTATCAATAGCCTCGGTGGAGGAGATAGTACGCGGGGCTTTTAAGAGGTCAGTTGCCGTGAACAGTAGGCATCAGCGACTTTCAACTGAGTCATAGATTAGAAGGAGAGAGGCCTGGATTTCAAGGTGAGATGAAAGTCCAATAATGAAGGCCATTGTTGCTGATTGACCGGGGTGTTCTCGGTCTTGTCTTCTCCGATGTACACCTCGCAGGCAACAGCCCACGATATGTTAGCGATGATAGTACTTATTTAATTAGTTCCTTATTCGAGGTCATGCTATTCCTGAGACAGCAAGTATCACGTCGATAAGGAATAACTAATAGATGAGTCATGTCGAGCTGTTCCAGTTCGAGTGGCACAGTTGAATAGGCACAGAATAGATAGCATTCTTAGTGTCGAATGACGGCAGATCAAGAAGAGAACTCCTGTGAGTACACCCAATGTTTTCAAAACAGCTTATCTCGACAGTATCAGCACCTTGACAATTGAATCATTACTGAACGTAGAGTAGGAGTGGAAGTAGCAGTAAATAGAATGAATACTCCTTTTTAAGAGGACGCTCACCGCTCGCTGTTTTCTGCCAACCGAAACACTGGCCAAAATCCCACGCCGTCTTGTGTGTTGCGCTGGCCTCACGACAGACAGCAAGCTCACTCTGGGGAATCCCGTCGACTGTGGTTCTGCATTGATTACGAGAACTCCTGGCTCACGGCTCGAGATAAAAGTCAACATCATGTCTCACGCCCGCGTCGAAGAGGTGTCCGATTCGGACCCCGAGGAAGTCTTCCCCTCGGAAACCCTCCCCTCCAATTTCGCCCAGGACGCGATCCTCAGACCGGCTGCTGTGCCACCGATGGCCGCACCGCCGTCAATGCCCATGCAGCCGCCGCCGGAGCCCCGTCGCGAGATCCCGAAACACTTCCAGTGTCTGTACCCGGTGTACTTCGACAAGACCCGCTCGCGCGCAGAAGGGCGCAAGGTGGGCGCCGAGCTGGCCGTGGAGAACCCGCTCGCCAGGGAGATTGTCGACGCAGTGCAGACGTTAGGGCTCAGCGTCGGGTTCGAGCCGGAGAAGCTGCACCCCAAGGACTGGGCTAACCCCGGCCGGGTGCGGGTGCAATTGAGAGATGAGGATGGGAAGCTGGTGAACCCCAAGATCAAGAACAGTGAGAGTCCTTAGTTGAAACCCCCATTTGTTGTGCTTTGACACACTCCCTCTACCTCTGAGCAATGCTGATCTAGATAGAACACCATCTGTATATCCTCGTGGCGCAGTACCTGAAAGCCCACCCCACCACCGAAGAATCGCCGTACCGTCTCCGGATTCGCGGCCTGCCGACCCCCGAGAAACTCCCTGGGGCTCCTCCCGCTCCGCGCGGGTGGAAGATTGGCAAGATCTTGCCCATCCATTCGCCTGCGTACAGCGGCGGCGGCGTCAGCGACAACCCGTTCAAAGAGGCCATGGCCGAGATGCAGAATATGCAAGGCATGCCGGGCTTCCCTGGGATGCCGGGGATGCCTGGAATGCCTGGTATGCCCGGTATGCCGGGGCTAGGAGATGCGGCAGCGAGCGGCGGCAAGGAAAAGAAGAAAGACAAGAAGAAGGCGAAAGCCTAGGGTTTAGCTCTCGTGAGATTGTTTCTCGTCCAAACTGTTTATATTGTATGGCTTGATGTATCTTTTTTTGTTTTTTTTTCTCTTCTTGCATTGCACGGCGTGGGCGTTGGTCTGGCTCAAGAAAGATTTACATCATATACAAAATGAAAGACAAGGACTAGTTTACTGCTACGCTCTCGATTCCTACTTATAGATCATGTAATCATTTCAATCACCCGAAAACTGTCTCCAGATGACAATCTAGCATGACATCGATCCACGAGACATCCTCACCATCATCTAATCGCGACCAGACCTCACGCACTAACTGGAGGGCATTCGCGATTGGCTTCTGCGGCAAGTTGCGCTCGAAACAGGAGAGTCGGTCCAGGACGAAGGAGCGAGCACGCGTGATCTCGACCGACGGCGCGGCGACGGCATCATGAAAACCACCCTTGTCCTCTCCATGCGGCGTATGCCCAGACGGTGGTGACTGTGATTGAGATTGTGCTGGTTGAGGCGTGTAGCGCAGCTCAGAAGAGGCCATCACCATCACCAGTGGCTGCGTGCAGCGAGTGCCAGACGTCGGGGGAATGGAGCGTAGACTGTCTAGCGCTTGAGTAGCCAGAGAGGACAGCCAGTCGTCCAGCGTGGGGGATTGAACATCTTCGAACGCAGCCAGGCGTCTCTGGGCGAGGTCCGGGAAGGTCCGGTAGAGCTGGAGCAGGCCCGCGGTCCGGTACGCCTCGGAAATCCGAATGAAGTGCCAGTTCGGGCTGTGGGCGTCTAACGTGTCCTCGACGGTGTCGACGGTGGGGATCTCCAGGGTGAGCAGCTCTGCTTCCAAATTGTAGGCATGGCAGACGTCGGCGAGAGCCTGTTCAAGCTCGTGTTGCCGGTTGAAGCGCTGGCTGCGCAGCATCAGCCGTTGGCGGCGCGTTAGTACCAAGACCTGTGTCACCAGTCGCTGTGCCGGCCCTGCAGCTCCAGTGAAAGGGTGAGGCAATTGCCGAGGGCTGCCATCTGTAGGTTGCGACGGGGGAAAGGATGCCGGAAAGGCTTTATATCCTGAATTGATGGGGGACTCCTCTTCCGGTGCAAGTTCCTTGTCTTCAACCACGGCAGCTATCATCTCCCAGTACACAAGTCCCTCTCGGCAAAAGGCGTATATGGCTTCATCACCGGGGGTTTGTCTCGGTAGTGCCGACGCTCGTTTGATCAAGGCCCTTGCCGTTTCCAAATACACAAGGCCCAGGTCACCCGCCGCATGCCATGCGCTGCTTAAACCTAGCATGAAACATGCCATGGTCAAAGCGCTGGCGAAACCGTGGTTCTTCTGTGAACGTTCAATTTGCCCAATACCATAGCGGAGAGCCCGAGTCGCCTCGCCCCTAGCTTGAACCGCTACCGATGTAGAGCCTGGTAGCCGAGTCTCACGAGTCTCGAGGTAACTGGCTGCCATGCTCCGCATTGCGTGATAGATAACAGGTGAGTACTGCCAGGATTCGTCAATATACCTCCGAAAAGGGTTGGAGGCAGAGTCGAAGGCCGAGAACACTGGACAAATGCGACTGAACCAGTATTCGAGCAAGAAAGTAGGTCCATGGATAGGCTGAGCAGTACGAGGGATAACCGGGAGGTCTATCGGGGTCTTGAGATTCCAATCTTGTACAGGGATCACCCGCAATTCTGGTGAACCTAGAGATGACGCTGAAGAAAAAGAGGAGGAGGAAGAAGAGATTGACGACGTTGAGGATGGCAGAGATGGTGATATTTCCCAGGATTGCATGGCCGCAAGCGAACCTAAACTTTCCAGCGATTTCGTGGCAGGTGACTCTTCTACACTCGAAGCATCTGTAACCAAGTCAATGGGCGATGGCAGAGAGAAATCCGTTTCTCTGGGATTAACCCTCTCGCTTTGCTGCAGTTGCACCCCTTCCTGCCACAGCAAACCGCTTTCCAGATCATCGGTGGGATCCTGCTTCCGCGAAGCAGAAGGGCTATGTCGCTCATGCTTGGAAGAGAAGCGCACATTGAGGCCATATCCTGGGCATTCCTTGCCTTTGCTGACGCATCGTAAGCAAGAAGGTTTGGCTTCATCGCATTTGATCTAATATCCGCTCCCCACCAATCCAATGTCAGCTTCTAATATCATAAAAGAGGTTTGGACTCCACCGTACATGTCTTGTTTTACATCGACGACAGCCGCCACGCGACTTTTTCACCCTTCTCCTGTTGGTGATTATCGGAGAAGGGTCCTGGGCGGGACGTGCATCTTGTGGAGAGCGCTGCATCGCCAACAGACTGCCGGAGTGCTAACAAGGCCCATATTCAAGCTGCGTATTCAAGCTTTCGATAGGGACCCTCAGCAGTCTCCATCGGAGTGGTCCAGTTGGTTGTGAGGAGGGAAGTTCAGGAGAGCCTCAAACCTGGGGTCAAGTTCAGACGGGCTGACGGGGTGCTTGCCCAAAGCGGACGCAGGGACCTTATCTCCAGTACGTCATTTACTGGGTGTGGCTTTTGCGTTTCATTGGAGGGGAGGGGCAGGCTAACCTAATACAGCAGGAAAACCCGCCGGCCAGAAGAGCAGTCATTGGCCAGTGATATGGGGTATCAAATATGATTGGTCCAAAATGTCAAGCTAATCCGAAAAGGTGAGCATAGATTAATTGAAGTTTTATACTGAGAGAGGCTGTACAGAAGACTGTAAAGGTATATAGTATATGGTATGGATATATCAAATTTAGATCTGGCCATATTGAAAGATCAGAAATGGCTTGGTTGCAGGTAACAAGGCTTGTATCTCTTATTTATTCGAGCTATACTATCTATGTAGTATTGCGATAAAGTCTTTAATATACACAGTGAAGAAGATTCTAGAGATCAATTGAGAAAGATCTATTCCAAGAGAATCGAAGAGCACCCTTTGAATGGGTGGTATTCTTCTTCGCCAGTCCATTGAGCTTCATAGAGCGATTCGTCCATCTGGGAAGCATCCATGCCGACAATGATATCCCTGACATCCAAGATTAGTGGGGTCCTCCAGCGAAAATATTTCCATAGGACTGAATTTCAACTTACTCATCACTAGCCAGGACTTCGAGTCCTGGAATGCAGTCAATCAGGGCAAACAGTATGTAGCTACCACAGAAACTCCATGTGAAGCCAATCAGTGCCTCGACAAGCTGAATCCCTAGCTGGCGCCAGTTGCCGTCGAAGAAGACGCCTCCACGTATCTCCGTCACGCCATCGTACGCAGCCACCTCGCGGCGGGCAAACAGCCCTGTAGCCAGGGTCCCGACAAATCCACCGATACAGTGTGTCGCAAAGCTATCCCCATTGTCCACCCAGCGGTACCGGGCAGCCAATTTGGTGAACTTGATGCGCAGCGCCTGCCGGCAAATCAACGCTCCCGCGATGCCAAAGAAGAACGAGGTCGTCATGTCGATGAACCCGGCGCTGGGTGTGATTAGAACAAGGCCCGAAATGGCACCCATGAACGTGCTGTCAAGACTAAATTTGCCGGTCTCGTGATATGTGAGGAGCGCCCAGGTGAGGGCACCGGATGCGGCACACAGGTTCGTCACGCAGGCGGCCATCACCGATTTGAAATTCAGCGCCAATGTCGTCCCGGCGTCAAAGGCCAGCCATGAGTTCCAAATGATGACCAAAGCAAGCAGCTGGCACATGCTGTTGTGTGGGCGGTGCAACTTGAGATGTTGCGGCGTGCGGACAGAGGACCGTTTCGAGCGGAATAGCGGATACGACAGGTAGATGCTCAGCGCTGTGGCCGTAGCACTGCTGCATATATGCACAGGTGTGCCCCCGGCAAAGTCCAGAACCCCCAGGTTGGCCAAGAAACCGTCCGACGACCAAACCATGTGCGCCAAGGGGCAATAAATAAAGGTACTCCAGAGCTAGTAGAAAGGTTTCTCATCAGCAGCTGTCTGTAAAGTGTGGGATGTGGGGAGTCAGGCTTTACGTACAAAGATAAACGGAATCAGGGGCAGCAGCCGGCCCCGTTCACAAGCACCTCCAATGGAAATGGCGCAGACTGTGGCACAGAAGATCAATTGAAACTCGGAGAACAGAATCTCTGGGATTGTTCCCATGGGTTCGGCCAGCACACCGGCATGGAACGCCTTAGACAACCCGCCGATAACGCCGTTTCCATCCTCACCGTAGGCCAGCGTGTAGCCTATTATCCACCATTGAACGGTACAGACGGCGATAGCGAGCAAACCCGGGTAGAAACTCGCCAGGCCACTTCGTCGTGTCGAGTATCCTGAGTATCCCAGGCCAACAGCGGGCACAATCGGCCAGCAGAAGACACAGCAGACGAGGATAAAAACGGTGTCTGTTTTGGAGCAGGCCTCCCAGGCTGCAAGCACGTCGGTAGGATTCATCCTGGAGACTCAACAATCTTCTAGATGGGGGTCTCTCGCATTCTGATAATTGTAAAAGCAAGAATAAGGAAAGGAGAAGGAAGGCCGTCATGAGGGGAGAAGGTAGACAGAAGTTATTCTGTTCGCAACTGATAAGAGTGGATCTGCAGGAAGTGTTGTGGTATTTCCCAGATAGGACAGTGAACCCGCAGCGTTGCAGGCACGGCGTATTGGAATATGATAAGTATTTAAGGTGTGATAATTAACTATTAGTTGAAGAGATATTGGATCTTGTGTAACTCCATATAGAGTACTACTAATTTGGAAGCTGCTTGATTATTTTTATAGGGTTGTGCCTATGGTATGGATTCGATAGTAAAACCCTCTACTTCCTTACACTTTTTGTCTATTCTTGAAGCATTAGGCTCAGAGTAATACTGTTTTCTATTGATTTATTCCAGAAATAACGATATAGAGCTAGTTATCTATCTACATACCAGTTAATACCTGCTAGGTAGACTTCGTTGCAGACAAAATGATTCGCCTGGACTCTATCTCCGTCAAATATATTGATAATCCTGTCGAAAGAAATCAATTCTATCCGAAATCAAGCCTGTAATCTTCGATCAATGCTGAAACCCTCATGTATTCGGATATAGACGGTTATACTCGAGCTGTGATGATGCCTGCTAATTAAGGCCGCAAGGCACCAACCAGCAGCCAGGTCAGGTGACGGCAGCTCTCCTTTCTTCAACAATTCCATCCGTGTCAGTTCGAGGCGTTGGACTCGGTGATAGTAACGGACAGTCTCGAGCATTGACTAATCGGCCAGTCCTACCGGACAGTTACACCACTCTATTATTCCTATTGACTCCCTATCTGCCCCCGATTGTCGATCTGTCTGAGCTGTCTTGGCGCCAATTCCCTATGAACCCCCGCTGCTCCGTCGATCGGACGCCCCCGCCGCTCCATCAGAGGCGATGATGCCGAGCCCACCGAATGGCCGGCCTGGTCTGGAGCTCCCAGGACAGGCTTCGCAGGCGCTGTTCCAGTTCCACGTCTCGCAGGCAGATGTTTCCATGTCAACGGTGAGGGCGACGACAGGTAAAGGCCCGCTGGCGCCCGGCCGCCAAATCACCCGCAATCGCGCCAGCTATAGCTGCCACACCTGTCGACGGCGGAAGGTCAAATGTGACAAGGTCTGCAAGGCGGTTTTTTCCCCTCTGTTGATGGTGGGGAAATGTCCTTCCGTACTAATGTTTGTAAATATATTTCGCAGATCCATCCTGTTTGTGGGAATTGCAGGAGAAATAATACCGAATGCGTGTACGATACCGCGCAGCGCAAAGGTTCTTCTCGCCTGCAGCATGAGGAGTCGAGCGATGGCCACGTGACAAAGCGACGGAGGGAGGAATCCCCTCAGCCAGACAATCCTGACGGCGTCGAAGAGGTCCAGATGGTATACGGGCAAGTAAAGCAGGAGCCAAAGAGCGCTGGAGCGAACGCGATCGAGGCGCGGCTGGACAAGCTCTCCTCGATGATCGAACGGTTCAGCAAAGCGAATCCTACATTAGACCCCGCCGAAATGAAGACACTCAGACGGAAAGCATTGGGGGCTGCGAGTCAAGGTCAGGCAATGGAGAAATCTTCGTCGGCGTCGCGAGGGACGAGCCCTCACCGCAACGCTGATTCAAGCGGCGATGAGTTCCCCATTCCCTCTGGGCATGCCACGGACCCGGTGGACCCCATGGGAAGCTTGAATCTCGGGCATCTCAGCCTCGACGAACGGGGGAGATCGAGGTAACTGTCTATCTACGGGGGTCGGGGGAGTCTATCCTATCTAATGCTGGGGATATAGATACGTCGGAACCACTTATTGGGCGTATATATCGCACGAAGTAGGCTGTATCTCGGAAGAGAAGAAATCCGAGACTTGCTGACTGCCTCTACAGATCAATGAGCTGAATCAAATGCTCAAGGAACAAAACCGATCATATGATAATCTTGGCTCCGATGAGAGCGCCTCCGATGGGCCTGCGATTGCAAGCACTGGCATCGGGCCACAAACATCACGGTGGAAAGGTTTGCCGAATGCTCGGACGCCACCTGCCAGGCAGGAATCCTTCTCGCAAGGAGAGATCTTCCAGCGATCCATTCTTTTCCCGTCTGCCGGCTCTCCATCCGTCCAAACCAAAATAGTGGATCCGGAGATGCTGGCTCACCTTCCGACAAAGCGACAGAGTCATATCTTGTATAAGGGATTTATGTCAGGAATCCATGCCGTCAGTCCAGTTATCCACCCTCCGACAATACTAAAACTCTATAACGCGTTCTGGGAGTGGTATGACAACAGCAGCTACTCTGGGGAGCCATGTCCCGACCCAACATTCATTCCGCTGCTTTATGCGATCTGGTATTGCGGTTCGGTCACCATCTCAATAAGATCAATCAAAGCCGACTTCAATGTCTCGTCGCGACATGCCCTCTCGCATCCGTATCATGATGAGACAACCCGATGGCTGAGCAAGACGTGCTTTCTTCGAAGCCCCTCCTTGCACGGATTGGCCGCCTACGTGCTGGTCCAAACGGTCTTGTCCAAAGAGGAAGAGCCACTTACCAGCAGCCTCTTTGTAAGCCTGGGCATGAGAGTAGCCCAATCCATGGGCCTGCATCGAGACCCCGCAAAATTTGGGATCGCATCAGCTGAGGCAGAGTATCGCCGCAGGCTCTGGTGGCATATCATGTACATGGACTGTATCATCGCAATGGCAAGCGGCCTGCCGCCAATCATCCCCGAAGACACATACTGGGACGTTCGACAAACGAACGAGATCAAGGATACCCTTCTAGGAACAGCCCAGGCGGAAAAGTATGAGCGGCTGGTGGCTACTGGCATGCGGCCACCAGATAACCCAGACGATCCGACACTCTGTGGAGGCCGTTCCATGGTCAATGTATACTACTTGTGGGCCAAGGGCAAATACATTATGACCCGTATGTTGGTTTCCTTTCCTTGCCGTAAATCCGATTTCTTAAACGAAGAGAATAACTTTAGGTACCACTGCTGACAATACGCAGGTGCAGTTCGCCGTATCCTCCGGATCCAAGTTGGCACCCGAGAGGTTACACGTAAGGATTTGGAAGAGCTCAAGTCCATTCTTGTCGACCTGCAAGTCAAGATGAGCGCAGTCATTGATAGGATCCCGCTCGTGGAACCATCCATTGCGTCTCCTATATCCCAATCGATTCCGTCATCATCGCCTCCCTCCAATCAGCCTGGGTTGCCTGGAGAGGGATCCCCAGGCTGTATGGAACAGTATCATTCACACGTTCTTGTTGCCTTTCATAAATGGGCCAAGATAGTCCTATCCATGTTCATAGACAAGGTAAAGAAGACTAGCCCCTAATGAATGGCTTACTTTTCCAAGCCGGATTGTACTGACTCGGGATCCAGTCATTTTGTGTCGCCTATCAACCCTTCCTGAAGAATGCCAAAAGCCGGATATGGTCCGTAGCCAGACAGAGGTTCGTCATTGATTGCTTTGGTTTAATTGATATGAGAAGCAACACATTCCTGATGACAGATCAGTGCTTTGCGTCACTGCTATGGCTTCATGGAGAAATTCATCTCTGTTGCGACAGAGTCTATTTTCCAGCCGTTTCACTGGAGCTGGCCTGGTAACCACCAGCCCATGCATGCAACAATGTGAGTACTTTTTTTAACCCTTGAAATTTCTGGAACAACGTTGAACGATTCTTGTAGGATTCTGCTCATAGATCTCTATGAACGCCCGTATAGCTCTGAGGCACCACGGTCCCGCGCCTTCATCGATAAGATCTTCTCGATGATAGGACCTGACGGAGGTGTGGTGGGTGGCGCGGAAGATGGCATCCCTACTCAGCGGCCGCTTAAAGACGGTGGCCGCGAAGCATGGGATATGCTGCAACGCCTTCGCTACAAGGCCTGGCAGAAAGCAGGGCTGGATCCAACCCAGCTCTGGACGGAGCAAGCCCAAGTCCAAGCCAGAACTGCCAGCCATCCATCTATCCCCGGATCTCCCTTTCCTAGTACGAGCAGCACTCAGCCACCCTCCCGCCTACCACTCATGATGAACCGACAACCATCCGACTCTAACAAGACCTTCTTTGACATCACCTGTGCGGCGCACCCATCGCCCAAGCCAGATCAACACTACCAACTCCCTCCTGTTCCTCCTTCTCTCTCAGCAGCAGGACTAAACAATCCGTCTCGACCGGCATACACCCTTCTACCACCCATATCTACAACTCGACCTATGGACCCCGTCCTGACTACACCCTTTACATCCCCGTCTCCAGCCCCGGGCGACACGCTACCGGCGCCAAACAATTTCTCCACAACAGCGCCTTCTTCATCCATGCATGCTTCGGTAATGGGATCTTCCTCATCGCCCAGCCACGACAGATCTGCCCCAACCCCACCGTCGATGATCGATCCCAACTTCGCCTTCGATTGGGACCAATGGGACGCGGTGTTCGGGCATTATCTGCCTGTTGCGGATGATCTGATGGATCTTGATCCGATGGCGGGGTTTGAGTTTCCAGATCTGAAGAAGCCAGCTTGACGATTTCCTTAACGTTATAACATACATAGAGATATAGATTTGTATCCTTGGATTCTGGATTCGATACATTAAAAATCTACCATTACTGCAACAGTCTATTTCAATAGCCAGATGGCAGAAAAGTCACAGGATAGAAAAGGTTTAAGACACAGATATATTCGTGAGGCGTGAATCAGTTAAGAGGAACAATATAGATGCAACTACGAGGGACGCTCGCGCAATGCAGGTCCGCATCGACATTTCTCCTTTCTCCCGTGGGGGTTCATTTCATTATGGGGGACTTTGCTGCTCCTCTCTCTTCATTTCTCTCTTGGTTGTTTTTATTTTTTTTTAGACCTTGTTCTCCTTCAGGCCGTGCTTCCAGAGAGTAGCGAAGGGAGTAACGCCGTCCTCGCGGAAGTCAATGAGGACGTGCCTAGTTTGAAGTTAGTATGGAATAAAGAAGTGCGAAAAGGAGGCTGGACGAACATGGCATCACCGTCCATGGACTGGCCCATGAGGATATCGTAGTTGTCGTAGTTGGCAAGGATCTTCTTGACAGCAGCACCGGCACCGGCCTTGAACTGATCGACGGCCTCCTTGTTGCCGGATTCCTGGAGCTTGGCGAGGAGCTTCTTGGCGTAGACTAGATGGGTCAGTTTCATTGATCTATTTTTTCTTGACCCTCTGGTCGTTGATTGGCGACTTGGTCACTCACCCTTAAGGTGAGACTTGAAGGCTTCCTTGGAAGGCTTCAGGCCCTCCTCGGTCTTGAGCCAGACGAGACGGAACTGGTCCTCGATATCGTGGACCATGACCTCACTGCCATCACCATCCTCGTCGCCACCATCCTCAGCGGAGGGGTTGGCACCCTCGAGCTCGAAATCCTCGTTGGTCTTCTTGAGGTACTTGCGGCAGTCAGTCTGGTAGAACATGCCATCCTCGGTCGTCTGGATCTTGAAGGTATCGGAGAGAAGCTCGTCTCCGGAGAGAATGTCCTACAAAATTACCACCCATTGTCAGCACATTTTCATCACATTGGCCTATGGGAAAAGAGAGAATGAAATGCAAAGACGCTCCAGGTACCGGAGTGGGGCATTGCAGCAGACACAGGACACACATACCTCGAAGATAATCATTTTGGCGGTGGTGAAGGAGTTAAAACGGTAAAAGCAGACTAGAGAAGAGAGCAGGAGGGAGTACAGAGGAGAGGGAGAAAAGAGAGTGTTTTTTTGCCCGCCAGAGAGGGGAAATTTGAAGTTTTAGTGGCGGCTGCCCAGCTGGTGGTGGGGGGAGGGGGGGCAAAAGGGCGCTAGCCTGCTTTGGGTGAAGACTTTTCCTTGACAAGCAGAAGATTCTTGAGAAAGACAGATAGATGCCAGATTACAATTCTGCTGTAGAACACTTACGCGAAACACCGTGGTACTTCAATCGAGTCATTATGCTCAGTATAAATTCGATCTGCCTGGATTTCTACTGCCTCGTATCGTATCCTGGATGTGGTACGAAGTACGCGACTTCAGGAGTCTCAGTCCCTCCTGACAACTAAACGGGTCTAGCCTCGCCTTACCTAACTCGTTTATGCCTCAGGCATCAAGGCAGCAAATCGCGATAGGCAGGGATCGCAATGACACTAATTTCTAGCCATGGAGGACTCACCACCTGCTGAGGATCGCACCACTTGTGCGTTGTTCGATTGCAAAGAGGTCATACTACTGCGACATACCAGAAAACCCTATCGTCGTATTCATCAACTTCCAGGTTTCCTGCGGAGAATCGGGTCTCCTCGTGGTGCCACCGCCCTGGAGATCGCCTGCACTTTTGGTGGCCCGCCTGGGATCCATCGCTTTTCCCCTGCCGAGATCTTTTTCTTGATAATCTCACCTCCCTCCCTATCTTCTTCGCCACCCGCCCTGGGGACATCGGTTTCAGCTGAGAACTTGTGGAATCTGATTCTTTTTTGATTTCCTTGTCATATCTTGTCTTCTTGTGGTTGTTACTGGCGCTTGAACGCCCCTTCGACCTCTCTCTCTCGGTGCTTTCCTGTGTCCGCGTCCCCTGATCTACTCGTCGCGGAAACAACAAGCCCATATCGCCCAGCGGACATTGGGGGGTTTTCTGTCAAATATTGCAGGTTGACTCCCGCTTCCCGGTTCCAATTGTTCACGGTCTTCCTCGTTTTCATACGATATTACCATTACCACCTTCCAACCGCGCGCTTCCGAAACCGTCTCCTGTCTTGCACGCGCCTCTTATCGTTACAACGGGGAGGAGTAGGTTTAAGAGCTACCCTCGCCAACTCATGCTCTCCGGGCAGTTCAACCCTTTCCTATCGGCTTGATATCTCCCAGCGATCTGCGATAATTTCATCCATCATGGCGTCCAACTCTTCCCTCCCTCTCGATCTGCCTCCGCTTCCGGCGTATACCCTGACCCTCCGCCCACCGCTTTTCGCGCCGATTCCAGACTATATCGTCGCGCTGATGCTGCCCATTATTGCGTACTGGGCTCTGTCAATGGTCTATCATTATATGGACGTTTACGACTGCTTTCCTCAGTACCGCCTTCACACACCCGCTGAGGTCCTGAAAAGGAATCATGTCACGCGCTGGGAGGTCGTTCGCGACGTCATTCTGCAGCAGGTCATCCAGACTATTTTCGGCGTCGCGGCGGCGCACTTCGATCCCCCGGAGTATATTGGCAAGGAAGAGTATGATATCGCTGTCTGGGCTCGCCGCCTTCGCATCGCCCAGAGTTACCTTCCCCGAGTCCTAGCGGTGGTCGGCGTCGACGCCCCGGGGTTGGCCAAGAAGCTCTCGGCAAATGGTTTCACCATGCTGGCTGGGGCTTTGGCCGGTGGGTACTACCCAGACAGCACACAGACCCTGATTCTGGAGAATGGTACGGAGGTTCTGGCCCCTGCCTTTGCTGGATGGGAGTTGTCGACGGCCAGTTTCATCTTCTGGTTTTTGATTCCTGCGCTCCAGTTCCTCTGGGGTGTCTCTGTGGTCGATACATGGCAATACTTCTTACACCGCGCCATGCACATGAACCGCTGGCTATATGGTGAGTTTCGTACTTCTTTATGCTCCTTGATCGCTCGCCGAGTCTTAGTACTGACCCACAACTCAGTTCATTTCCACTCTCGTCACCACCGGCTCTACGTTCCCTACGCTTTCGGTGCTCTTTACAACCATCCGGTTGAGGGCTTCCTTCTCGACACTGCCGGTACGGGATTCGCCTTCTTTACCTCGGGCATGTCGCACCGCCAGGGCATGTGGTTCTTTACATTCTCTACGATCAAGACCGTCGATGACCACTGCGGATACGCGTTCCCCTGGGATCCCTTGCAGAAGATTACCTCGAACAATGCTGCCTACCACGATATCCACCACCAGAGCTGGGGCATCAAAACCAACTTTTCCCAGCCGTTCTTCATCATCTGGGACCGCCTTCTCGGCACTCGCTGGAAGGGCGATGTCAAGCTCCGTTACGAACGGGGCAGAGAATCTGCTCAGCGCCAGGTGGATATGGATGAGGCTGCTGCGGCGGCGGCCGCTGCCTCCGCCGGCGAAGACTTGCCCGAAGAGCGGGCAGACCCTGTCGCCTCTGGCCGTGCCACCAAGCGGGCGACCTTTTCCTCTCCGCCATTGGAAAGCCTGAAGGGCGTTAGTCACGGGGTGACAAGCAGTGTTCTACGCGGGTAAATTACCTGCCTGTCGAGCGTTTATATAACATCGACATAAAGTCTCTTTTACGAACTTGGCACGGCCTCGTTTCCTTTTTCTTTGACCCGAACGGCGGTCGAAGAGCCTCATACAGAGCTCCTAACCCTAATTGCACGTTGGCTCTTGTTTATCTCTATTCACTTGTATTAATAATGAAGGGGCTGGTTTATCTTAGCCCAGTACAATAATGTCCTACTCATTTTTATTTATCCTTCCCCCCCTTTGTTTTTCCACCTCCCCCCCTTGAACATATATGCTTTTATTACTTTAATTGATGACTGGCAAAATTTTCATTTTGGCTCGCGGCTTGGGCACTTTCAGCTTCGTTAATTATTTTATCACAATCAACTCTATGATTTCAAAATAAAGTGTACTCTTTCTGAATCAACGTGTTTAATAAACATGCAGCCAAGGCCACATACATGGCCTTGTGCAATCGAAAAGCCAAACAACAACCGCTCCTGATAGAGACAAAAGGAAAAGGAAAAAAAAATATACCGACACTTAATCAAAGAGCCGTCTACTCATCTTTTGCGGAAGTCTCATAGTCAGAACAGTCCCAGCTACAGTCAGACGCCCAGCCATCCTCACATCTGGCCCTAAGGACCGCCTCAAACTCGTGTGCGCTACGCTCGCTGAAGTCTATAGGCAGTGGCCATGACTCTTCTTGCTTCTTCCTCAAGTGCAGCGGTGCCGGAATGAGGTCCTGATTCTCTTCTGGGATTGCAGCTAGCCAGTTCGGCCTCTTCTGCGGGACATTGAATGCAGAGGTGTTAGAAGTGGCTGAAGAGACAGGTTTACCTTGATATTTACCTTGAGCGTCACTGCTCTCCTGCTCGCTCACTCCCATGCTTGCGTAGAGTTTGGCGATTTCGTCGATGTCAAAGATATCCTCGTCGCCTGTCAACACTAGCGTTGTCTCATCTTGATCAACGACACTCTTTGATCTATCGTTTCTTTCCTGGTGGTACTTCTCCTCTTCATGCCGGAATGCAGGGTGAGTGCTTGTGAGTGGCCATTCTGGACCGGTTGTAGACGAAGAGACGCCCTCGGGATAGTAGTACTCTGGAATGAAACCCCGGCGGCGCCCTGTCGACTTGTGCAATCTATTCACCACCTTCCGCACTCGCTTCATCTCCACCGCGCGTTTGCTGCTTTCGTGGAGAAGCTCCATGCACAGCTGTCTGTGCTGGTTGATGGCGGCTTCGATAAAGGGCAGTAACCGGGGTGCGCGATGGTTGTGCCTGGTGCGCGTCCGACTCAGCATGGTGACCCTCAACTGGCGTAGGAAGATACGGTCCGACACGATCCGGGAAAGCATGCAGGCCTCGCACTTGTTAGCCTGCCACTTCCACGTCCCGACGGGCATGCCGCGCTCTGGCGACGGTTTGATCCACATCCCGCGCACGCGTTCGAGGTCCCGAACAGCAACCCTGACGTCGTACTCGGTGTCCAGCACCTCCGGGTACTCGTTGAACACGGCTAGATGGACCGTGACTTCCCTGACGACCAGGTCGAAGATGTGTGCGATCACCAGCGGGTTGATGGGTCGGTGGGCGGGACACAGCGTCGCGACCCGGTAATTCAGCCGTGCAAACAGACGCAGAACGCGTGATAATCTCATGCTCAGCGGAAGCTGGACTATCAGCTCCTTGATATTCTGCTCCAGGTAGGCACGGGTATCCGACGGGGTCGCGCAGCTGCTATCGGGGGGACAGGCGATGGTCAAGTCTACACGAAGGATCTGGGTCAGCAGAGCGAGTTCTGAGCGGGTGAGCTCTGATAGGGAGGTGGCAGGCCTGGAATACCTCTGTTTGCCCTCGTGGGCGTGTCTGGCGGTGGTTGGAGACGACAGCGACGTCGTCAGGTTCGACGTCGGTGTGCTGTTCCACCATGTTTTCGTCTGTTCAGGCATAGCATTCAAGGTGGTCCCACGCAGCGCATGGGATGAAGAATACAGAATTCTCTGTTCTGGGCACTAGGTATTGATTGAAAAAAAGAGTTCAGTAGGATTATTTTCTACTGCAGAGGAGACGGGGAGTCCTATATATACGTAGTGCTTTAGGATTCTCTTGGGGGTCATTCAAAGACATTGTTGCTGCCCATCTCAGCCTGTCTTTGTTCTTTCTCTCGGTCTCTTTCAACTTTGTATTCCATTCTCGCTTTGGATCAAAGACTGTCCCTAAGAAATCCATCCCCTCTTTGTTTTCTTTCTTTCTTTCCCCTCTGATCATTTTGCGTTCAAATAGCATTGTCTGTACAACAGCATGTGATACTGTTGCAACCACAAGATGTCCGAGCCATCTGGCAACGTCTTGTGCTTCTCTATTCTATTTCTTGACATTGGAAGAATCTTCCTTATTACAATACTAAGACGATTTCTGTCCTCCTCTTTCCTACTTATTCTGGTCCATCTGAGTCGATCTTTCCCTCAAGGCCACCGCCGAGTAACCGTCGTCAAAGACCGACTCTCAAGTTCCCCTGCCATAAGTTACCTTACCTATTCACAGTCCTAGTCTTTCTTTGCTCTTTCATATCACATTCGCTTTACTAAAATCTTCTTATCTATACCTAGTGTAATATCCGATTTATCGCCATGGAGGTTCAGCACTTTCCATCGCAGCGTGGAAAGACGCGAAACGCCCCGTTGCCTTATACTGTATCTCCGATCCAACTGCTGCGAAGCGATATATTCCTCTTTTTCAGAAGCCTGTGGGCTTTTCCTGGCGCCTTTCTTCCTCTCTTCCCATGGCGTTCAGGTCGCCTGGATGAGCTTTACCCGTCGGCGAGGAACCTATGGGGCATTCTCATGCATGGCCTTCTTTTCGTCTATCAAACTCTGTTTCTGGTGTCGCTCCCTATCTTGGTCTGTTCGATCCCAGCAACATGGTTCTCTCTTTGCATCGCCCTGGGGATCTTTTTAAACTACAAAGTCTGTAAAATGGCGTTGAACGGGGATCAGAGAGTGCTCGTCTCGAGGGAGCCAGTGGACGAGTCTCCTGGGCATGAACGAGAGCACTGGTTCTTTCTGAATGGGATTGCTGTGGGGTAGGTATTTATCAACAATTGTTCATTACTCTCTAGTGATGTCTGACCTTTATAGGAATCATTGGTTGCAGAGTAATATCGACCAGATAGGACGAACTTTCGGCAGGAGGGTCACGGGCATACATAACCGGACGTAAGACATCTTATGGCATTTCTTGTTGAGAGATATTGACCGACTCCAACAGGGTTGGTGTCATCTTCGATGTGATTGAATGTTTGATCCAGCGCGACTTCTGTTACGCTACGCAGGATATCCGGGATGCGTATAAGCTGGTCAAAGAGGCCCTATTGGACGAGCGATACGACAAGGTGGTCCTAATTCTGCACAGCCAAGGTGGTATCGAAGGAGGCCTAGTCGTCGACTGGCTACTGGACGAGATGCCGCACAATCTTCTGCGCAAGCTTGAGGTGTACACGTTTGGCAGCGCGGCGAACCACTTCAACAATCCACACCAAAGTGTGGCAGCGCTTCGCCATGCGGACCGTGACGACAGCAGCCAGGCTATCCGCCATATCGAGCATTATGCCAACGCAGAAGACTTTGTGAGCGTCTGGGGGGTGTTAAACTTTGCCACGATCCCGAATAGGTACATGGGCAGTATCTTTGTGCGGCAGGGGTCAGGCCACCAGTTCAATCAGCATTACCTGGACAACATGTTTACTCTGGGGGAAGATGGACGTGTCAAGGAGGATAACGAGTTTATGGACGCAGAGATGCACACAATCATGGATGGGAGAAATAGTGTCGGTAGACACAAGGTGAAGGATTTGAGCCGGCTCTGGCAGTATCGGAATGGAGGCTCTCCTGATGAGCTCACTAATTAATAGATAGGATAGATGAGGAAGGAGTAGCTCGCATACTATGAAACAGGTCTAGATGTGATGTATTCTTGCCATTATCTCCCTGTACACCCACAGGATCTCCTGAACGACCACCTCTGGCCTGAGGAGATTGATATTATGCCCGCAATCCGGTAATCGGACGAGTCTGGACCTATTCGACAGGGCCAACTGCTTCTCTTTGAATTTCCAATCGACCCTCCCCCACTCATCAAGCATGTCTCGCACTTTCTCCCGTTGAGAGTGCGTCCCGTTTCCAGCCTGCAGGCCAGCCTCGTAGACTTTGCGATAGTCTCCCGCCGCATCACAAACGACCAGACTCAGCGGTTTATCTCCCAGTGGAGTGCTTTCGAGTTGCCGCTTTGCCCGGATAGATTCCAGGAGTGATCCCCACTGAAACGGAGAGACTTCCGTCTTCGCTCGGTTTAAGTCAATTGCGCGCGCTCTCCACTCCTCGCTTGACAACTTGCATTTCTCCCGTAGGCCCGTCACGGTGGCGAAGCGCAGACCCCCTTCCCCGCCGAGAAGAGTGTTCATAAGGATATTCACTGATTCGGGGTCTGGCGTGTATAATTCCGTGGCCGGGTCGAGGAGAACCATCCCCGCGACGGAATCGGGGTGTAGATCGAGGTACTCTCGTGCGATGAAGGCGCCGTAGCTGTGCGCCACGAGGAGGACTTGGGGAGGGAAGAAGGGCGGAGAGTTTGAGGAAGAAGTTTGGTCTAGACTGCAGAGTAGAGTGTGGAGATCTTGTGCTGCCTTCACGGCGGGCGAAATTGTGGTTTCATCCTTGCTGCTTTCAGGAGACTTTCCTAGTCCGGCTCGGTCGTAGAGCAAATGAGGGAGAGAAAGTAAACGACTGACGGCTGGGTAGGAAGAGGACGACTCTGAGGCACCCGAGATGAAGACGATCAGGGGGGACGAGGGGGGAGGGAGGGCAGATAGGGTGTAGGAGAGCATGGCTCTTTCAGTGGAAGGTTGCAGGGAGATAGGTTTGGTGGTTGAGGTGATACCATTATACCCCTCTTTATAGTCATGTGATATGGCTATTACTTAGCTTGGCTTTTGGATAATGGCTGAATGGCTGACTGATTAGTAGAAATATATATATTAATTAGGTAGTAAGGTAGTATTGGTTGGAAGATTATTATATGATGAAGAGTCTGGCGCAGTTATACTGGAAATCAAGGGTATAAGAGTAGATCAGTCACTGTACAGTAATTAATAGTTTATGCTCTGTCTTGTGAATACCAGCTTTGACTCGGTATTAAGTAATATTTGATCGTGTAACTACTTGAGTATCTATTAAGAGGTTAATAAGTTATGAGATCTTCTATATACTAATCGTATTAGGTCAGTGGTAGTATTGCCATGTCGGGTTCAAGTATCTATGAAGAGATACTTGTACTAATGAAAATAGTCGAGCTCGTCACATCCTCAAACAGTCTGCATCTGCACCCAGGTGGTCGTCTTAATGAGTTGGATTTCTCAGGCTTCAAGTCGCCAGTGCCAGACCAACTGACAATGCAGTGAAGAACAAGTGCATTCGAGAAGCTCCTTGCTGGGTGGCAGCGGCTTCGGATCATCGGTGCGTAGAAGAAACCGATTTCTAGGCCGAGTGGCCTTGAGAGACTGTTTTGTCACCAAAGATGTAGTGCTCTTCAGGTGATGTCCATCCAACTCAACTTGAGTGTATTCACAGCCAGGCAAGGCTGCCAATACCACTCAACTTCAAGGGTTGTTCTAACTTCATCAACTCTTGCGGCGAGCATAGATGGTCGGATAAGACACATCTAGTTGTCAACTGGCTGTACTGCTTTTCTGGTGTATCTGTATCACTGACGATTTAATTGTGCCACTGTGAGATTCTCTCTGTCACCAGAAGTACTTCGGCCTTCCCAGGGACTGTGGGCGCTGGGTGGCTTTTGTTACCAGATTCAAATTTTGACTTCCTGGTTCTCTGACGGTTGTCTCTGGCGTGGTGATATCTGAGGAAATCAGGACAGTCCAGATGGATTCAGTTTGTCGAGTAGACCTGGCGAAGAGAAAGCCATGTCTAAAGGGGAGGCGCCGCTGAATGCTGTAGGGGAGCTTTTATATCTGTATAGCTGTTAAAAGTGTCCAGACAATTAATGGTGATTTATTCAGTGATAGAGTCTTTGATAGTAGCCTTCTTTGAGACAAGAGTGATGAAGATGGGAGAGTGATGAAGACGGGAGGGGGATGAAGGAGAAAAGCAATGAGAGAGGTATTTAAGTATAAGAGCAGTGGAAAATTTAGCCTAAGAGACTTGATACTGTAAGGGAAGTTGTCTTGTAGAGTAAATGTGGTTGACTTTGGAGTTGTCATACAAATTTATATACACAGACAAAACTCTTGGTCATACATGCTGAAACTTATACTCGGGCCTACATTCACTGCTGTTAGAGTGAATGACTCGACCGAGGTAGATTCCCTTCAATGATTGCTTATGACTTTTTATAATATTAGGCTACAGATTTTCTCTTCGCCTGATTAGACATGTCTGATAGAGAGATAGCTGATTGATAAACCATCTGTGAAGAAAGTCGGTGTCTTGAAATACAGCAAGTAGTTAGACCCCATTGAGTCCTGCCAGTGGAGATCTCACGCTTTTTATATCCAGCATACTATGTCATTGCTTGCTGATCCTGGCCAACCCGTTCAGCCAGTCCTGATGGCCGAGCAGCATCGGATTCGGCCGCGTGGTCGCCAGCTGGGCAGCAGGTTTGCCAATCTGCGTCTCTTGCGTCAATATACGCACAGCGCCCCATTCTGTATCCTCAACCAGCCAAGCGTGGTAAACTTCCAGTGCTGTCTCGGCGTCGCCATCCTGCCATGCGCGCCAGGCCAGACGCCCCGGGGAGCCTGGCGCGGGGGCCACGGATTCCCAGACCTCGGCGTTGAGTGGGGGGAACCCAAAGGTCGAGAAGCTGAAGCGGTCGCCCTTGGTGCTGAGTGTCGTGCCACTGGCGGGCGGGGTGATCTGGCTGACGTTGTCGTAGTAGGATTCCCAGCAGGCCATGTCGACCAGATTGGGCCAGACCTGAGCTGCGGTCAGGTTCGTGACGAAGATCTCGTTCGACACAAAGTTGTCTGTCGTGCCGGGCAGGTACTGCTTCGGCCAAATGATTGAAGACATTTCAAGAACACTAGCTGGGTTGGATTGACTTGAAGAGTAAGCCAGAGTAAGCTGATTGCTACACATTAAATAGTCCTCCCATTTTATAGTATGGCGGAGGTCTTTTTCATACTTGATTGCAGTCTAGCCTATACAAGACTAGTGTCCGCCGGATTATCAAATCAGCAGGAGTATGCTTAACCAGAAGCGGATTAGTCCCCGCAGGGTATAACAGCAGAATAAGGGAAGGTTTTTATATAGGCGGAATAATACTCATGGCCCTGCAAACTGCTTGGCTCTTGCGTATGGAAAGAAACTGGCGGAGTCCTCCAGGGCTGATGGATGCTTCTCGAGTGCTCGGAAGTAAGTCACGTTCCGTTAAGCCTCCTTCGGGCTTAGTGGACCGGACTACATGCTGTTTCAGTAATGACCTGCATGCACTCCGATGACAAATTGCCACCTAGGTAATTAGTTATACTCCGTATAAACCCGGGGTGGCGTTTATTAATCCAAGTCCATATTTGCGTCCACTTGGCAAGGAAAGCTTGTTTCGGGGTTGAAGCTCCTTCGTATCCTTCGTGCAGAATGCACACTCAGTTTGAGGCCCGTCGGTTGTAGTCTGGTCTAAGTCTGTCCACACGCCGGGGCAAGCAGTTCAATCCCTGGGGATTAGCCTGTTTCAGATCTTCATGGTTATTGCTTTCTTCTTGCCGATCGATACTGAGGTGTAAGATAGTCCAGCCTGTGGCTATACTTGAAAGACAATCCTAGTCAGCAGGGCTCATGACTAACAGAATTCAAGAGGATAACAGACCTATGTAAAGAACCCATTTTGGACACCTTCATCCCGCCGGTACCAATGTGTCAGCTTCATCGTGGACCGACCCGGATTGTAGACAAAAGAAGGAGGTCGTTGGGATTGAAAAAGGGAGTGAAGCTGGAGATCACCACCGCTTTCCCAAAACAGTCACCGCTTCTGGCCACTTTCCCCTCCTGTTTTCCTCTTGCGATTGTTGGGATTTCGTGCAAGCCAGAAGAATTGCTTCGAACACGCCCATGGAGACGCAAGTACGATGGAAACCAAGATCGATGGACGAGTTCTGACAGGTAAGTGGTTTCATAAGTCTATACTGTCATTCTATCGGTCTCCATCGGGCTTCCGTATCTTATCAATGCCGGTCTCGGCTCTGACTTTTTCATTTCTTCAGGCTCCCGGCATTCATTCAACGGAACGTATTGAGCCAGTATTACGATCAATTGTCTGGGGGGACATTTCTATTGATTTATCGATGATCCATTGACCCTCGTTTTTGAGCGGGCTGATGCATGCTGCCATAGATCGAGTGATTTCTGCTGCAGCATTGGCTGGGGCGGTCGATGGGGGTCGCGATGGAAAAGGTTTTTTTGCTCGACGACCCGGAATCGTGGAACGGATCAGTTGAACGGTATATTCGACGCCTCCATACCTCGTTTGGTGGTACTTGGTATGCTAATTTAATAGAGCTGTATGGCGGTATCGCACTGAAAATCTCTCTGGCTTCATCGGTCAAGGCAACCTGCATCTGTCGGTCTTGGCACTGTCCTTGCTATTTTTCGGTCTCTGCTATGGCATCCGCTATCTGCGCCGGCTCTTGAAGAGCTCGGCGGCGGCTCCTGAGACTAAGTCGAGGCATTATCGGCCATTACAATATGAGCTGGCGCATACTGCAACTGCCGTGGTTGCCTGTGCATTGCACTGGCTGGCCGCCCCCCGGGATGGCAGTTGGAAACAGTCTCTTTTGCACAGCTATATCGTCTCTCTCGGCCTGCTGCGCTTCGTATGTTCACGGAACAGACGCCGTCTGCGGAACCAGGCATACTGTCACATGAACGTTGTCGCCACGGCTGCCGTGTTCCTGGCGGTCCTGCAGCACATCCTCCCCTTGCTTATCATCGGTTCAACCTATGTGCCTCCCCCGCTGGAGAGTGCTGCGGCAGCTTGTCTGGTGGCCACGGTGGCTGTTGCTCTAGCCGCGCCGCGGCCGGTCCGCCCCATATCGATAGATGAAGGAGAGTTAAACGTCGAAGAGGAAGATGTCTCCCCGGAAGAAACCTGCTCCCTCTTCTCTTACTACTGCTCATACGAATGGATCACTTATCTGATCCTGCGTGGCTTTCGTAGAGACCTGACCATGGACGATCTGCCCCCACTACCGGCGTATGATGATCCCTCTAGCTGGCTGCGCAAGATCCGCGCCCAGCGCCAGCGAGGAGGCAAGACCCTACGCGTCTTGTTGCGGCTGATGAAGACTGAGATTCGCTTCATGGTGGGCTGGGCGGCGGTCACGGCTGTGGTTGAGTGTGTCGCTCCCTTCGCCATGCTCTACCTGCTCGCTTATCTGGAGGATCCGCATGATGCGGTTGTCCATCCAGTCCTGTGGATCGCTTTGCTGCTCATTGGGCCCGTCCTACGCTCCGTCTTCAACCAGCAGTATATCTTCACAGCCACCCGGCTGCTGGTGCGTGTCAACATCTCGCTCGTTCAGGATATCTATCAAACGGCCTTACGTTCCCATATCTATGATAGCTCCATCGATCGCTCTGCCACGGACGACAAAACGTCGTCCACAAAGGACCCCTCTTCCAAGAAGTCCCGCCAGGCCAACCTCACCAGCCTCATGTCCTACGATGTCGATGCCATCTATAACTCGCGAGACATCTTCAATGTCATGACCATGGTCCCTATCGTGACTACCATTGCCACCATTTTCCTCTACCGCATGCTCGGCTGGCCCTCCCTATTCGGCGTGCTGACCCTGATCTGTTTGACTCCGCTGCCGGCAATGGCATCGCGCAAGGTCTCGCGTATCCAGCAGTCTGTCATGCGCGCCACCGACGTGCGCCTGGCCAAGATCTCCGAGTACCTCCACTCCATCCGTACCCTCAAGTACTTTGGTTGGGAGCCCGCCGCCATCAATCAGGTCAATAGCGTCCGGGCCGTCGAGCAGCAGCGCCTGTGGCAGCGCAGCGTCTACGCCGCCGCCATCTCTATGGCTGGCGATCTCCTGCCCCTCGTCAGTCTGCTTGTCATGTTCACCCTCTTCGTCCTGTTCACTGGCCGCCCGCTACACGCTCCAGTCGCTTTCACCTCCCTGTCCATCATGGAAACCCTCCGCGGCCAGTTCGTCTGGCTGTCCAACGTCAGCCGCTACACGGCGCAGGGCGCTGAATCCCTTCGCCGCGTCGATCATTTCTTCGACACCGCCCAGGAGATCCAGCACCACCCGGAGGGTCCCCTCGCCTTCGACCACGCCACCTTTCGCCGCACCCCGATCGCCCCGTTCCGCCTCAGAGATCTCCATATCCGCTTCCAACCCAACTCCCTCAACGTGGTGACTGGGCCCACAGGCTGCGGCAAAACCACTTTGCTCCTCTCGCTGCTGGGCGAGACCGTTCTCGAAAAGGGATCCGCAACCTGTCCTCGCGACGTGGCTTACGTGCCCCAGGCCCCCTGGCTGCAAAATGACACCATCAAACAGAACATTCTCTTCTATAGCCCCTTTGATGAAGCGCGGTACCAATCTGTAATCAACGCCAGTGGCCTCGCACAGGATCTTGAGCAGTTGCCCGCCGGGGATCTAACTGAGGTCGGCGAGCGAGGCACTTCGCTTTCCGGTGGACAAAAGCAACGCGTCTCCCTAGCTAGAGCGCTATACTCGCGCTCGACAACCCTCTTGCTCGATGACATCTTTTCCGCCCTGGACACGCACACGACCACCCTCATCTATGGCAAGTGTTTCCGTAGTGGATTGCTTGCGGGACGCACCGTGGTCCTCGTCACCCATCTCCCCGCCGCGCTGCAGGACGCAGAGATAGTTGTCGTTCTCGATCATGGAAGACTGTCTTCGGTCACGTTGCCCAAGGAATCTCGACCGCTTCTCGCCGAAGGCACCGTCGCCTCCAGTTCGACCAGCGTCGACGAAACCCCACTAAACTCGGATACATCGACAGAGGTTATAGAGAGTGCTCCTGTTAAGACATCATCCTCCCAGCCTGTGTCGAGGCAAGCGAAAGAGTCTACTATCACGGGACGTGTACCACGGACACTAGGTAAGTGCTTTTCCTCTTCTCTTCTTTCTTACTGACTACTGACCATCAGTTTTCCAATATATGACGCTCTTCGGTGGTTTCTACTACGCCATCCTGGTGATTCTGACCACCTTCACAGTACAGCTGGCATACATATCCATCACGTACTGGTTGTCGATCTGGACGGAAGCGTACGAGGAGCAAGAGAAGCCGAATTCGCTCTTCTACCTCTCGGTGTACGCGGCAGCGATCCTAACGTTCCTGCTGTTGCAGCTGACGAACAATTTGATCTACCAATTTGGCAGCTGGACGGCGGCGCGCAAGATGCACACCCGCCTCGTGGCCGCGGTACTCTCGGCGCCGATCTCTTGGTTTGACGAGAACCCAATCGGGCGCGCGATCAACCGCTTCGGCAACGACACGCGGTCCATGGACACGGTGCTAGTCGACTGGCTGCGCATGTCGATGGAAAACGGCTTGCGGTTCGTGCTACGCATCGCCTCCATCGCCTCGATTATGCCCATTTTCGCCTTGCCTGCCGTCATAATCTGCTCCATTGGTTTCGCCATCGGTGAACTGTACACGCGCACACAGGTCTCTATCAAGCGCCTCGTCTCCACCAACTACTCCCCCGTCTTTTCACACTTCACCGACACCCTGGCCGGGCTGACCGTCATCCGCGCCCGGCGCGATATGGATGCCGTGTTTCAACAGCTACTGGCTGACAAGCTGGCCGTCCACGCCCGTTCGGCCGAAACCCAGTACAACTGCAACCGCTGGGTGTCAATCCGGTCGGACTTTTGCGCCGCCAGCGTCGCTGCCGTGGCCGGGTGCGTCGCCTACTTCAGCGCCGACTCCGCAGGGCTGGTCGGGTTCTCACTGACCAACGCTATTGGGCTGAGCCAGTCCATCCTCATCTTAGTGCGCACCATGAACGAGCTCGAGGTCGAGCTCAACTCGTACCAACGCATCCGTGAGTACGCTGAAATCCCCCCGGAAGAAGAAGGAGGGAACCAAGAAGCCACTCAGTCACCCGCCGTTGCTGCTTCCAGCGTGCCCGCCAGCTGGCCCACCTCTGGTATTGTCACCTTTGACGCAGTGACGGCCCGCTACTCGCCCGACGGGCCCGACGTGCTGCGCCGCGTCTCCTTCACCACCCGGCCTGGTGAGCGCATTGCCATCGTCGGCCGCACGGGCAGCGGCAAGAGCACGCTTGGCCTCTCCCTGTTGCGCTTTGTGCCCTTGGTAGGCGGCCGGGTGACGGTCGACGGAGTAGACATTGCCGCTATCCCCTTGCACCGGCTGCGCACGAGCATCACGCTCATCCCACAGGAGCCAGTCCTTTTCTCCGGCGACGTACAGTCCAACCTTGACCCGTTCGGAGAGACGGGCGATTCCGAACTTCAAGCGGCTCTCGCCGCATGTTCAATCCGAATCAGTGGGGGTAGCAGTAGCGGTAGTGGCAGTGACACTGAGCGGCAAACCCTCCGGCTAGATACCCCCGTCGCCACCAACGGCGAGAACTTCAGCCAAGGCCAGCGGCAAGTCCTTAGCCTGGCACGCGCGCTCTGCCGCCGGTCAAAGGTCGTCCTGCTGGATGAGGCGACCGCCTCGGTCGACCATGCGACGGACATGCACATGCAGCGCCTGCTGAGAACAGTGTTTCCCGATGCAACCATCATCGCCATTGCTCACCGGCTGCGCACAATCATGGATTATGATCGTGTGTTAGTCATGGCTGAGGGCGAGATCGTTGAGTATGTTTATCCTGCAATATATATATATATATATAGAAACACAGTCATGCTAACGTTTTAGGAATGGCTCGCCTGCTCAGCTGATCGATCAGAAGGGCGTCTTTTGGAGCATGTTGAAGAATACAGGCGAATACGACGAGCTGGTGCACATGGTACAGGAGGTGGCATGATTATAAATAACTATATAGACCTGACCTATTATGCATAACCTATAGAAGTGAAATATGAATGATGCAAACGCATATTATATCAATCTAAGATAATAATACATTTCACTAATCTAGGTAGACTAGACAGGCTTACTCAAAGTAGATTATCAGTATTATCAATCATGTATAAGAAGCTCACTTAAATGGGTATCATCAACATATCATATTAAGGCATAATAAGAACCATCACAATCCCGAATACGGGCTCCCTCGAACTCGCACGACTACCGAGAAGGTCCCAGTTCATATATGGTCGAATCCCGAGCATCAACCTCGCTTGGGTCGCTGGCCGACAGTGTATTTGCCTGAGTAGAGCCGGCCAAATGGACAGACTCTAGCTCCTGGGGATGTTCCATTTGTGGAACGCTGTGGTAGTTACCATCGGTCGAGAGCTCCGCGCGCTGCAGATTGGGCGACAGGTCCGTTTTGTGAGTCTTTTGTCGGTTTCGGCGCCACAAGAACCATGCCAACACAGCCAGAGCGGCCAGTCCGGCCACCCCGCCGACGACACCTCCGGCGATAGCACCGGTATCGCTGGAGGAGCTACCGCCACTGTTACCTCCACCAGTAGAGCCTGAAGTATTGGTGGGTGTGCCGGTTGTTGATGTGGATGTCGTCGTCGTGACGGTGGTAGACGTATCCCCTGTGGTGGTGGTCACTGAGGAGGAAGTTGTCGAGCCGGTGCTTGTCGTTGTCGTCGATGATGTGGTCATCACTGACAGGGTTCCATTGTTGATATATCCGATGGTCATTGCCTGGCCCAGGGTGATAATCTCGGTTGAGTTGTCACAACAGGACCCGTCGGTTCCGCCACAGCAAAAGGTTCCCTCTGAAGTGGAACACTCCCAGACCTCCGGGTTACCATCGTCGCCTGTAAGAAAACAAAATCAGAGATGACTGTATTTATCGATGGGGTCATGTGAGCGACTAGCAATAACCTACCACAGATATTAGGGCACTCGGATGACTCCCCTATGAAGCTATAGTTAGTGGCTATACCCCAAGACCCACGATCTGCCGAGTGTTCGGTGCTCACAAGTCTCGTCGGTGCAGGTTCCCTGATAAAAGTCCCCCGTCTGCCATTCACACAACCTGTTCGACATGCAATAATATCCATCGCTGCAGCACCAGGTCACGTTTCCATCGTCGGAGCAGGCAACGTTGCTCGAGGCTAGATCTCCGTCAGAATCATAGCACGAGTCGGCGATGACAGAGGGGAGCGCTGCAAGGAGCAGCGCCCCGATAAGAGGTCGCACAAAGAGCAGCCCGCGCATTGAAATAAATCTTTAATATTATTATTTATTTATGATTCAGCCTTGTTGCAACCAAAGCGGGAGAAAAAGATCTCCAGGCCAGGTGTCAGGCAGAAGAACAGGGCAAACAAAAAGACAAGAGTTGAAGAGAGAAGGCACTCGAGAAGAGAGACATTTGGGGGCGGTTCCTGCTATCAGGATCAGGGTCTGCGTTAGTTATGAAATAATCACTGGCCTGAAGAAACCGGCTACTAATCGGCCGATGGTCAGGGAGGCTGAGAGCCAAGAGAAGGCTGTACTGGAGTGCACCATGTTCTGTATGGCGAACGAAACCCATGTCTGCGTGCTGGGCCCGCGTTCCAGCCTCCTAGTAGGGATTGATGTGTGGAGAGGGGGCCTCTCCGTACAGAGAGAGGGTCCTGCAGGCAAGAATAGAGGATCTTGTGTTATTCAAGTCATGGCAATCGCCCGAGTCGAATCTGGACTCCGTACATCCATCATCTGTACTTTCTAAAGCCCCCGAGCAATATAGCCTGATCAAACCGTTCACATCGTGCCTGGAACCAGAAACCGTCACCACCAACAAACACAGGAAATTTGAGGGGATCGTCGAATACGATGTCTAAGCCCAGCGGCCCAACCAAGGCGACAAACGGATCATCCTAGTGTGGAACACGGCAATTAGCGTTTCAAATCCGACCTGCCAAGATTTGCCAGATCAATCCCACCTCCAGAGATAACTGCGAGTCCCAGCGGTAGGGACTAAGAATAATCGAGTAATCCTTGTTGCCGTTCTATTTCCGGGGGTTCATCCAGAGGCGATCGGCTTGCTGTGCAGGAGGAACAGCCCACTCAGCCACTTTGGGTGCGTCCTCCGCATGGACGATCGTGATCATATGAGATGGCTGAGGACTCTTGGTCCCTTGCCATCAAAAGCAGGATAAGTCGGGGATGTTTCCATCTGAGAAAGTTACAGAGAACAGACCGTAAGAAGAAGGAGATATTGGGAAATGATCGAGTCATGTGAACCACCATGTGGATGATGACTAAGCCACTAATCCTACAGCAACAAAAACTCCAGGGAAACCACAGAGAAAGAAACCTGCCTGCTCACTACTACCTACTTCTCAGCCTCAAGGCTGGCTGGTGGAAGATCAAAGACGGCATTTGCTCTGTATAGAATGACTATTCCATTTGGTGTAGTGGGAACTAGATTCCCAAAGCTGGATGTTGTCAAAATAAGCGTTGGACACAAACCTTCCCTGACTCCTTGCTTTCTAGTCTGGATAGACGGGATATTCTATAAGATTGAGGCTGAAAGCTAACAGTTCGCTGCTCAATAGCTGATTTTGAACGCCCAGGTCCAGTGGTCTCCGTTGATCACATCGTCGCTCATATCCAGGACGAGACTGCCATTCGCCAACTTGTGGGAAGGCACCACCGTGCCGGCGGCGTCTCCCCCGATAACCGTCACGTTGTCGCCCTCGACCCACGGGACGGGGCTGTTGAGGGTGATGGTCGCGTTCGGTTGCGCCAGCGCAAGGATGTAGAAGGCGTCCTCCGTTTTGGTGAAGCGGATCGCGTCGCCCTCCTCTGGCGTGACGAACCAGTAGGTCGTGTTGTAGATCGCTTCGCCGTGGTCCTTGATCCATTTTCCAGCTTCACGCAGGTGGTTCTGCTCGACCTCGAGGATCGTGCCGTTGGCCATCGGCCCTACATCCAGCAGGAAATTGCCGTTCTTGCTCACAACGTTGACCAAGCTCGTCACAATCGTGCTGGCGTTCATGTAGCTCGACATCGGTGTCGCCCGGTTGTACCCGTAGCTGTACGGGTCCATGCCTAGGTTGGTCTCCCACTTGCGCACCTGCACGCCACCGTACGTCGCGTACTCGGGAGTGTCAAAGTCGCCCGGCAGGCCGCAGCGGGAGTTCATCACCACCTGGCGGTTCTCCTTTGCCGCAGCGTTGAACCATGCCGAGGCGACTTCTGTAGTCCGATTGGGGCCGCCAATGTCACACCACATAATCTCAGTGCCCATGTCGGCCAGGGTTTGCATCTCCGGTACGATGACATCGGTGATGTAGTCGTCCACGTCGACAAAGCCGGTGTACGGGAGAGTCTCGTTGTTGAAGGGATTGGTTGCGTTGCCTACAGAGAGCATTTGATTAGCATGTGTGATGAAATGAAACCCGAGGTAGAGGGTATGAATCTTGAAATACCTCCGGGCCAGTCGCCAAAGCCATACTTCTTGTACGCAGGACTAAACCATTCCGGAAGAGAAAAATATGCAGCCCGATGGAGTTGGGGCTGATACTTCTTAGCAGCGTGAAATAACTCCTGCACGAGTGTCAGTCAGACTGCTCAGAAGTACTCCCTATGGTCTATAATAATTCACCTCGAGCAGATTCCGGTACGGAAACTGGGCCACCGATGTTCTCTTGGTTACAGTGTCCGGGAGATCGAAAAGCGCATAGCCATCATGGTGCTTGCTGACCTGGACAAAGTAGTTGGCGCCTGCGTCTGCGAACAGGTCGACCCATTCCTTTGGATCCCATTTATCGGCCGTAAAATTCTGGATGAAATCATCGTAGACGACGTTAGGCCCGTACGTATGAAGATCATACCAGAACGTGCCAACGGACCCATCTGGGCCTTCGTTAAGGTCATACCAGTACCTGGTAACCACAAAGTCTGTCAGAAGAAAGATAGAAACGGTCAGTTCATCTTTTCGAAACTCACCATTCGGCGTACTCCTCCTTGGCACCCTTGTTCCCCCATCCCGGCACCGAGTAGATCCCCCAGTGGATGAAGATGCCGTACTTGGCGTTGTTATACCAATCCGGTGATTCGTGAGCATACACCGACTCGTATGTCGCTTCGTACTCATAAATCCCAAAGGTGGCGTTGAAGGTGTAACTCTCCGCCTCGATACCCTGTCCCGTAAACACGACCGTCGCGTTGCCAGATGTGCCTGCTGCTACCCCATCCTTGTTCACAACAGCAATCTCGATCACAGCCTGGTCACCAGGCGCCAGTCGCTTCAGGTTTCCGGCGGCGACGGTCTCCACGCCTTCTGACTGCACATGGACCTGCACCGACTGGTTCCGCAGGACAAACTCCGAGCCCACGTTGTTGATGGTCACCTCGAAGATCTGCGTCTTGTTGCTCCCTTCGACCCATTTCTGCGTCGAGCGCGCATACTGCACCTGCAGCTGGGAAACGGGTGTGGTGCTGGTAGTCTCCGGCATCGGCCATAACGACAGAGCAAAGATGTGCATCTTCGTATCCGTCGTGCCCGCGTCCACATCCGGCAGGGTCAACGAGACCAGCTCCTTCGACGAATCCACCCAGCACGTCGCCTGGAAGATGTTGGATCTGTTCCAGTTGACCGTCGTGTTGGTCAGATAGTATGGGAAGACCAAGTCCCCCCCCGCTGGGTAGGGCCAGGTCCACCACTCCGGCACGAGGAAGGCCGCCTCGGTCGTTGTGTTGTCGGCATAAGTGGCTAAGACGGTCGCCGATGCCATTTCATCCTCCGCAGAGGATAGCAGCTGGAAGCTGATATACTTGCCCTGGGTGATGGGGATCTCTTGCGCCTTCGCGAGGATGTTGTCGTACCCGGATGCGTTGTAGGTCGCAAATCCGTACGTGACGCCGCCATAGATGAAGCTCGAAGGAGGCATGGCTTCGGCAGGATAGGAGTCTACAACCCATTAATAATATACACAAGTGCAAGGTATAAGTTGATGGAGAGGATTCCGAGAAAACATACTGCCTGCCCCATCGTAGTCCGCATCATTCGGACCCATGCCAAAGGCGCGGTTGTTAAAGAAGGGGGTCAGATCTACGGGGACAGAAGCATTGCGGCTGGCCGGCGATTGGAATTCATTCTGGGGTTTGAAAATGACTGCCTGGGCAGTCAAGACAAGGACGCCCAGAATGAAGTGAGGGAGAAGCCTCCGGTGCATCTTGTTTGCAGAATATCAACCAATTGATTCAAGTCTTGTCGACATAGCTCTCCTCGAGATTCGTGCCGTCAATTATTTATGTACATATCTCCCGGCCAAAAGGTGCGGGGTCAACAGAGTCGCCTGAGGTTTTTCAGCGATCGCCCACGGTAACACTGGGTATGGAAGCCCGTCATGTCACTGTCTCATCGTCTGCGGAGATCTGATGATGTTTGTTTGCGGGGAAGCTTCGACTTTGTCATAACGCGGTTGAATGTATGAAATCACTATTCCCATTTCGCCTAATCGGCCGCTTCATCCCTCTCTAGTGGGAGGGGAGGATTCGTCCCAGACTCCATCTCGGACCATTCATCGTGTTATTATTGGAGACTAGGCTGACGGTCCTTGATAACCTTGAAGTTATCTATCGCAGCAGAAGTGGAATGACGCAAGCTCCGAAGAATGCGCCGTCGCTCTACCACCTTGGACAATCTTGCATTTCAGGTGTCATCCTGCATGCGACGCAACTATCAGCGGAATGAATATGGGGCCATTCGCAAAGATCCGGAACATTTCCGAGCCGAATCAAAAGCGAAATCAATAATGAGGATGGATATCAGTCACAAACTGAACGCAACGGTTGATCCGGTAAAGGTCCGGAACTTGTCTCTATTTTTGTTTCGACTTCGTAGGGACCTTCCTTCCATTGGCCTTGACCTCGGTCTCAAGCACATCAAGCGCTGCTGTATATCTTGACTTGAGGCCGGAGGCATTTTCCAGCTTCGGATTCAACCTCTCAATGCTGTTCAATCTCTTTATCTTTCCATCGGATCCTTTGCCAATTTCTTGCGAGAACCATCTGCCTTCCCGATGTGCGACAAGAGTGTAGGCCGAACCTTCTTTACCTGCACGTGCAGTACGTCCGACACGGTGAACATAGGTGGTGACACTGTTGGGAACGTCGTAGTTGACCACGTGGGTAAGGGATTGAAGGTCAAGACCACGAGAGGCTCGGTCAGTAGCGACAATGACAGAGATCTTTCCTTGCCGATAAGCTGTGAGAGTCTTGCGAGAGGCAGACGACGTGCTGGATTTGATAATAGTTCCAACTTTGTTCGACAGGGAAGGGTGTAGAAGAGAAATAAGGCGCGACAATCGGGACGCGGATTCGGAGGACTTGGTAAAGATCAAGACCGACGTGTGTGCCGGACCAGCCTTGTCTTGAGACTTAACAGGTACCTTTTCACTCTCGGATTCTGATTCGTCAGAAGATTCGTCAGAAGACTCATCTGAGGAGGATTCGGAATCAGAATCGGATGAGGATTCGGATGATGAGCTATCATCATCAGAAGATGAGTCTGTTTCTGAGCTTGAATCCGAGTCTGAATCCACAGAGCTCGAATCGTCCGAGCTTGAACCGCTAGAGCTCGTGCTTTCCGACTCGGAGGAAGATGACTCTGACACAGCACGTTTGGCCTTGCTATTGGGTTCCACTTTGACAAGGGACAGCAGTAACTGCAGCAGGTAGAGTGGTTTCTTGGATCCATCCCCAACAGAGACGGTGAATTCCTTCAGTGTCAGAGGGAGGGAGAACTGTCCATCTGAAGTAATCGGTAAGGGGACATCTCCTTCTTCCACCGTCGGGGCCTCTTCTCCGATGAGAACTAATTTGGGGTTTGCAAGGCGCAATGAGTTCAATTTTGTGACATCTCTAGTCATGGTAGCACTAAGAATCACCTTTCTCGGTTCTCGGGGTTTCAGAGGAAGTCGAAGGTCGGAGAGCAGGTTTCCAGTGAATCCAAAAGCTTCGGGGGATTTCCGCGAATCCAACGAATCCATAACAACGTCCACCCATTCTTGGAAACTTTCGTTGAGCAGGCGATCGGCTTCGTCAATGACCAGCCATTGCAGATGTTGGAGTGTGAATCCTTTCGTATAGCGTAGGTGATCGACTAGTCGACCGGGCGTGCAAATCAAGATATCAACGTTTGGCTCTGGCCTCGGAATATAGCCAGGCAGAGACTCATTGAGATCTGCAGCCTCGGAGATGTAATCTTGAAGGTTAAATTTCGTCCAATCATCACCACTAGGTTGATCCTCTTGACGCATCTGAAAGGCTTTAGGACTATAGACCTGATCCAGCCGCATCAAAAGCTGCTGCTCATCCTTAATTGCAACATTTCCAACTGCAGACCCAATCTGCAGTCTGGAACCAGCAGCACAGAGCTCACAGACCTCTCGGGCTTGCTTGACTAGTTCTCTGGTGGGAACCACAATAAGGCCCCTAAGCCTAGGAGCCGGAATGGGCTCCAGGGCAGAGACAAGTGGCAGTACATAGGATAGCGTCTTTCCCGAACCTGTAGCGGCAGATATGCAAAGATCCCCAGGGTGTCTCTCAGAGCCTTTCAACAATAACGGTATTACAGTCGACTGAACAGCGAAAGCTTCATTGTATCCGTGCTCTTTCAAAATTTGTAATAGTTTCGACTCAATTCCCAGGTCAGAAAATTTCTTCCGGTGCTCCGTCGACACTCGCAGCGGTTCCGCCAGCCAAGGAGGGACAGAGGAATAAGTTGGTTTCTCCAAGTTATCCGGAGCAGCTTCTGGCTGTGGAAGAGGCTCCAAGCCCTGTGCAATCACCGGCTCTGCTGTTATAACATCCGGTTTCTCGGGCTTGGCGTCTCCTTCAAGCTTCGCCGTCTCTGAGACTTTGAGGGATTTTTCGAATTTCGAAAAGATTCGGCGGTGCTTATCTTTGAACAGCTTTGCCTCCTCGTCCTTCTCGGTCACATCCTGGCTTTCTTTTGCAGAGTCAATCTCCTCAATTGGCTCACGATCCCCATCTCCAGCATTGTCTTTGGCGCTCTTAGACTTTTTAGGAGACTTCGTCTTATCTTTTGCCGATGAAACAGCACTCCTTTTCTGGGCCTTCTCCTCTTTATGGCTGGCATCGGTTTCGTCCTTAATACGTTTGGGTTTATCTTCGCTCGAGGTCTTGTGTTGCTTTTGCTTCTTGGTCGGTGTTGGTGTCGCAGCCGTGACAGCAGAACCATCGAGCTCTCTCTTCCTCTTGTGCGACTTTTTGCTACTCTTCGGCGAGGCGGACGAATCTGCCATTTTAGCAAGTCTCTCAGGTCGATCACCAGCCATATTCACGAAGCCAACGCGGTGCTGCACCTCCGGAAATGGGTTGCTGAGGAATTTCCAGAACGTTTGCGGGCGGAAACAAAATATTGCTGCCACGGATATTTTTCTGCCGGCACAAACCTGCCGCCTTCAAGCGCCCATCACCGCCACGGTCTGGCCAGGAGACCCAAGAACCACCCAGTTATCACGCCTGCAAGTTATTCTTCAAGCCTAGCAAGGTGAATATGTTTTCAGGGTGGATGGGTGTTCCCTGCGATGGAAACTATCAATGAGGACACATTTCTGAAACCGATTGGATGTGCTCGCCTTCAGAGCTGCCGCCATCATGCCGTACAACATTGCGTGTGTTTGGTCCCCTCCTTATTAGCTGAAGGGTTCTGGCTGACTTGAAGACAGTATGATCAGCGATTATTTCTTCCCTCAGCCGGGTTTGTCACGACGTTTTGGGTCTAGGATGGTCTTGTACTAAGCGCAGCAGGTGGGGTTGAGAGTCATATATACCAATTGTCAACAGTAGGAATCAGCGCCTTGACTCTGCCCGACCATATACGAAGTGCTTACCATCTGCAGAAACTGATAGACCGGGGTCACAAAGTGATTATCATTACTCATCAGTATGAAGGCCGTACCGGAGTAAGATATCTCACGAACGGGCTCAAGGTCTACCATGTGCCGTTCTTCGTCATCTACCGAGAAACGACGATGCCCACCGTCTTCTCCTTCTTCCCGATCTTCCGAAATATTGTGATTCGCGAACAGATTCAGATTGTCCATGGTCATGCAAGCTTGAGTAGTTTCTGCATTGAAGGGATACTTCACGCCCGGACGATGGGCCTGCGAACGGTGTTCACGGATCACTCCTTGTTCGGCTTCGCAGACGCCGCTTCTATCCTGACAAATAAACTCCTGAAATTTTGCCTGAGCGACGTTGACCACGTCATCTGCGTCAGCCATACATGGTAAGTGGTGGGAAAACGCGTCTTGTGCTGGTGTGTCCTGATGCTGATCCACAACAGCAAAGAGAATACTGTGCTTCGGGCATCTTTAGACCCCTTGATGGTCTCGGTCATTCCCAATGCAGTTGTTGCAGAAAATTTCCAACCTCTCTCGTACACTCCGCACTCAAACTACCGCGTTCCAGGAGTACCACCAGACCGGCGAGCAGTGCCCCCTCAAATCGGGCCCGACGATACAATCACAATTGTTGTTATCTCACGGCTGTTCTATAACAAAGGTACTGACCTTTTAATTGCGGCTATTCCACGGATCCTCGCATCCCACCGCAATGTCCGATTTGTTATTGCTGGTTCGGGCCCCAAAGCCATCGACTTAGAGCAGATGTTGGAAAGAAATGTTCTGCAAGACAAGGTTGAAATGCTGGGTTCCGTTCGCCATGAAGAAGTCCGTGACGTTATGGTCCGTGGGCAGATCTATCTGCACCCTAGCTTGACGGAGGCGTTTGGCACGGTCATCGTCGAAGCGGCCAGTTGTGGTCTGTACGTTGTATGTACTCGCGTGGGTGGCATTCCAGAAGTACTGCCTCAGCATATGACGACCTTCGCAAAGCCCGAGGAAGACGATATCGTCATTGCCACTGGCAAGGCAATTGCAGCTTTGCGGTCCAACAAAGTGCGAACAGATCGATTTCATGACCAAGTCAAGATGATGTACTCTTGGACAGATGTGGCAGAGCGCACTGAGCGCGTCTACAAGGGCATCTGTGGCGATATCAGTCAGGAGGAGTTTTACGGACGCTACTACGGCCAGGCCTGGAAAGCTAGTGAAGACCGAGTACGGAGCTTCGCGCTGATCGATCGACTCAAGCGCTACTACGGATGCGGTGTCTGGGCAGGGAAACTGTTTTGTTTATGCGTGGTTATCGACTACCTGATTTACGTTGTTTTGGAAATGTGGTTCCCCCGCGCGAAAATCGATATCGCGCGCAGCTGGCCTAAGAAGCTGCATTCATCAGGCGACAAACGGTTCAGTATTTCTTCTCGCGGCCATGACCGTCAAAACTCGGGCTCATCGCATCACTGAAATGAGGACTATCGTCTTGTCGATGTCACTGAACACTATCTATCTTTTTTTGCGCTATTTATACAACCATGATACCCATACTTATGCTAAGAATAATACAAGCCGATGAAACAAAATCGAGTGCCGGATGGGCAAACCCTCACTTTCTTTCATTTGATATGCGACTGGCCTCTCTTCGTGCCAGGTTCATACTTCCATTCGTGGGCCACCGTCTCCGCACTGGTAGAAAGCAGCTCCTCGGCCACTCCCTTGTTCCCATGTTGGCCACCCATTGCTTCCTCCCGCTCGATGCCGCGCTGGTCGGGCAGAGCACGCTCATACTTGTCCTCCCTGGTCGCGCCGACACCTTCAAGGCTGTGGCTCTGGTGCTTCCGCCCGTGTTGACCATCATGGCGGATCTCGGTGTTTGTCATACCGGATCCCGGGTGGCCTAGACCCCTGTGAACGTCCTGCGACGTGGCGCCGCGTAAAGTCAACCCGGCGGACGTAAAGACCTTCTCCTTCCCGTGGGCGCGGTCTGTGAGCGGGTTCAGCGCCTGGCTACCAGGGTCGCTGACCGGGTTGGGCTGGTACGAGCTGCTGGCTGGGGCAGTGCCAGGAGGGAAAGTTTCGGCACGGTATTCGGGCCTGTGGTCTGCCGGTGCGACTTTGCGGCCTGGCTGGTGCTGTTGGAAGTTGTTAGAAGAGACGTTGGAACATTCTAGATAAGGACTTCTCACGCCTTCCTGTTCCATAGGGGCGGTGGAATGGACCGAAGGCTTGAATTCGCCCTGGTTAGCGTGGGCAACAGCGTCGCTCATGATGAGGATAGAATTGGTGAGCTTTGGTCGGATTGAATTGAAAAAGTGGTCACTCGATGGAGTGCAAACGCTGCCTGCATCTCTTTGGAGAAGAGCCTCACTATCACCTTTGAGGCAGCACAGAGGCCAAAGTGACGTCAGGCTGATAGCAGTTGACTTCATAGCTATTTCATCTTCTGCCTGGTCAATTAGAACGTCCTCTGCAGATGAATCTTGGCATATTGATTCTTATTCTCCAGATGGACTTGAATAAGCTCGGTGTACTGTGCCGATATGAAGTGAAGGAGATATTCCTCAACCCACAGTCTAGAGAAGCTTATTACCTCGATATCTAGACATGAAGAGAATTAGTTGCCTTGAGTGCCTCTGAAATGACATGCATGAAATATATGTAGGAGACATGAAGTATACAAGTCCTCGCCGTTCTGTTTGGAAAAGGAATGGCACTCGGTCTAGTTTACGTAGAATATTACATCTCTGATATTCAACCGCCAATACTGACAATTGCAAGCTTAAAGCACAATATATAGGTCACCAAGACAAAAATCTAATAAGGTATCTAAATGGGGTATGAAAACACAAGACTCCCGAACGCCTGGAGAGAGAAAGTGGTAAAAGGGCATCCCAATATGCCCTTCTCTGGCTGCAGCCTCAACTGCCGCCGCGTGGGCATTCCGCATTCATTTCATTACTGGCGGCCTGCCCTCTTTGTTCCACTTGACGCGACTTCGCACCCACTCGACGGCTTCCTGGACACCCGAGCCGAGAAGAGCACTGACAGGAAGCACGCGACTATCACGGACGCCACCGCCCTTTTCGCCTTCAAAGACCCTGCGGACGAAGCCTTCCTTGATGCGCACCACCTCGACACAATCCTCGCGGTCCTGTTTATTCGCCAGGACAAGAATCGGCACCCCGGCGACATCAGCGCTCTGCAGGACCGACTCGAGCACCTGGCGACACTCGTCCAACCGGCCGAAATCGCTTGCCGCGTTGATTCCCGCCATCTGTTCCGAGAAGGACGGCGAGGGGCTGGTGGCCGGGTTGTTCCCTGACGGGCCCGAAGCGGAGCTCGGGCGCCTGCTGGCGGATGAGGGTAACCGCGTGATGTCCGGGTCCTGGCCGACATCTGTGCTGTCCACAACGAAGATGATGGCGTGGCAGCTGGCGTAGTAGCTTTGCCACAGGCCTCGCATGGAGATCTGCCCACCAACATCCCAGATCTTCAGGTACATGTCCGGCAAGGGGATAGTCGCGACATTCTGGCCGACGGTGGGCACCGTTTTGCCTGGGTTGGGCGCTGGAGCGCCATCGGGGCGGGGGAGATAAAACGCCTTGATCTGGGAGAGGAGGGTCGTCTTGCCGGCGTTGTCGAGCCCGAGCAGCAGCACGGAGTATTCTAGGTCACCACAGTCAGCGGGTGGGGGGTATTCACAAGACTTCGAATAATAGTGACTCTCTAGCAGACCTTCTTTGCTGGTCGCGTAGAGATAGAGCGACTTGGCGAGATGGTACATGGTTGCGATCGGAGAATACTCCGTCCACGGGCCAAAGCGGTGGTGGGACTTGTCCTGTCTGTCTCCTGAGGCCAGACTCCTGGAGTCCCTAGGCTAGACTCCAGCTCCTGGGGGGCCAGACCCTTGTAACTTGTTCCTCTTCGATTTGCCGCTTAGATGGCAAAGCTCAAATGTGCAATCATGATGGGAGATCCTGCCGGCCTAGCGAGAACATGGATGTCTCCCATCCGACGCGTTCCCCTCTCTCTAAGAGGCTCAACAGGTTCGAACTACGCGTCCAGGTGTCTCGATACGGAAGCTAGGGCTTAGGGCCAGCCCTGAGCCCTGACTTCCACTTTGGTCTAGAATACCCTAGTCCATATCCGGCCTAGCATTCCTACCCCTCTTCACCAGACACCTCAGGCACCAAGGCCACCCACGTCCCCTTGCCAAACCACCCATGTCCTCCCTCCTGTCTTGACCCTGCATCTGCAGAGAGAAGCCTGCGCTGGCGCCATTCAGGACCCAGCCTCAGCAGAAAGATCTTCACGTCCGGATGTCAACGGTACTTTACGCCCGCCACCTCGCTGGGTCCTGGAAAAGAAATCCAAGCTCACTAGTTGAAAAGGTCCCACTTTGTTTTGTCAGCAAGTCCTCCAGGAATCCCCAGATCGGGCATTCCCGCCTCAGCTTACAAGAGGGACCGGACCCTTCCCCTCCAGCCCGGCGATGATGTGTTCCATCTTTTTTCCAGGGCTTATCTGTCGCTGCTTGGAGTTCCCATGACCAGCTCGCTCTGATATCCGTTTTTTCCATATATGTCTGACGGAGAATGTGTCGCTGACGGGCCAGTCGGAGGACTTGGAACTGCCTTGGCTAATGGAGACTGACACCATCATCATCGGTATGTCGCCATTGATCAAGGACTCTCTTGGCCATTCCGTGCCAATAGGCGTGTACCAGAGTTGACGTGTTTTCTCTTGTGTTGCAGGGAACGGCCCGTCGGCCATGATCCTGTCCTACATCCTTCATGGTCATATCCCCTTGTATTCTCCGGATCCGCCACATCCAGATCCGTTGCTGCATGCCAAGCTGAAAGATGCCCCGGAGCTGCTGAATATCTGTGTCGATACTTTGACCCAGCATTTTGCTGCGTCTCGGCTGTCCTATTCAACCCAGGCGTTACCCGTCAACGTCTTGCTAGACACTCTTGTGCGGCCCAGCGCTGATATCGAGGAGACAGAAAGCACGAGCAATGTGCAGTGGCGGTTTATGCCTGAGAAGGCTGTGCCACATTTAGTTTTCGGGAATGCTCCGCAGCCTGGTGGCCAATGGACAGAGAATCCCATGCCTGCCAGCTGGGAGATCCAGACTCTGAGCTATGCCGCAATGCTGTCTTTGCCGGGTTACTCGTACGCAGAGCACTACCGCAAGGAAACGGGCAAGGATCTGCCTTTGTTCACTCGTCCCTCTAGGCGAGAGGTAGCGGAGTATCTTTGTGCCTATCCGGCTGCCGTTCACATTGACAAAGTGTTTCGCAACGGGGAAACGGTGGCTGATATCTCCAGGACAGCCAATGGCTTCTACATCCACTCCCATAATATTCACTGTAAGCGCTTGGTCCTGGCTTCCGGGATTTTCTCCGAGCTGGTCCAGCCTTCACCACTCATGATACCCCTGGCGCAAGCCCAACCCGATCCCCAAGTTCCCTTTCTCATCATCGGATCGGGCTTTTCGGCTGCAGACGTAATCATCTCTGCGCCAGATAACCAAAAAATCCTCCACATCTTCAAATGGAACCCCGATACTCGGCCATCTCCACTTCGAGGCTGCCATCAACAGGCATATCCCGAGTATGCCGGAGTGTATCGACTGATGAAGCGGGCTGCCATTGCTTCAGACCAATCCGCGAAGAAGCGACCCCGCACTCGACGAGCTTCATCCACACCTTTTCTTGAGAGCCGGTGTTGGGACCAAGTGTATGAGGGCCTTGCCAATGTCGAAATCGTTAGAGTGGACATGCGTGACGAAGGACAAGCCATGGTCACATTTCAACAGTCTGACGGGACGACCTTTACTCGGCTGGTTCGCGGGCTGGCGTACGCTGTCGGGCGTCGCGGCACGCTTGGTTATCTCAATGAGGAGCTCCGTACCGAAGTGCTAGGATGTCCGATTGAGGAGACCGGCGCCAACCCGCCCGTCTCCGGACAGACATTACGCAGCAAAGCGGTGGAAGGCCTCGAAGTGGCACCCTCGGTCTTCATCATGGGCAGTCTGACGGGCGACTCGCTGATCCGGTTCGCCTACGGAGGGTGTGTCTACACGGCCGGCAAGGTGATCCGTGCGTACACAGGCGAAGAGCATGACTGCGGTGATAGTAGAACCAGCAGCTCGTCCGGCAGCATATCCACACCATCCCGACCGGCAACGGCCACAGCCTTGGCTGTCATGAACGGCATGGATGGACACCACATCCGGCCAGAGATGTACGGAAGTGACGACGGCAAGAGCATGCAGGACAGGATGGCGGAGCCTGGGAAGCCTGGCTTTGTGGCCTGGTGGCACTCGCTGCTCCGCTTATGGAGATGAGTGCTCCCCTCTTTGGTTATCGAGAGCATATGCATATATAGAAAAGTAGATCTATGATAATTTTCGGGCGTTTGCTATTAGATCAGACCAGCGGTCTACAGAACCTGGGAAAATGCTATTATACAATCAAAATGAAACGTAGTTTTCGTTAAACTCGCTAATAAGACATGCAACAGTATAACTATTTAGGTTTTATACAAAGATGAGTTGAGCGATTATCCCATCAACTGCAGCTGGTCATCCGGAGGCCAGCGGACCTGGGCAAAGCTCAAACAGCGCTTGATACTTTGCAGATACTTGCGTGTACTCTCGTCGCTGAGAATATGGGCCTGGTGGTCTGCTGCATGGAGTTTTTCGCGCGCCGACCGTTCGTGAATACCCACCATGGTGACACCGATGGGCCATGCTCTAATAAAGATCAGTACGCTTATTTCAATTTATTTGATAAGAGTGAGAAGGAAGAATGAAAAGGAAGAAACGTACGCCTTTCCAATGCTGAGTCGTAGGTATGCATCGTTGGCGTCGACATAGCGCCGTAGCTGTGCCTTGTGCACGATCTCAACAACGGGCTTGAGGATGCCATCGGACAGCTCGCCCTTTTCGAGCTTACGGAAAAGAGGCTTCATGTTCTCGCGCGACTGGACCATGGCGGCATACGCCTGGCGGCCCTGGAAGCTCTCGCGAACGTCCAGGTCCCGCCGGTCGAGCATGGCCTTCCACTCGGCGAGGACCATGGAGAAATACGACGCCAGCTGGCGGTAGAGGAAGCGACGCGCCTCCTCGTCCTTGGGCAGGCCCGGGTTGACCTTCATCTCCTTCTCCGGCACCAGCTCCAGCGTGGTCGCGATCGGGCCCGCCGAGAGCTTCTGCTCTGGTGCCAGCAGCCGGCGATACCGTCGTAGCCGGCCGCGGTGTGTCTCCCCGAACAGGCGGGCGGGTTGGTTCATCTCCCGCAGTTTTTGCACCAGCTCTTCATCGTCCATGTCTGCCTCGCTGTCGTCCAGCGGGGTGCCTTCCTTCTCGCTGTCCTTCGAGGCATCTTTCGCAGGCAACTCTGGCAGACCGAGCCGTTTGCGCCGCTCGCGCTCCTCTGCTGCTTCCTCCTCTTCCCGGCGTCGGCGCGACTCCTCTGCCAGCCGGGTCTTCTTCTCCTCGCGCTCCCGCCGCCGTTCGTGCTCTTCATCCTCCCTCTTGCGTTTCTGGGCCTGTTTATCCTCGCGTTCGCGCTGCAGTCGCTCCTGCTCCTCGTTGTAGGTGGCCACGCGGGCTGCTTCGACCTCACCGCGGCGGAGATATTTCTTGTCGCTTGTCTGGGACGCAGGGGCGGGTTTGGCCTTGGAGATTTCCTTGGCCATCAAGGATGCGAAATCCATTTTGGCTGGTCAAATTAATCGATTTCTTTTTACTCCTGTTGTAACGTTGTAGGGTTTGGTTGGAAGTAGCCAGTAATCAGTCCAAATAAAAGTGAAGTCAAGTGAATGCGGCAGAACTTCGCCGCAAAGTTGGACTCACTACAACCTTCAATATAACCACCTCGGACCTTTCTACAACCCACTACTTCTTCCACAATAGCAATCTAATAATTTGGTTCTCCCGATAAAAGGATTTTTTCATCATAAAAAAGAAATGGCTTCACGAGACCCGCCGAAGCCGTCGATCGATCGCCAATCGACGACCCCCTTCCACCTCAAGCTCTTCTACCGCCAGCACGCCTTCCACCATCTCGCCGACTTCCCCGTGGCATCGGCCCCCTCGCGAGGAGGAGCACACATTGGGAGCAATGCTTCGTCGGGAATGCAGCTCCCTGCCCATCTGCAGATCTACACCTGGCAGTCGTGCACGCTGCGCGAGCTGTCGCAGCTGCTGACCTCTGCGCTACCGGGCCAACTGCCCAGCCCGCCCATCGGGACACGGCTGTGTTTCCGCCTGGTATACCCGGACACGCGTGGTGCGGCGGCCATGGGACCCGACGCGCGTGGTCGGTACCTGAGCAAGGATATGGGGAGTGTGATTGTCGGGGACCGCGAGGGGAAACAGCATGACGGCAACGAGAAGAACAGCGACGGGTCCGCTAGGACATACAGGTTACAGGGGGATGATGCGGACAAGATGCTGCAGGATATGCGGTTCGTGATTGGCGACTTTGTCGACTGTGCGATCCTGCCGCCGCTGGAAGACGGATCGATCGCACCGGCGATTGTCTCTGGCCGGGGGGTCGGCGGGGCGCCTATCGGGGGTGGCATGAGAGCCTTCCGTGAGAACGGATTCGGAAGGGGGGGCCGCGGAGGAGGAGGCAGAATGGGAGAACGAGCTGGCGGCGGAGGTATTCCCAGCGGGGATTGGAGACGGGGGGAAAGATTACCGGATACCAGGGGACGGGGAGGTGGTGGAACTGGAGGGGGGAGAAGGGGATGGGCGCCATATTGAGAAAGCTACGGACTTTTCTTTTTCGATTTGTCCGTGGAGAACCGGTGTTGACAGATACCCGGTGAAGCCAGTCCTGCTTCATCTGACTTTTATCTCGGGATGCAAAAGACACTTTCAATTGAAAAATTGAAGAAAAAAAATATGATCATAGGTATATCTCGAATAGTACACGAGTGGATCAGCGAGTCCAGTACCGCTGAAGAGGCAATGTCTTTTTCCCACATTTGCAGGCATCCTTATCAATCACCAGGCCACCCACCCTTCCATCCTACCACTCGGCAATAGTGTCTCCTTTCCTCTTTCCACGCCATTCGTACTTGCCCTGCCCATCCGTTAGCCAACTGCACCAGTCCTCCAGGTACCAGGGTTCAGTCGAGGTAATGCGTACATCAGTCTTGTAGGCAAGGTAGCCCAGCGCTCCGGGGATCAAAGCCATGTAGATGAAGGAGATCCAGGCATGGCGCGGCGTCCAGCGGAAGTACTTGTAGCGATTCGCATTGAGTTCTGCAAAAAAAGAGTCCAAGGGTCAGCTAATCAGACGTCGTGCGTTCGTAATTCACGTTGCCATTCTCGTACCGTAGTATTTCTGCAGGGCCGGGTCAAGGACCAGAGCTATTTAATCGTCAGCTATCACGGCTGCAGCCCTTCATCGCAATTGGCTCTACTTACACTTGCTAGGACCGGCCATGGTTGCGTGCTCTCTCGACTTGCTTGCGGTGGAGTTGGAAGTCGTCGTCTCGATCGGGGTGAGAAGTGTGTCATGTGATATTGTCATGTGATGTTAATCACGTGTGGTTAGTCATCGCTTACTAAGCCCATCGCTCTTCTGCGGAGTGAAGAAGGATCATTCCTGCAGGTACTCCGTACCCAGTATAACAAACATAATACAGGGGATAGAAGACACTGATACCAGAAATGAAGAGAACAGGAGACCCTCGGGTTCCTTACAAATGATGACTACAATTGCATATGCCCATGTTGTACGGAGCACTGCCTCGGTTGCTTAACTAATTTGTCTTAAATCCAGTGGGTCGATGACCTCAGACGAGAAATAATACTAATGACGAGGCATAAAACCCGAATGATTCTCTTATCATAACTTCCTACTTATTCTTCTAGCAGAGCACCACCATGGCGAATAAAGGCGCAAAAATCACTCTCTACTGGTGTGTATAAGGAATCGATTTCAACCGATTTTCAAAAACAATCGCTAATTGCCAGGCTGGAACAATCCCGCTCCCAGCGCATCCTCTGGCTACTCGAGGAGCTGGGCCTCGAGTACGACCTCCAGACCTTCAAGCGGGGGCCCAATGGGCTCGCCCCCGCGGAGCTCAAGCAGATCCATCCCCTCGGCAAGTCGCCCGTCATCCGCGTCGAGCCCGAGGGTACAGGTACGGGTACAGCGCAGCCCCTGGTGCTAGCCGAGTCCGGTGCAATCGTCGAGTACCTCCTCGACCACTTCCTCACGGAGGAAACGGCGCACCTGCTTCCCAAGAAATGGGTTGATGGTCGCGAGGGCCAGGTCGGCGGCGAGACCGAGGCGTGGACGCGGTATCGGTACTTCCTGCATTATAACGAGGGGACCTTGATGACTTTCCTTATCATCCAGTTGGTCTTGAACAGTAAGTAGTCGAAGGAGTCTAGAATCATTATTTTTGTTGTTGTTGTTGTTCTAACGTACAGAAATCAAATCGAATTCCCCCTTTTTCATTAAACCCATCGCCAATGGGATCGTCTCCAGCGTCGAATCCTCCTACCTCCGCCCCAACTACGACGCAAACTTTGCCTTCCTCGAGGACCAGCTCGCCACCGCGCCAGAGGGTGGCCCTTACCTGTGCGGCGCACAGCTGACCGCCGCGGATATCCTCATGAGCCTGCCGATTCAGGCGGCGCTGCTGCGCGTGCTCGACAGCGAAAAGTACCCGCGTCTGGTGGCGTATGCCGAGCGCCTGCGCGGTCATGAGGCGTACCAGCGGGCTATCAAGAAGATTGAGGAGGTCGAGGGTGTGTTCAAAGAGGTGGGCGAGAACTAATTCTGATAATACATATCTATATGTATATATATAGTCATGCACCATGAAGATAGATTACTTGGTAAACTATAATGAAATGTGGTATATTGAGTTGCTTCGAACTAAACCGTGAAAATGCCTCATAACTGACAGTCTAAAAAAAAAAGTCTTCGGTCTATATACCGACAAAGAAGACAAGAAGAAAGAAAGGGTATCTAATTACGTCCAACAGACAAAGTTATGTATGTCCCGAATCCAAGCGAATGACACTAAACCCCTGCGTCTGCATCTCGGCAACATCAAGCAGCCCGCGCCCGTCAAACACCATCCGCGGCTCTTTCATACAGTATGCGATGCGCGTCCACTCGACAGGCTCCGTTGCCACGGGGCGGTTCGACTGCGCCCGACACTCGGCGCATTCGGCACCACACGGCGCCTGCGGCGTTAAGTGATACGTGATCCCGCGGGACGACACATAGGTTTCTTCATAGAGAGCGACCGCGTCCTCGCTTGGGGAGGCGATCTGTGTGGGAACCGGCTCGGGCTCTTTCTTCGGGAAGGTCTTGTTCTGGGAGCTCTTGAACTGATCCGAGTCGGTCAGGAGGAGGACGGCATCGGCTTGGGAGCAGGCGGAGTAGACGTCCGGGTGGACCTTGACGGAGCACATGCGCGGCAGCAAGGCGTTGTCAACACCGCAGATAGGCTCCAGTTCGCGGAGAATATCCTCCTCGCGGCAGAAAGGGTCGAAGATGGCCAGCTCCGCGGGGCGCTCCTCGAGCAGGGAGCGGATGACATCGACCGCGAGCGACTCCCGGGTGTCGCCCGTGTTCTTCTTGAAAGCAAACCCCAGCACAGCCAGCTTGCGGCCGACGAGGTTGCCGTTGAAGCGATCGATGACCTTGCGGGAGAAGCGGTCGCGCTGGTAGACGTTCATTGAGTTCACCTGGCGCCAGTAGTGGGCGACCTCCTCGAGGCCCAGCGACTCGGCCAGGTAGGCTAGGCTAGAGATATCCTTGCGAAAGCACGAGCCTCCGAAACCCAGGCCTGACTTGAGGAATTTGGGCCCGATGCGCGCGTCACGCCCGATGGCGGCGGAGATCTGGTCGACGTCGGCGCCCGTGCGCTCGCAGATGGCGCTGATAGAATTGATGCTGCTGATGCGCTGGGCCAGCATGGCGTTGGCGACCAGCTTCGCCAGCTCGGACGACGAGGTGTTGATCTCCAGAATGCGCGAAACAGGCACCCACGAGGTGTACAGGTTGGCGAGCATACGCGCGGCGCGGCGACCGGCAGGGGTGCCAGACGACCCGATCAGCACGCGATCCGGATGGGTGAGGTTCTCGACAGCGGAGCCCTCGGATAAAAACTCGGGGTTTGACAGAACTTCAAAGGGGACGCCCGGGCGGACGGTCGCCAGCTACAAAAACAATTTGTCAGTGATGATTATTCTTATTATAGAACCAAAACCCTGGAATCTGCAGGCTTACTATTTGGCGGACCCGCTGGGCGGTCCCACACGGCACGGTGCTCTTCTCCACAATAATGGCGCCTGGTTTTGCGTGCCTGGCGATCTCCTGGACAGCAGCATCGGTAGCCGTCATATTGGTCGCACGTCCAGCGCCGACGCCAAAGGTCTTGGTTGGGGTGTTGACGGCGAGAAAGACGATATCTGCCTGGGAGATGCTCCGGACGGAGTCCGTGGTGAAGACGAGATTCCCCCCCCGTTTGACGGCGGCAGGGATGGCATCGACACTCCGAATCTCTGCCCCGTCCCGGGCAACTCGAACAATACGATCCAGATCCGGCTCGTGAACCGGCAGATGTGGCGACTGCCACCGTCCGATGCGATTCGAGTCGCGATCTAGCACCTCGACGGTAATCGACGGGTTGTACAGCGCGAGTACAGCCGCCGTAGGGCCACCTAGACGGTCAACTCATCTGTTCGACACTCTCTTATCCGGGGGGGTGCTCTGTAAGGAAAGACCCCCCCCCCTTTTTTTTTGTGTTCACCTACCAACATATCCCGCACCAACGACACACACGTTCTTCACCGTGCCTGCACTGTGAAACGACCCATTCTCACCCTCCCGCGCGTTCAGACACTGCGACAACGAGAGAGCCAAATCGTCAATTCCCGAAGGACCAAACAGGGGGCTGGACGAGGGCGTTGTCGGGCCTGTGGAAGCGTCATAGGAGCTCTCGTCCGAGGTACCGGGCGACGCCAGAGGGTCCATGGCTGTGTGTGCTGCTAGTAGTAGAGACTCTAGACTTGACTCTGTCTTCTCTCTTCGCAGTCTTGCTCCTCCACTCACTTGCTCATTGCTCAGGAAGAGCAGCAGGAAGGGGGCAGAAGAAGAACTCGCGGAGGGATGACTCGTTATAGGGAGCCCGGAGCCGGCGCTCTTGCCACGGGGGGGGGAAGGGGGGGCTGCACGCCTCAGCGTCTGCAGACCGCGCACGGGGGGTTTTGCTCAGTGTCGGAGGGAGGGTGGCATTGCGGATTGCCCCAAGAGCGGACAGTGAAAGGGCAAAGGGCCAAATGACCCTCGCGCCTCGTCGGGTTGAGCTGCGTGTGGGAGCTGGAGCTGGCAAGTGTCCGTGGCGGATCGACGCACTGGGAGGGGGGGAGGTGTTTAATTGGACGATAAGGGGAGGGCGCTAGGCCGTTGTTGGGTTCGCGCAATGCTAATTTGATGTCAATCCCGTGCCATTTCGGACACTAGACCAGATGAGGACTAGTGGCTTGCTGGGAGGGCCCTCAGCCCGCAGAGAGCGCACGTGCCTAACCTTGTTGGTGATAAGAATAGGCTGTATTATGGTAATTCCATAACGGTACGGTACTATATACCTAGGTAGTAGGTACATGCCTAGGGACGCCTAGGTAGCATACCTAGATCTATAAGAAAGGTACTCATATTGAAGGAGGATATCGTATGGGTCGAGGTGATAGACTAGTAGAGTATTGTCACAAGGAATGGCTTCCAAGGGATATCTAGATACCTAGGTATACTTTATATAGTACCTGTAGGTTAGAATGAGTGCTGATAGTACCTAGGTAGGTAAGTCGGTGTAAATACCAGTGGATACATACTGCATAACGCCTCCATTACCAGGTATCTATGCCTCAGGCCTCTACTATCCTGAGCTCTTTCTCTCTCCAAAGTCCTCACCGTCTCTTGACACCTTCATTGCAGCTTCGAGTCACGGCCTCAGCATGAAAAACACATCAAGAGACGTCTTTCCGCCTCAGCTCAAGGGCAAGCGCGTGCTGCTGGCCACCGAGTCCTTCGGCCCTGTCAACGGAGTCAGTCGCACGACGCTGAGTCTGGTTGAGTATTTGCGCGAGAACGGGGTCGAGCTGGCTGTCGTGGCGCCGAAATATGAGGGCAGCCAGGCGAGTCTACAGGCTCAGACAAGGAAGCAGAATTACCAGAGCAATGAACTCCGTCTCTCTGGCTATCCGCTCCCCTACAACCCAGACCTAACGGTCGTGTATCCCTTCCGTCTCGACGAGGTCTACCGCCAGACCTTCCAGCCGGACATTGTCTACCTTGCCAGTCCGGCCTCGGTGGGTTTCCAGCTGCTGCTGCAGATCCGGCAGCTGCTGCGCCCGCCCGTCGTGCTGCTCAACTTCCAGACCGACCTTGCGGCCTACAGTGAGATCCTGCTACCGCGGCCCTTGGCGCTGGGTGCCGTCTGGCTGCTCGCCAGCGTGCAGGGCTGGCTCTTCCGTCACAAGGCCGTCCACACCGTCTTTTACCCCTCCTCAGGCATCTTTTCCTACCTCGAACAGGCGGGCGCCCCCGTCGACCGGCTCGTCAAGCTCGGCCGGGGCGTCGACACGCAACTCTTCCACCCGAGCCGGCGCGATGAGGCGTACCGGCGCCAAATCGCGCCTAACGGCGAGATAATTCTCGTCTGCGTGTGCCGCATCGCCCCGGAAAAGGGGTTTGAGTTTCTCGCCCAAGTCGCCGCTCGTCTCGTGCAAGTCTCCCTCCCCTTCAAGATGCTCATTGTAGGCGGCAACCGCAACCCGGCCGTGGAGGCACAGGTGCGCCGCCTCTTCGATTCGGTCCGCGACCACGTCGTCTTCACGGGCTTCCAGATGGGAATGGATCTTGCCCGTGCGTATGCCTGCGGCGATCTCTTCCTGCACTGCTCCATCACCGAGACATTCGGGCTCGTCGTGCTGGAAGCCATGGCGAGCGGACTGCCTGTCATTGCCCGTGACCAGGGCGGGCCCTCGGATATCGTCCAGGACCAGCGAACGGGCTACCTGGTCCCGCCCTCCGACCTCGACACGTTCGTCGAGCTGGTGCAGCGGGTTTCATGCGACGAGAACCTGCGCACCAACCTGGCGGCCGCGGCAAGACAGTACGCCGACGAAACCACCTGGGAGAAGATCAATCGGCGGGTCGCGTGGCGAATCGCAGATGCCTTTGACGAGCACACGCGCCGCCAGACCACCCGCCGGCCCATTTTGGACATTGTGGGCAAGGGGTATCGACTTATCGAGCGCCTGCGCCTGCGCGTGGCCGTGCTCTTCATCTGGTTCATGTGGATGATTTCCGTCGTGCCCTTGATTGTCCACGGCAGCAAGATTGTCCCGCGGGCGCTGCAGATGATCCGGGGGGTTTCTACGAGTAAATAGAAAGTTCATGACTAACGCAGCAATGAATAAATGTATTATGTCTGTATATCTATGTTATATTCTGACCGGCTCCGTATTCCTCTTAACAAGAACATGACCCTCTCTGACTAGTGAATTGCGACAACTCCTGCCCTGCATGAAATCCAACAGGTTCGAAGTCGTCACGCCCGCGATCTCCTGAAGAGCCTCGTGCGTGAAGAAAGCCTGGTGCCCACAGACCAGCACGTTCGGAAAGGTGACCAGGCGCATCAGCTCGTCGTCATGGATGATCTCGCCCGAGTAATCGTTGTAGAACAAGTCGCCCTCGGCCTCGTAGACGTCCAGCGCGAGGCCGCCGAGCGTTTTCCCCTTCAACGCCGCAATGGCCGCAGATGTCTTGACAAGCCCTCCCCGCGAGGTATTCACCAGCAACGCGCCCCGTTTCAGCCTCCCCAGGGTGTTTTCGTTGATGAGATGTCGTGTCTCCTCCGTCAACGGACAGTGCAGGCTGACCACGTCGCTATTCTGGAGGAGCTCGTCTAGGGTAACGAATCTTCCTCCCAAGGTAGTAGTAAATGGATTATTACTATTGGTATCGTCTTTAGAGGCAAAGGAATCATATGCAAGCAGGTGGCATCCAAACCCGGCCATGATCTTCGCAAAGGCAAGTCCGATCCTACCCACGCCGACGATCCCGACGGTCTTCCCGTGCAGTGTGTAGCCGAGCAATCCCTCGAGGTTAAAATTTCCCTCTCGCACGCGGTTGAAAGCCCGGTGCGTCTGCCTGTTGAGTGTCTGGATGAGCGAGACGGCGAACTCGGCCACGGCTTCGGGCGAGTAGGCGGGTACGTTGGCGACGAAGAAGCCCAGTTCTTCGGCGGCGAGGAGGTCCACGTTGTTGAACCCCGCGCAGCGGAGGAGAATCGCTTTCACGCCGTTGGCGGATAATGCGGCGAGGATGCTTCGGTCGAGAACATCGTTCACGAACACGCACACGGCGTCGGTGTCGGTCGTTAACGAGACGGTGTCGGATGACAGGGCGAAGGAGTGGAAGGAGACCTGCACTTGGTGGGGGGTAAACGAGGAGGAGAGGTATTCCCTGTCGTAGGATTTGGCGCTGAACACGGCTAGTCTCATGTTGGATGAAGGTAGAATGAGAGGAGTGAGAAGAGAGAAGAGAGAAGAGAGAAGTCTTGTCGTCGTTTTCGTCGTTGCGGTGATGGATGATGTCATGACAAAAGAAAGCATCAAGCTTAAGCTATGCCACATAGTAATAACTACTTAAGGCAGTCATCATTCGATGATTAATATTTATGTAGTTACAATTATATCTATTCTTAACTCCTCATTGCTCTTCTATACCCTGACTGTACTCAAATCCATGTGTCGATATCCCAAGAGAAGTTGCCATCCCAGAGCTGCGCCGAGTCAGAAAGGAAAGCAAGGTTGTTTTCATTCCCCTCGCCAGTACTACATCTAGAACCAACCGACTTAATTGCCTCAATAAATGCAGGCGGTGGCCAGCGCTGGGGTCCCCCGTTCCACACCCGCACTGCAAGATTGTTGACCGTCCGGGGGAGCGCGCTGTGCTGCTGAGGCTGCAAGTACTCCGGGTGATGATCGTACAGTTGCTCGATATGCTGCCATGCAGACTCTTCACACGGGCCCCAGACGGCGACGTCGGCGCCGGGGTCCTTCTTTGTCGAGAGCCGGAGCCATTCGAGCAGGCCGATGGCCGCACCCCAGGCGAACTGCGTGCGCGTGTACCAGCCGAACCTCTGCGTGGCGCGATTGGAAAGAACCAGGTGGTCGTATTCTAGCATCCTCACTCCAAACGCATACGTCTGCTCTAGATTCTCCGCGCGGTGGTCATTAGATGCTTGTTGCCGCTGCTGCTGCTGCTGGTCTGAGCGGAACATGGCTGCAATCCGCTGGAGTTTAGCCACCGTCGCACGCGCCGTCACGTTCAGCAAGGCATGTAGGGGCACCACCGGGTCGCAGAATCGCAGGAAGCGTTCCTCGAGCCGGTTTTCAAAGTCGGCTATGCGGTCTCCCAGCAGGGCGATCTGTGCGCCGCGGCGAGGCGGTGCTCCTCCCAGTGGCAGGCTACGGTTCTCCGCCAGTCGCAGGAACCGCACCGTCTCGCAGCGGAAGAGAACGAAGCTCATCTCTGTCAGGCCGCTCCGAGACTCGGGAAAGTCCTCCCCCGTCATACCGAGGTGTAAGGAGTCGTCGTCGACGTTCAGCGGCACCTGCGTATCCCACGGCTGCGAGAGGATCGAGCTGCCTGCGCCCGCGCCCGCCACCTCTGTCGCCCGCACGTCCAAACTGACGAGGTACCACCAGAGTCGGCGACGCATCTCCGTCTCAAACAGCGAGAGACCCAGTCGGGTGCCGTCTCGATGTAGACCTAGTGTCTGCGCGCGCCGAATAGCGACGCCAAGCAGTGACCAGAAGGCCGAGGATTCAGTGCATGTCTGCAGTGCTGTCTGTAAAAGCGAGAGAGAGAGAGTTAGAATAATAAAAGTAAAGAGTGGTTCGGATACAGGTGAACGAACCAAAAAAAGAACAAATGCCTGGAGGACCATCAGCTCCAGCGACTGCATAAAAGACGCCTCGAGCAAGGCCCGTTTAGCTGCTGCCATCATCTCATCCAACACTGCTCCCCTCTCCCTGTGGAAAAGAGCCGCACATTCATCCTCGGCCATCGACATCACCGCACAGGCGTAGATAGAGTAGAACAGGGCGTCTCGGGCAGGTCGCACGGGGGTGTCGCCTGCGAGCACTTCCTCCAGCAGAGATGACCCCGTCGGGACGTGAATTATCTTGATCAGGGGATTGACATTCTCGCAGAAAACAGTCCATAGCGTCTTCGCCATGGAGGCATCTATAGATATGGCGGTGGGCACAGGGGAGCTGCCCAAGAGCAGCTGCGAGGGCAGATCTTCTCCTGTTTGACTTCGATTGTATCCAGCCTGTTTATTAGCATGAAACAAGAAATAAAATTGATAGATAAATGAACGGTATAACCTTCTGACCAAACTCCAGGAGTAGATTATTCTCGTAGTACTTCTTTCCGCTCTCTTCCTCCACCAGACCCCCAGATTCATTCTCTCCATCTCCATCTCGGCCTTGGTCATTGGGATCGTCAATGCCACGGGTACCAGTTATCGAATCTGAGTCGATATTCACCCCTGCTTCCCGCAGGAGCTCCTCGTACCGTCTCAGTTTAGTCGAGAGGGCGTCCTCTCTGCGCTGCCTCGGCGGCACAACGCGATACACGCATTCAAGACCCGAGCGGGCACAGGTGCGACAGGGTTCATGTCTGTCGCATCTGACTTTTCTAGAAGCGCAGCGGATGCAGGCGTTGGGTTGCTGCATAGAGATGGTGGAAGAGATGAAGTCGCTGATTGACGCTGGAGACGGAGATTCGAGGCTTGGCGGGGTCTAGTATGATTCATTGTATAAGATCTCTTTCATTATTTCTTCATAATATTATATATATATAATGTATTTGATTAATATCTTAATGATATCTTAGTATATTTCATTTGATATTTAACCGTCTCTATCTTATATTATATGCCAAGGTATAGAGCATCCTTTATACTAACACTAATTAAAGCTCCTATTGACAGTAGATTAATAATTAATACCAAGTCTAGGATTCTGTTCTGAATATAAGTATTAAGAATAGATATAAGGTTCTCTTGATGATGTTATCATGAGGTATACAAGTGCTTGATTCAAGATATTTCCAACTTCGATAACTATATCGAAAACTTGAATATCAAGTAAATGATATCATATGCCTGTCGTTCCATGATATAAATCCAGTAAAATCTTATAGATATTTCCAGGATTAAACGCATCTAACGAAAATGTCGAATGACCAATTCAAGCTACAGAATATATTCAACGTCCATGGCAGAGGTATCTCTCATATCTACTATAATGCCAATAATAACAACAATACTGACATGAATCAGTTGCATTGGTCACTGGAGGAGGCTCCGGGATCGGTCTGATGGCAACTCAAGCCCTGGCAGTCAACGGAGCAAAGGTGTACATTACCGGACGAAGTGAAGAGAAACTCGCGCGAGTAGTGGAAAGGTACAAGCAGGATGATGATCACAACAATCCTATTCCCGGAGAAATTATCGCCACCCCAGCCGATATAACCAGCAAACAATCCATCTCCAAGCTGGTGGAGGAGATCTCCCGCCGTGAAGAGAAACTGGACATCCTCATCAACAACGCTGGGGTGAGTTCTACCCACCATGCGACTGCCGAGCTGGAAGATCCAGAAGCTCTCCGGCAAGAGCTGTTCCACGGGGAAGCCAGTGGTTTTGAGAACTGGGAATCCGCATACCGAACAAACGTGTATCAATGTTTCCTTACCACGACGGCACTGCTGCCTTTATTATCCAGGGGCAGCGAGGGAAGCACAGGATGGAGCAGTACGGTGATCAACATTACTTCCATCTCGGGGATCATCAAGACAGCGCAGCACCATTTCGCATATAATGCAAGTAAAGCGGCTGCCATCCATCTGACACGTATGCTGGCTCATGAACTGGTCTCGTCCGGGTTGAAATTACGCGTCAATAATATCGCCCCGGGGGTGTTTCCGTCGGAGATGACCACGGGAGAAAGCGACGAGGCTCAGAAGAGTCACATCCCTAAAGAGAAGTTTGAGGGAAAGGTCCCTGCTGGAAGACCGGGGAAGGACGAGGATATGGCCAGTGCAGTGTTGTTCGCTGCTACCAATCAGTATTTGAATGGGCAGACTATCGTGGTTGATGGGGGGTATGTTTTGTCGACTGGGACTGTTTAGTTGAGTCAGTTGAAAAAATAAATGAACAGTAATGTAGTTAATATGTTCTGCACTGATGGTATCATCATATCTCAATATAATTAGCTTGGGTTAGGTTGACCTGTTAGAGGTGAGAGGTGAATCAAGAGTCCTGGCACAGCTGAGACTCGTTCATTGTTAGTCTCATTCACAAACGTTGATGACCGATAAGATGTAGGAATTGGATGAAATATTGCTGGCTACCGAGTATAAAATGAAAAGGGAGAGCTTTTCTTCAATCTGTAGAAAGGTTCACTTACGTATCCATCCATGTTCTTCAAGTTTAGGACCGCAGCTGAGCGGCTGGACATATGTGGCTTTGTGGCAGGCGTATAGATTCATGAAACAGAGATGCGGTTCCAAAGCCCAGCCTGTAGATACCGGCTCACGTCCGTCGATCCGTCGGCTGAAAGCTGCCTAGATTCTGGGCCACATTTAATTGTGTCCCAGTCCCTCATCTTCTTTTCGATGTACTCGCCCATGCCGGACGCGTGAAGGATCTCCGCTAGACGAAAGTGACAGTCCAGAAGGGCTGCGCTTGGTCTAGGGATGGCCCCTGCATCGTCGGCCTTGGTGAAAGTCACTGTACGACTTTCCGGTAAAGATTGGTGCAAATAAGTGCTGAATCGCGGATAAGTCTTCAAACGATAGGTGTGGGGGGTTTCCTATTATTACATCATTATTAGAAACTGCCAAATCCATCCAGACTAGGTACGATCTTGGTTGAGACTCACCGTGGGCTGGAAGGCCATCCGAAACTTCCCAAATTGAAGGTGAAGGGGGCCTAGCAGTGTGAGACCATTCGCCGGATCATTAATGTTTTCAGGTCTCATTCCAGCCCGTCGCACCCCCGGGAAACAGCGGGAAAGAACCTCCCACTTTGGGCCAGAATCGACTGGCAGAGTCTAGGGCTGTATCAGTAGATTGGCATGAATAGGAAACATAAAGTACTACTCTACCTTACCCTCGCAGGCGCCAAAAGAATACGGGATTATATGAGCGGCCTCAAGGTCTCCCGAAATCATAGTAGCTGGGGAGCCGATTTTCACCCAATGTTCTGTCTCAACAAAGTTTGTAATTACGCAACACTGACGATCCCTTTGCAGACAGGCTTCACGAAAGGAGGCGTCTCTCAGCTGCGACTCATCGGGGAGGGTCCCGGCAACAATATCAGCATTTATTTGGCGTTGGGTACGAGGGGAGGTAGTTAGCGAGGGAGTGCGGCTATCTGCCTTCACTATGAGTAGGTCAGTAGTGATTTCTTTTTATCAAGCAGAGGCTGTTCATGGAACTTGCTTGGCTGTAGTAAACCTGTCAGCAGGTTGTGGTATACCTGCCAAAGAATAGCGTCGGTCTGAGAATTGACAATATCGCTAGCTATCGACTCACACCCGTCATTAGGGAGCATCTCAAGGAACGACCGAAGACAGTCCTGCAACTTTTCCTCGTTCTGGCGGTGGGTCCGTTGGTACTGATTGATTCTCTCTTCAGCCCTTCGCTTGAGTTCAGACCGAGGCTCAGGGCCTATCTGCGAGGATATTACGGAAATGCCGCTGACGGCAGACATCTGCGGGCTGGGTGGCTGGGCAGCTGGAAGATGCAGAGGCAGGGAGTGCTCGCTGGAGGTGCTCGGGGGTTCTCCCATCAGACGACGCGACCTACGACTGGGCTGGGACGGGCTCGTTGGAGAGTCGCTGGCCCTTCTCTTCCCCTTGCGGTCGGCCATTGCAAATGATGACTTTGAGAGATTCTGTGAATTCCTAGGAGGTGGGAAGGAAAGCCTGGCAAGAGAGTGAGTCTCTCTGACTGTCAGTCGTCTCATGGAGCGTCTCACCGCCAATCTTTTCTGCCGGTATATATGGTCACGTGGAGATAACACTTCTGACGTCAGAATGAATCCTCTCCTTCTTCTTCATTACTCCGTACTCTGGACCTCGCCTGTGAATAGAAACAGGGCATGAAGGATAGCCACTACCTACGTATTACGGTCTCACCGGTAATCCAAGGGGAGCATTCTTGTGGCGTCACCGCTTGCTGTTTCCCGCAAGTAGCTGACTCTACTAGAATGAAGTTCACGAGGACACAGCCAATATGTGATCGAGTGTCTATAGAACATACAGCATGCGGTGTGGATTGTGTTCGCCCCCGCCTTGCATGTTGAAACGGTGCATACGCGCCTCGGCTGACCGACTATTTAACCCTGCCGCGTGCTGCAATATATCTGGCCCCGTCGTCTGCGGGGAGATCCTTGCAAGATGGTACTACATCAGAGTGCTCCGTATGTAGTATCGTCATTATTAAGGCATCGCCTGCATCGGCGCTTCTTGGCGTCGACGTTTCTCCTGTCTGATGATCAGATCAGATGGCAGATGAGCAAGGGGTGTATCACCCGATCGATCGGTATTGTTTGCTGCGGCTGTAGTAAGGGAGGTTCTTCCTTCTATTCTTCTAAAGAGAGAGTACTCTGTACTTTGTACTCTGTACGTTCTCGTACTTCTGCGCAGAGTAGATAATGGTATAGTAGTATTCTAATCAAATATATAAACTAGTCAATATTTTTGGATCCGGAACAGTTCCATGCTAGAGCACAGTATATCACTATTGATAAATGATTTATAATGATTTTATATAAATATTTATACCAGAAGCTTCGAATCAACTGATATTGACACTATAATATAATAATAGTCTACTGCCTCAACTCAATGACCATTATCTTGCCGAGCAGTATAAGATAAGAAGCTAGATAAGTTATCAGACTAAGCTACTGGTCTTTCTCGCCGAATTCTCGGGCTGCCAAGGCCGAAGATAATTCGAAGGATTGTACAGTAGTTGTAGTAACCGAGTCTGATATCTTCCGCAGCCCTCCGGAAAGTAGCCACCAATGATCATACTCTGGCTTGACGCCTCATTAGTCCGTCGAAATTAAGCGCTTGATCGGCACGTCTATTTCTACAGCCACGACTACTACTAAGTACTAAGTAACTAACTAAGCCTCAAGTGCTAGTAGTGCTAGTAGTGCTAGTAGTGCAGGGACAGGTGTGCATTACCAATGCAAGATTCTAGCCGAGTTTGGAAGGAGGAAAATACCGAGGAAAGAATGTGTCGATCAATTGACCGAGGCTGGGACTATGAACTAGTGTCAGGCTAATTCTATCGAGTAATGGATAACTTTAGACAGAATAATAACCTATTAAGCGCGCATACTGCATCCAACTCTGTACTAAATATTACATATCCAATGGTTTTCAAGTTATGAATAGTTACTCTCCAGATACATGGGCATAAACAGAACTAAACTAATAATAACCTACAGAGTATACAGAGTAGACCACGTAAGTAGAAGCTATTCCAGTGTCTACTCCATACTAGTAGTACTCCATAGTGTCCACTGAGTTATTATTTACATGTACTCCGTAGCCAATGTAGTGGTTTACTATGACTATGGTTGGAGTGTCACTGGTTACCACAGTTCAATTCTCCCAGCAAGCTTATTTTATTCGTTTACCCGAAAGTGTTTACCCACGGCAAAACACACTCCACCAGCAAGTCCACCTTCTAGAAGACGACGAACGGGTCCACTCTGGAGATTCTGTTGGTCATAGCGAGAGATTAATAATAATAATAAACACATTCTTCATAAATAGTAGGTAGTCCATACTCCGTAGTAGTTACCGAGTAGTACGCACTCTATTATGTGCTAGTGATGGAAAGTTTGACTACTAACTAGTGTTCGCTGTCGATTACTCTCGGGTTGGGGGCTGAGTACGGAGTAGTTACTGTCATTACTAGTGATCTTCTCCGGAGTAATTATCCGGGGCTCGGAGTTACCTAGTTATACTCCATACGGAGTACTCCATGGTGTAGGACTACTACCTAGGTAGTTAGTTTAGTTAGTTAACTAGGGAGTATTTACAGTCTACTAAGCCGTTGTCGGTGAAGGAAGACGAGAACGGACAAGGATTATCTCTTCATACCCTGATTGGATGGCCCCGCCGAGTCGCCACTGAAACTCTTACAGCGGGCTAGCTGCAACGGGTTTAGGGGCTGCTTGGGAAGGCAAGGCGAGCCGCGGGTTGCAGCGGAGACCGCTTGCCGGTGCTTGACCGCCTGTCTGGACCCGGCCAATCTTCGCTCGTCGGCGAGTTTCCGCCACCAATCAGCAGCGAGCGATAACGCTCTGCCGACGGATTGGAAGACGGCCTCTTGGGAGCTTGGAGGATCTTCTCCTTACATCATATTATTGTGATCTTAGTAGTACTACTAGCAGGTACTCCGTAGATACGTAGAATATCCTTGAAATATTGTACTTGGTTTTATTATATGTCTAAATACTGGAGTACCTGTTAACAGGTATTCTAGTATTATGTAGTACTTACTAGGTAACTGTAGTAGTAGTTTAGTAGTAACTACCTAGTAACTAGTATACTCTGTATGTAGTACTTACCAGACCCCACAGTGGGGGCAAATCACATCTCCTCGGTTTGCTCTGACCGCATTCATCGTCCCCGATGCGGCAACCTGTCATGCGTAAAGTTGCATCTTACAGGCTCACTCGGTGGACTCGGTAGAACTACGGAGGATTCAGTAGGATACGACATCTGGAGCGGTCGACGAGTATACTCTGGAGTCTGTACTGTAGAATCTCAGTCATGACGTTGCATTCTGCGTATGCACGACATGCTGTGAGGGGTATAGTACAACGAGACTGAATACATAAAATACATATCAAATAGAATAACTATGTAGTAGTAGTAGTAGTAGTAGTAGTAGTAGTAGTAGTAGTAGTAGTAGTAGTAGTAGTAGTATGTAGTATACTTATTACCTAGCAGTAATAAATAAAATCGATACTTCAACTGTCAGCGAGTCATCAGTTCCCTGCGGCGCTCTTCATCCAGTCTTGCCCCTTTTCGATCGGGCCCAGAAAGAGACTCGCCTCCGATCTCCACCAGATAGCCTCTTTTTTCTCAACTCGAGTCCTCCTCCACTCGATCGGTTCATTCTGATCCTTATTTTCCATCATCTTCATTTCATCCTTGTCTCATCTGTCTCGTCGCTTGATCTTGGCGTCTCGTTGCCACCCGCCCGAGTATAACCTACTCAACTCACCCACTCCGTCATCTTCCCTCGCTTCCCTATCGCCAACCTCCCCTCTCTCATCCACACTCTACTCTATCTCTTTCGATTTTATTCCTCCTTTACCTCCCTTACTAGTTCTTCTACACAACTATTATACCTACCTACAACTATTAGAATATACAAGACCGCCATGGCGACTCAAGTGCAGACCTTCCCCGCCTCGCAACAGATTGCCATCTACGGCCACCCTTCGCCCACAAACTCGGCCAACACCACCGCCAACAACTCCCCGACCTCACCACAACTCACCCATGCCCTGCCGCTTCAGAGCCGCCAGCTGCGCCCTCCCAAGGCCCCCTTGTACGTGCCCGCTGCCCTCCGTCCGACCGAGCGGCCTCAGAGAACCTCGCCGCCCACCCCGCCGCGCAGTGTCAACGGCTCGCTCGACAGCCTCAACAACAACAATAATAATACCGAGAGCGACCTCGTCGAACAGCACCAGCACCAGCACCACCAGCACCATCAGCACAGCCAGAAGCAGCAAAAGCCACAGAGACAGCCTCTCTCGCGTCGCTCGACCATCGAAAGCACCACCGCGACCACCATCACCAAGTTAGCCGAGGATGAATGGATGAAACTGGAACATCTCGGGGAGGTGACTGGGTTGCCCACCCGCGACCACTGGAAGGTAAGACCTTTATATTCTATCCGGTCGCTGGTGTTGTATCATGTGTGCTGTGTCTTGCGTGATCAAGCACGCCATACACAAAAAGTTTAGAATAGAGCACAGAGTACAGAGTACAGAGTAGTACTGACGAACAGGCCGATTCTGTCTCTCCTACCTGCGACTCGCCCAACTGCCGCTCCTCGTTCGGCCTGTTCGTACGCCGCCACCACTGTCGTCACTGCGGCCACGTTTTCTGCGCCGCGCACACCCCGCACACCGTCCCTCTCGACCAGGACGCCAGCTTCCACCCGGAGGGCACCCCCTCGCGCGCCTGCGACCTCTGCCTGTCTGCCTTTCACCGCTGGCAGGAGACCCGGTCCATCCGCCTGTACGAGATCCAGAGCCAGATCGACATGCAGCGCGATCGTGACCTGTCCGCCGACGAGAACAATACCGACTCCGAGGGTTCTGTCGCCTCTTCTGCCAATGACGATGGTTCCACAGCCCTGGACCGAGCCCTGGCCCGTCGTGGCGAGCTGCAGGGGCCTCCGGAAGTTGCTGCCAGTATTCCACGAGACTGGCATTGGAGTACTTTTTAACCTCTCTCTCTCTCTCTCTCTCTCTCTTCCCAACACCTACACCTACACCTACACACACACACACTCTCTCTCTCTCTCTCTTCTACGATCTTGCGTTTTGCGACATGATATCACTGCAACTACAACTGCAATCTTTACGGTAGATAACGGCGTTATGGTCTTACGGATTACGGATGGTCTAGATTTCTGTTGTTTCTTTCTGTTGTTTCTTTGACAGCCTTCTGTTTCGGGCGGTTCTCTGCATTACGGATACCCTGTTGAGTAGATCTAATCTTATTACTACTACTATTACCACTACTCTGGATATTTTAAGTTCTTGTAATGCGTAGTTGTTCGATTGCCGGCTCGATTGCCGATTAACTTCAGAGTAAGTTTTTATTAACATTTTATAGAGTTTGCAAGTACGTGAATAATATTACAAGGTCTAGACATGTCTATGGTTAGTAAGTCTGCCTATCTATACTTCTTTGATACTTTGAGTCCACTTGAAGTTTATGATATTATTCTCCGGTATGCTCGAGACATTATTATTAACTGAGTAGTCTACCATTCATACTAGCAGCATATTACATATAATGCTTTAGGACCATCAGGTTGATGGAGAGGAAACTATAGTGATGCTATCTAGATATAGCTTTATATACAGGCAGGGCTATGGTTTGTACTTAGCAAGTTTAAGCAATATATAGTTAGGTAATATTTCATTATGAAGCTATAATTTGATCTCTTCTATCAAGTCCATAATAAAGTGCCGCTTACTAAGCCAGCAACAAAATTCGGGCACAATCGAGATTTCAGACCTCACCACCTTCATGTCCCTCTACTACGACGCCGTCACCGTCCTCACGGCTCCCTCGTCGACCGGTGGCTCGTTCAAGTCCCGCGTCTACAATGCGCGCAACATAAAGGCGACCCCGGCGCAGATCTACGCCCTCATCATCGAGGCATCGAAATGGGATCTACTTTTGAAAGAGGTGATTGAGAGGTCGGACCTTCTTAAACATGAACACAGAGTGAGCACATATATATATAATCAAAGAGGCTTCGAGCAAACATATATATATATGGAATGACTTACTAACAGAATAGCTGACTCCCCTCCTTGCCCTCCTCCTCGTTCATGACCATCTCGTGGCTAAAGGCGGGATTGCGGCGCCGGTCTCGCATCCCCTCCGCCAAGCCGTCGAACGACACAAGACGCGCCTCAAGGCAGAGTTTGTCAAGGCGCGCGTCCGCCGGGGCTGTGCATCGATCCAGGAGCTAAAATCCGCCGTCCTGAAGGAAAAAAAAGGCGGAGATGCCGCCACAACCAATACGACGGTGTATCCGCGCTGGGTGCGGATCAACAATATTCGATCCTCGCTGGAAGAACAGCTCAAGTCGACCTTTGCGGCGTATACGAGGGTGACCTCCTTAGCGGAGCTGGGCGACAAGACGGAGAAGAAGTTGTATGTAGATGTGCACATCCCGGATCTGGTCGCCGTGGCGTACGGGACGGACTTTTCCACCGCGCCGGCGTACAAGAACGGAGAGATCATCCTGCAGGACAAGGCGTCGTGTTTCCCGGCGTATCTGCTTGCTGGGAATGGGTGGGCTGTTGAAATGGGAGGTAGAGATCTGATAGACGGGTGTGCCGCGCCGGGAAACAAGACGACCCATCTTGCCTCGTTGCTAGCGAAGGAGGGGAAGACGGTGAACTTGGATTCAACCGTCAAATCGCATCAATGTTTCCCACACATCTACTCAATGGACGCGTCGCCGAACCGGTCCAAGACGCTTCAGAAAATGGTCTCCCTGGCTGGCGCGGACTCCGTCACCGTCCTACCGGGACAAGACTTTCTCGCGCTCGACCCTGCCGATCCCCGCTTCGCAACCGTCACAGGTCTTCTCCTCGACCCCAGCTGTTCAGGCAGTGGGATCATCGGGCGCGAGGATGTCCCGACACTAACCCTCCCCGAGGCAGTAACAAGGAACCATCCGCAGGGCAAGAAACGCAAACGCGGCCAAGACGACCAGAAAGAAACCTCCGTTCTAGTTCTTGGCAACGAAGCCGAAACCGAAACCGAAAATGAACTCTCCGGCTCGTCGGCGATGGACCCTGATCGGCTCGCAAAACTGTCGAACCTCCAGGCCCGGATTGTCGAACATGCCCTGCGCTTCCCCGCTGCCACGCACGTCACGTACAGTACGTGTTCGATCCATGGGATCGAGAACGAAGATGTGGTGGCGCGGGTGCTCGCCTCGGACCCTGCGCGGGACGGAGGCTGGCGGGTGATGACCCGCGGGGAACAGCCTGCTGGACTACAGAAATGGGGGCATAGAGGGGTGCAAACTGAGCGGGGGGGATCCTTGTCGGTGGATGAACTGGAGGGGTGTCTACGTTGTTGGCCGGGGGATGAGCAGGGATTAGGTGGATTCTTTGTCGTGGGGTTTGTACGTGAGAGTAAAGCTGAGAAGGAGGAGGAGGAGGAGGAGGAGGAGGAGGAGGAAGGAGAGGAAGGAGAGGAAGGAGGAGAAGGTTCTGAAGAAGAAGAATGGGAAGGGTTCTCTGATTAGGTCTATGTCTATATGGCCGTCAAACATTGCTATACATAATGACTACAAGAGTAGGAGAGAAGTAGAGTGGAATCAAGATGATCACGGAGTCAGAAAGCGTCGGTGCCGGTTCCGACTGCGCTCCTCTGTATACACGTCCAGCTTGACCGCGATGAACATCATCTCATACCCGCCCGGCGAGCCTGACGGCTGCACGCGCAGCCGCCACTGGGCCGTCCGCGCAAACCAAACCGGCTGTTGCTCTGTGTCAGGGTTCTCAGGCGTCTTGGTTTCGTTGGGTTCGCTGCGGCGTCGTTTGGTGGGCCGGAGAAGAGGAGACAAGGCATTACTCGTGGTCGTCGGGTCGGGATCGTCGTCCGTGAGAAAGGAATCGACGGGGACCTGTTCGCCGTTGATGGTGAGGTCGGTGTCACTGTCGAGCCGGATCTTGACCCGCTCCTCACCTAGGGGAGAGTGTGCTGGGCTGGCGGGCTGTGTGCTAGCGCCGCCAGTCATCATCAGAAGACCCAATGGGGCGGTGGTCGGGAGGTTCATCTTGTTGGCGACAACCTGGAAGAGACTTGCGACGCGAGCCTTGACGAGGCCAATGAAGTCGGCGCGCATGGCGGTCAGGTCAATGATGGTGGCCTCGCCACCGATTTCGACGATCAAGTCGGCCGACCGTTCGTCAACAAAGGGGCGAGCGTACACGACCCAACCGTACGCGAGGGTGGGAGAGCTGACAGGCTGGGGATCAGGTGAGAACTGCACGCCGGACTGGCGGACGTCCTCGAGACGGATGATGACCTCTGACCGCCGGCGCAATGGGTTGTAGCTAAGATGGTGCGGGATCAGACGTTGCTCGAGCCCACGGAGGTGGAAATAGCGACAGTCGCGGAGCAGTTCGGCACGGTGGTCTTCGTTGCGGATGTTCAGCGGATAGCCGCGTAAGAGGTGCAGAAGCTCCTCGAAGACAGCCCCGGACCGGTTGGGCACACTCGGGGGCACAATTGCCGGCGGGCGCAGCAGCACCTTGCGGTCGAGGCCCGGGAAGGCCTCGGATGGCGAGGTGAAGAAGACGGCGAAGCCGAGCGAGAAAAAGTTGGGCGAGTCGCCGGGGTTGGAGAACAGGTCGCGTGGGATCTCGAAGTGACGGTCGCCGATCTGGATGAAGATCTCCGACTCAAACAACTGCGACGTCAGACGGGGGACTAGACTCTTCCATCAGTCCTCTATTCCTATCTCTCACGTATAGAGGGGGTAAGTGTAAAACACACGGCTGTAGAACTGGGCATCGGCGAACAGCTTCACGAACTCGTTTCCATCGCGCGGCCGGATATGGTACCCTACCAGTTTCAGCGTCAGTCGCCTCATCCATAGCCAAAGATTCCCTGCACACGTACCCTGTAGATGCTTGGCGATCTCTTTAAAGGTCCCCGGGTCCCGATCGATATACAGCGTGCGAGGGTTCGAGTCCTCCCCGTTCTGACGTAGCTGCTCCTCGAAAAACTGGGAGAAATAGGACGGCGCTGGGGTCCAGTCAGCATACGAAGAGCCAATACAATCCTCTAGGGTAACACCAACCATCAGACGCAATTGATGCGCCGGACAGACGAAAGACCTCACAGCCAATCTGGATGCTGAAGACCTTCTCCGACGGCAGATCACTCCTCCCCGCTGGCTTGGGCAGCAACGCCGCGTCGACCGTCGGCGTCGCGCTGCTCTCCCCCGTGGCCATGACACAAATTCGCTCTTATCCTTGATTTCCACCGCTCCGGCGCCGTGAAACGATCAGGAGGCTCGCTGCGATCACATGGGGCGATCGATGGGATGGGATGGGCAGCGGCAACGCGCAGAGCGCCCGGGACCCTGTTCGAGCTCTTCGAGTTCTGTAGAGCGATCGAAGGGAAGGGAGGGAGGCAAGCGACAGCGGTGATTGCTAATAGAGAGCGAGTCTGGACGCGTCGTCGGGGCTGAGCAGCGAGTCACAAGCGAACAGTTGTCGGCCGGCAGCGGGCGTCTACTCCGTAAAAAAAACGGCGGTTCGCGTGAGAAGACAGGGGTGCAGAGGGAGAGAGAAAGAGAGGGGGGGGCGCCCGGAAATAGAATCGTCATGAGTGGCCGCTGCGGGTAAATTGCTGGTACTGCTGGTGGTCAGAATGCGAGGAACCCATGCTCAGCTCAGAGCTGGTGGTGGTAAATGGTGATCTTTCCCGGGCGGTGTTTGTTATTATTCCCTTCGCCCCCTCCCCTTCGCAACGTCCCGCTGTGCCTCATCCAAGACACCGTGGATGAAGGAAGACCTGCAGCTGCAGCTACACCCACCACCTCGCTTCTGGCAGTAGTGCTTTTGGAAGTGCAGGCAAAGGACATGGATATAGTGAGACAGTCAGTCTCCACTGCAGTCTCTGCCCTGGTGTTGTGGTTAGCTACTCTGCGTGGTGTGCCCGCTTGCCGCCTGTCCAACGTGAGTACCCATTGTTCTTCGTGGATGGCAGGGACTGACAGTCTAGAAGGAACATAGATTTGATTCGAAGAACCACCAGACGAGCAATAGGGAAGCTTTCGCTGGTGGGTTTCGCGGCGTTTATAACCTGATCGGCCACGGTCGGGCACTTCGGATGGCTGAACACTTGGGCACGGTAGTAGCCTGAACGAGAGTAGTTTTGAGTTGATCCAGCGACTTCGCCAGGTATTTATCAAACAGGAGCCATAGGATGATGGGGAGTTGTCGAGTCTGATGGTCTGATTCACCCGAGACATGCCCCTCGGCGGTGTTGTTGGATATATCACAGTCTATCAATAACGACTGGCCACCAGCACACACGAAACATGGCGCAGATCTTTTTATACCCGTCTACAAAGCAGATGACTAACGGCTAGAGGATTTTGAATCCATGAAGGGGGGGGGGGGGAGAGAATACGACTCGGAATGAGTAAAACGAATCTCAGGATGGCTGACTGATGAACTGATGCACTGCTCGTGGCCCGATCCCTGGCGACTCGTTTGATCAATCAGTTCAAGTTGGCGGTGTAGAATCAGAGAAGGGATCTTTCCCAGAGAAAATCATCGATTACTATTCATAATGTATGGATTTGGGCGTACTGCATCTTTGCACAGTTACTCGCTTCGAAATGGTGGTTCAGATGCTTCCTCTCTCATCATGTAGTGCAAAGAAGTGCGGAGTAGCAAGACGCTCTTAACTAGGGGATTGCCTTGGCCATAGCGATCCGGGGTACTGGACTAGATGCTGTCCTCCAATGGTCGAAGCTGTTATAGATAAGTACTGGGTAACTAGGTACCTTTTATAAAGACGACATATGGCTATTGGATCGGATTGGTCCTACCCATGAGTCTTAGGTCTACTTAAAGACCATATTATGAGCTAAATCTGAAGCCTGATTTCAATCATAGACCTTGCGACCTACATCTTCGAGGTATTAATTGGTAGGAGGAAAATAATGGCTTTCGAGTTACTCGATTGATGTAGGCACTTATATAGTATTGTGGGTTATGTATTATATTAATTGACATCTTATCATACAAGGTGCTGTAGTCTAGTGGTTATGATAATTCGTTGTGGTCAACCAAACCCGAATTGGCCTCGGTTCGATTCCGGGCAGCGCCATCTTTTTTTGTTTTTTGATTTTAGGATTCGTGCTTATCACCACCACTCACTTACTCATCGGCTCGCAGTGGTTTAAACTGGCCTAGTCGTGTAATATTACCCCCTAATATCTACCTGCGAGGTACAGCGGTATACAAAATAGCGTGCTTCTATTTTCACTGCTGCGGAGTGCTCCATGTACCTTGCTGCCCGAGCATATCAGTCCAACGGCTGGTGATTTGGCCCTTTTGGCCATGTAGGACCGACCAAGATGCGAGGTGGATCAGGAATGGCCCGTGTCAACTCCATCTCCGGGCCTCTGCTGAGTGCATCAAGTTCTGTCTCTCCACGTTCCTTGTTTAAGCAGTCTCAAGAACCCTTAGCGCTTGTATAGAGACCAATAACCTAGGTAGCATCGGCTACATACGACCATTAGACCTGAATCTGTCGAAGGGGATCTTCGATGCATAGAAAATTAGCCTTTATGCCTATATAGCTGTTAGACACAGTCAAAAAGGAGGCACACGATGGGATGTGGATGGCTGTTCGCTTTCTCACTCTCTCTCGTTCTTCTAGGTTTATTACGGAGTATTTTTGCCAAACCTACGAGTTTCCTTCGAAGATCCGCTTCGTAATGATAGAATGCGGCAGCACACTTGGTGAGACAGTGCCTCCCTAGCCGTCTACTGAAAAACCGACGCGTGGGACATACTAGTGACCACCTGAGGTTACTACACTCCCTCCTTCCGAAGCCATTCAGTACCTTCAAGAAATTGAAGTAAAGTATCAATCAATAACTTGTACATACTGTCCAGGCAAGAAAAGAATTAGAATTATGACCTCGCCGATTTACTAGCTTTCGACAGGAAGAAAAACAAAAAAGAATGGCGCTGCCCGGAATCGAACCGAGGCCAATTCGGGTTTGGTTGACCACAACGAATTATCATAACCACTAGACTACAGCACCTGTTGTTGTTGAATGCTGCAATTTTTGGCTATATGTCTCAGGTTAGCATCGGCGTATCCTTATCTATCTGTCTGATCGCTCCCTTCTGCTACCAAGACGCAGACCTGCCTGTATGGCTTGACAGGTAGGCCCGGTTATGGTACTAGGTGCCTGGTATTATTACTTTTACACTAATACTGCGTCTGTCGCATCCTTTCTTCGTGACTTGGCTTTGAGCTAGTCCTTCTTTAGGACTATATCAGATCATGCTCCATTTTGATCGATGTCTTCCGACAGGTGCAGTTACTCGGGTTTGGAGTCGGGTGTTACCATAAACCATTGCATGAACCTACATATCACTAGGGGTATAGCGTCGCGTCTGAATGAGCAAGTTGTTGTGTTGCAACGCCTGGATTTGGAATCATAACAATAAGGAATAATCTAAAGGATTCATGGTTAATAAAAAAGACGAATCGCAAAGGAAAACAAAAAGATTGGCGCTGCCCGGAATCGAACCGAGGCCAATTCGGGTTTGGTTAACCACAACGAATTATCATAACCACTAGACTACAGCACCTGATTGGTTGAAAAGCGGTTCCCTATTTCAGTATATGACCATAACCATTACCAGTCTGGTTATCGTGAAAGACTGATTAGTTATCAATCTAGCCCTGTAACATTGACTAGGGTTAAATCTAGCCTAGCTTCGACACTTTGCAGTGATCTACCACATCGATACTAGCTGTGTAGACAGTTCACCGTGTACATACTCTAGCAACACTACAAATTTAATTTTACCAGTGATGCAATATAGAAAAAAAAAATCAAAGATATTACTGGCGCTGCCCGGAATCGAACCGGGGCCAATTCGGAATGTTGGACACCACAACGAATTATCATAACCACTAGACTACAGCACCTAATTTGTGCACATAATCAGTGCACTTGATTATTCAATGTTCTCTGTCGCCTAGGTGTTGCAATTCTCCCTAACCAGTCCAGCTTCGCATCGCGGCCTTTGCGGCTGAATCTCACCCTGTCATCCATCGGCGTTCTCGTTCATTTCTAATCCAGCCATGAATAGAATCCTGAGGGTAGAGGCGTAGATTAGGAACGTTGATGAATAGACCTGCCAACTTGTCCTGGCCTATTTCTTAATGAGAAATGACAGCCAAATTGCACTATCTTAGGTAGTTAGGGTGTTTTGAATGGGCACTGAATCCACGTGCCTCTCTCATCTCCTCGAGTCCTCGTCGCTCGAGGTGATTTTCCATCCTCTTCTTTCTTCCCTTGGACTCGCCGTCGGTAAAAGGGATCCCCTATTTTTCCACTACCATTACTAATTCCACAAGAAAGAGTTTAGTGATCGACTATTCCTGGTCAGCAGAAGGGTCCAGGCTGGGGCTCAGGATTACCTACCTACTCCGGATTTACGCGAGCTGACCATACAGACTGTTACAGTGGAGCTTCCGACCTAGCCGTGAAGCTGTATTAAACAGAGTCAGCGTCTCTCGATAATAATAACTATCGCCATGGATGGCAACAAAAATGGCCCATAGAAGATACGTGGACGGCCAGATGCTGGGAGACTTATACCTGGGTTCGTTAAAGTTTGAGGTGACGGCCTTGAAGACCTCGCGGGATCATCTCACTGTCTCCTCTTAATTAACTAGTCATTCAGCCCTGCTAGAGTGGACCCTCGCTGGCTATTAACAATGCCAGCAATACGGAGGAATGATTGACGGCGCGGAGGCTTGGAGCAATTTAAATTGAAATGGGGCTGAGTGCCTTGTTCTATAATCTGACAACAGGACTCGAAGCGGATATAAAGAGACTCGATTCCAGGAAGAATGACTTCCAATTCTCTTCCAAGCCTTCCTCTCATCCGATCAGCGTTGCTCTGTCTACACTATCTATCTTCCTAACAATATTGCTCTTCTCATACTATCCATCTTCTCATTTTAGGACCCCCCAACACACTACCATCATGCGTTCCTTCGCCTTTCTCGCAGTTCTGGCTGCTACTGCTGCTGCCCAGTCCTCCACCGCTACTACTGCTTCGCAGTCACTCGCCATTTCGCAGACCTCTGTCGAACTAATGTTCACTGACCCCTCCGAATGGATCGGCACCGAAGTCGGCAGTGTATGTCTACTGTCCATGCTTTTTACCTTTTCTGCTATACCTGCCTGTTTCTAATCATCTCTTCATTATAGGACGGCACGGAGACAACCTATATGTACAACCTCAACCCCAGCGCGACCGATATGGTGGTAGAGACACAAATTGAAGTAATTAAAGACCCAAGTGGTTTCGTAATTATCGAGTCTGGCCTGTGAGTTCATCCTTGGACACGGTGGCTTCTTCTCCGTTTCTTCGTCTACTGACACTGACGGTTCTCTGGCTACTTCTAGTGCGACTGTTTCCTGCGTTGATTCAGGTTCCGAGGCCGACTGCGTTGCGGTAGTCCCCAGCGTCACAACAATGTATGTGGAAGTGCCCACGGCGGACTTTGATTTCCCTTCCGTCGCTGCTGTAGCTGCATCTGCAACTGACAGCACCGTCACCGGCGCAACGACCCTGGCAACCTCCACTACCAAGTCTGGCACAGCGTCCGCATCGGCCACCCACACCGGCGGCGCGACAATGGGACATACCGTGGCGATGGGGGGTGTTGTTGCTGCCGTGCTGGGGCTGGCGTTGGGTCTGTGATGTGACTTTCGATGGTTTCCACGATACAAAAGCTTTAATTGATGTAATTATTGTGAGATGAAAAGCGTTGATCAAATAGAAAGTGAGTCTAGAACAGCCTGCTATGTTACCAATAGTTACAGTACAAGTGGGGGAATGAATACCTTCGACGCGGCTGCTTCAGTCAGCCTCTTGGAATCCCCAAGAGTTTTCTTTATTTTTGTACTTCCGTACAGAGTCCAGACAACTCTGCAGAAACCATCTTCAACCCCGATAAGCCACTATCACAACAGCTGATGCGGCCAGGCCAGTTTCAGACTAGCGAGGGGAAAGCGGGCGTATCGCGACTTGTAATTTGAGCCTTCGCTGCACTCTTATTCTCTGCCGTCCTATCGCTTGGACGGCCAGGTTCTGCAATGCATTCAGCTGCCATCTCCCATGGGGAGCAGCGCCGTCGTCTATTATCACCTGTTTTACGAGCGTCTGGCATTCCGCTGTTTCTCCCCGAAAAAAAGATATATAAGGAGCGGTGAAGAAGCCGCGAAGATGAATCTGAACAACAACAGAAATTCGCAAAAAGCATCACCATGTCTACGCTCCCTACCTCGCTCCGAGAATTGCCAGCTTGGCCCATCCGGGCCCTGGACGACGACTCCATCTTTCCAGAGGGCAAATTCGTCGTTGATGCGCCCGAGTGTAAGGATGAAACCGAGCCACTTGTCTGGGCAGAGGATGGCACTGTTGCTACTGAAACCTGGTTCACGACACCGGTGAGTCTGCTTGTCTTCTTGTCTTCCTGACCTCTCTTGGCCTCTTCATCGACCTTGCGCTGAATATGGACTGCGTCTAGCCTCTCAGTCGCTCTGCCATTCTAGGCCTCAAGAGTGTTCAGTTGTTTGCCGAAACCCGTGACCAGGGATACGTCGATGATCGAGCGCTTGGGAACTGGACATGGCTTGAGCTCGCCATCTATGAGAACGAGGAGGCCGACTCTCCTCGCGTGCGGGAGGGGGTGCAGCTGGTTTGGACAAGCCATAGGAATGACATGGGATCCAAGGAGTACGACTGGGTAAGTCATTTACCATATTTTCTTTCTATCTATACCCCTCTAACCATTGGTCTTGTAGTTGAGTGGGGACGGCTTTGGCGAACAACACGATTTGTTGAATCTCTTGCAGGTAAAGTAGTCTATCATCACCGAGGAAGATATAACTCTACTGACCACTTAGCCTGGTAATGTCATCGCTGTCCGGGTTTGCGCGTGCTTCAGGGGCTGGGAACTATACGGCCGAGCAGCCCGTTTGGTCCTACGGACGGGACCTCCGACTCGCATTGAGCCGCCCCCGAGTTACACGCAAGTCATTGAGGAGACCCTCACACTGCAGCACATCATGAACTGTATCAATGTCCGGAACGACGCGTATGAGCCGACCATCACCGCAGCCTGGGACCGCGCCGATACTTACTCGGGCAAAGAGTTGCGGCCTCTCCGTGTCCTGTCTCTTGGTAAGCCACTGGAGATATATCTTTCTCTCTACTTACGGACCTGACTCCTTTAGATGGTGGCGGTGTGAGAGGCTATTCGTCTTTGATGCTGTTGAAAGAAGTAATGGACCGGGGCGCTCCGAATAAGAAGCCCTGCGATGTATTTGACCTCATCGGTGGAACAAGCACTGGCGGGTATGGAATCCCCCTCTCCACAGTCACTGATGGGGATATACTAATGCTTACTCAAACCTAGATTGATCGCCATCATGCTGGGTCGGCTCAAGATGACCGTCCAGGAGTGTCTGGACGAGTACGACGCGTTGATGAAAGAAGTCTTTGGATCCGGGTGGTTTCATAAACACATTGGAAAGACAGCCTCCTATATCCAGAAAAGCGAATTCTATTCTGCTGAGAAGCTGGAGAAGGTGATTAAAGCCCTGCTTCGCAAAAGACTTCCGGCAGGCGAAGATCCGGAGAACGCTCTGTTGCTGGATAACGACAACCCATGTAAAATGTGCGTTCGAATCCCCATATATCCTCTTCCGTTCTGTCTTGCTCATCTCTTACAGCTTTCTCATGGCCGTGCGGGAGGAATCCGGCAGCAACCGTGGGCCGGTCTTCCTTCGCTCGTACCTGGACGAGAGAGAGAAGCCCGACGCGGATCTGGCCAACATTAAACTGTGGCAGGCCGCTCGTGCCACCTCAGCCGCCCCGGCCTATTTTAAGCCCCTTCAGGTCGGCAATGTGAAGCTGGTGGACGGTGGTCTTCTGGCGAACAATCCTTTTGGATGGTAAGCTAGGACTCAAAAAGAAAGCTTCTGGAGTTTATGGCTGTATACTCATCTCTCTAGGCTATGGTTTGAGGTTCTTGGGGTCTTCGGCCCAACCCGCGAGACAGACTGCTTTCTCAGTATCGGGACCGGGATGGCAGCCAATGTGGCAGTTGCGCAGCCCGGCTTCCTTTTCAAGGATGCCATGATGAGCTTCTCGTCCTTGGCAACCAATACGGAAAGCACGCATCTGCTCTTCCGCACGCTTGTCGACGCCTTTGCGCCATGCCCGCAGGCCAAGAAGTACTTCCGATTGAATGTGAGCAAGGAGCTCCCGGAGCCGGACGACCACCAGGGCATTTTCGCCGTGTTTTTTGGGAAGAAAAAAGAGGAAGTGAATCTCAAGGATTACGAAGATCCCGGATCCCTGGACGATGTGGATGTCATTCCGAAACTGAAGGAGTGGACCAAGGAGTGGATTGCCGGACAGCACGGTCTCATCAAGGCCTGCGGCGAGTCTATCGCGAGGAATCTAGCAAAGAAGGGGTAGATATCTGCTTCTGTATGATGTATATAAAGTGGTCATTATATATATATATTCCAGGGCTCAACCTTGTATATAAGCTATATTCAAGCTATAAATATATATTCAATTCAACATATTACCATGTACTATATACTGTATAGTCAGTGGGTATATTGTTTTTATTATACTGCTCGACTCTGCTACCTTATACCAATATATATTTGGTGTTTATTCAAGCTAGATCTGGATAAACCATTAAATCACTCACCATACAGATACAGTCCTAAAGTCTAGGCTAGAAATGACGCGTACAGAGTCCTCCAGAGTTCATACTAATAGGTACTAATAAGTACTAGGAGGAACTGACAGAATGGTCTCTATGACTTAGACCCAATAATAAGAACTATATCCACCTGGCAGTTGGCGCTAGCCTGTTTGGGTTTAGCCTGTTTGGGCTGAATGTTACTCCACCTTCTTTCCTACTAACTTATAGTGGACTAGTACAGAGTACCTACATTGGACAATAAGGTACGTACCTAGGTTAGTAGTATATTACGGAGTATTATATATTCTTTTCTATTAAGAAATCCTTACTTATATCTTTCTCTACTAACTATGATATGATTACTAGTTGACTGGAAATTTCTAGTGAAATGAAATGATGGATAAGCCTGTTCGTTGCCTTAGGCAGGGATTCACTGGCATGCCAAGACATCCACTAACTATTAAAAGACCCATATCTAGGATTAAATAAAGTGATGCCATAATTAGTCTATTCTCTGATTATGTTTGTTTTTTTAAGATCTGTTGGCACCTCTCATTCTGTTGGATATATAGATAGGCTGTACCTAGTACCTACAGTACTCTGTATAGTGCATATAGATTTTCTAGAGTCATCCCTTCTACAACCACTTTTTATTCATCCACAACATCTATTATATTTATATATTTAATATCTGAATCAGCATCTCAAAGGTTTCTAGAGCCCGGGTTTTCTTGTATGGCTCCAACGTTACTCCGCATTTCACGTGGCTGGCTGGAACCAGCCCAGCCTCACGAACTCTATTACCGAGGCCAATCATACGTGGTGGATCTGACGATGATGGAATATATAACTGACAGAATACCAGGAGACAGGGATGGCTGGAGGTACAGAGTACAGAGTACAGAAGCTGGTGAGTCTGGTGAGTCTGAGTGTTGATTCCTCAGGCAGGAATTAAGTGCTCCTTCCGTGTATGAAAGAACGACCAACTCGACGCTCACCGCCGTTTCTCCCTTCCTCCTTCAGATTCATCATTGCTATTCGATATCCATCTCTTATCCATCAGTTCTATCCTATTCCCGTCTGTTATTGATTAATTCTATCCATCATGGAGTCCTATACTCCCCTGGAACCTGTTCTTCCCCCGACTCCGCAGACCGAGATCTTCAGCGAGATCCAGTGGAAAACCATTCTATCCCTGGCAGATACCGTCATACCGGCCATCCGTCCAGCAGAGGCGGCTTCCACCGCGAGCTCTGATCTTGCCCAGAAGAGTCTGTTGCTGCCGTCGGAGCAATATGTGTCTGCCCAGGCTGCACTCCGCGCCAGAATTCCCGCGACGGAGGCGGCAAGTCTTGCGGAACAGTACCTCTCAGAGAACCCTTCGTCCATTCCAGGCTTCCGAGACGCAATCCAGTGCCTCTTTGCGAACAATGTGCATCCGGAGGGTAGGAAGGGGATCACCTTCATCCTGACGGCGCTGAAGTATGCAATCCTCCCTGTTTGTCCGTTGCTTAGAAGGAATGCTGATATTCTATACAATTCAGTACCCGAGCGGGTTCACTTCTTCTGACTGGTTCTACGACCATGATTTATGACCAGCCGCTCGACGTGCGCGAGCAGATCTTGAGTGGCTGGCGCTCCTCCCGCATCCCGGCGCTTCGGGCGGTCTACCGTGCTTTGACCATCATGTTCAAGAAGACCTGGATCTCATTGTCGCCGACGCTGTTTCCCGTTATTGGCTGTCCACGCGTCCCTGTGCACGGGAAGCCGGCCCTCGGATTTGAGTATGAGTTCCTGCAGTTCCCGCCCGGCGATGAACCGGAGACTATCCAAGCGGACGTTGTCATCATTGGCAGTGGGTGTGGCGGCGGAGTCGCCGCCAAAAACCTCGCGGAGGCGGGCCTTCGCGTCGTTGTCGTTGAGAAATCATACCACTACCCATCAAAGTACTTCCCCATGGCGCCCAGCACCGGGTCGACGCATCTGTTTGAAAACGGCGGAGCCGTCATGTCGGACGACGGAGTAACGGCCGTCGTGGCCGGCTCGACCTGGGGTGGCGGCGGGACCATCAACTGGTCTGCTGCGCTGCAGACCCAAGGATACGTGCGACAGGAATGGGCGGATGAAGGCTTGCCCTTCTTTACCTCCCTTGATTTTCAGAATAGTTTGGACCGCGTCTGCGAACGCATGGGGGTTCAGTCCGAACACACGGTCCACAATTACGGCAACGAGCTCATCCTCGACAGCTCCCGCAAATTGGGCTACGCTGCATACCCGGTTCCCCAAAACACGGGTAATGGTGAACATTACTGTGGATACTGTACATTGGGGTGTGCTGCTGCTGCCAAAAAGGGCCCGACCGAATCCTTCCTTACCGATGCCGCCAAGGCTGGCGCCGTCTTCATCGAAGGCTTCCGTGCAGACAAAGTGCTGCTCTCACCGCAGAAAGTAGCCACTGGTGTCAGCGGAACATGGACCTCTCGTGACTTACACCTGGGGATCTCTGGCCAGAATGCGGTCGAGCGTCAGGTCATTATCCAAGCCAAGAAAGTCATTGTTTCCTGTGGAAGCCTGTCCAGTCCTCTTCTCTTGTTGCGCAGCGGCATCAGGAATTCTCTGATTGGTCGGAACCTCCACCTCCATCCCGGTAAGCCCCCCATTTGCTTTGCTATTACTTGAGATGGCTAAAACAGAGAAAAAAAAAAACAGTCGCGTTGGGATGCGCAATATGGGATCAAGAAGTTCGCCCCTGGGAAGGATCAGCATTGACCACCGTCGTCACGGAATTTGAGAATCAAGACGGCCACGGGCATGGCGTCAAGATCCAAGCTTGCACGATGATGCCGTCGATTTTCCTACCTCTGTTGTCCTGGCGGGACGGACAGCATTACAAACGATTCTGTTCCGATTTCGCCCACGCGACCAGCTTCCTCACTCTCACCCGGGACCACAATTCTGGCCGGGTATATCCGGACCCCGTCGATGGTCGGTGCCGGATCGACTACACGCCCTCGGCGTTAGACCGTCGACATATCGTCGAGGGACTCATTGCGTGTGCCAAGATCGCGTACATTGGCGGCGCCAAGGAGTTTCACACCACATACGAAGACATGCCTCCCTTCATCCGCCCCGATTCGTCTCCCAGTCCGGCCGAGGGAAGCGATGGCGAAGGTGCGAACAATGCTGCGTTGCAAGCATGGATTGCCACGCTGCGCAGCAAATCACCGCTCAACCCGGAATTCGGATCTTTTGCCAGTGCGCACCAGATGGGCACCTGTCGCATGGGGAGCTCAGCGAGGAACAGCGTCGTGGGACCGGACTCCCAGGTCTGGGGTACCGAGGGGGTGTATGTCATGGATGCCTCGGTGTTCCCCAGCGCCAGCGGCGTGAATCCAATGTTGACCAACATGGCCATCACCGACTGGGCGAGTCGCAACCTGGCCAAGGCGATGACCTCGGCTGTGTCTTCACGATTGTGACGTATACCATACTAGTTAGCTTAAGTATACCAATAATGAATAAAGGTTCTATATGACTAGATATTGTTCTTCTCTAACTGTACAGGAGCCACTACCTACTAAATGCCATTGTATATCCGCTTATCCGAATCCGTATAACCGCCTAAGACGACCCGGAAGCAGATCGGGCCGACGCGGGGTAGCTCTGGCTGACGTAATGGAGGTTTTGGCTGTTTCTTATCACCAGCGGCCTTTGAACCTCACTGATTTCGACCGACTTCACGAGACTTCAATTGGGAGAGAGTCAGGGAGACGACAGGGAGACAGAAAGAGAGACTCTCGAAGGAACCGGCATCATGAGTCATCTAGTAACTGTTGCGTGAGTCTGGAGGATATCCCCCCCCCTTCTTCATCTCCCCGCAGATACCCGAGATAGAAAGGTTCTAATACGCAGCAGAACATGCAGCCTGAACCAATGGGCCCTAGACTGGGAGGGCAACACAGCCCGGATCATCGAGTCGATTAAGAAAGCCAAAGCCGCAGGGGCCCGGTTACGCGTGGGTCCCGAACTAGAGATCCCCGGGTACGACTGTTTGGACACATTCTTAGAGAACGACGTGTACCTGCACTCATGGGAGATGATGGCGCGGATCCTCAGCGACCGCGAGTGCGACGGCATCCTGATCGACGTGGGGATGCCGGTCATCCACCGCAACCTGCGCTTCAACTGTCGCGTGCTGGCTGTCGACGGGCGGATCTTACTTATCCGGCCCAAGATCTGGCTCGCGAATGATGGAAATTATCGTGAGATGCGCTACTTTACCCCCTGGGAACGTCCGCAGCATGTAGAGGAGTACTATCTTCCGCGCATCATTCAGAAACTCCAGGGAGCCGTGAAAGTGCCGTTTGGGGATGCTGTCATTTCAACCCCGGATACGTATGTTTTTTTCTTTCTTCCCCTTTAATCTTCTTTCTAATGTTTCAAGGTGTCTTGGAGCGGAAACGTGCGAGGAACTCTTCACGCCAGATGGGCCGCATTCCAAAATGGGCTTGAACGGCGTGGAGATCTTCACCAACAGCTCTGGTTCGCATCATAACCTGCGTAAACTGGACCAGCGGGTTTCGCTGATCTTGGAGGCGACGCGGAAGAGCGGGGGGATATACCTCTACTCGAACCTGAAGGGTACTTATTACCTTTTTGAAGCAAAATTTTTTCGACAGATATTAATTGACTCTAGGCTGCGGCGGCGAACGGCTTTACTACGATGGATGTAGCATGGTGGTGGTCAACGGCGAGGTGGTGGCACAAGGGTCTCAGTTCTCGCTGGACGACGTCGAGGTGGTCACCGCGACTGTTGATCTGGAGGAAGTGCGCGCGTACCGATTTGCCCCGAGTAGAGGGTTACAGGCGGTGCGGACACCAGAGTACCGTCGCATAGAGACGGAATTCAGCCTGTCGCCTGAAAGCCACGAGGTGGACCTGAGCTTGGGTCCTTCCGTTGCACGGCCGGTACGGTACCATCTCCCCGAGGAGGAGATTGCGATGGGCCCGGCCTGCTGGCTGTGGGATTACGTGCGGCGGTCGAAGCTGGCCGGGTTCCTGGTTCCTTTGAGCGGGGGGATCGACTCGTGCGCGACGGCGACGATCGTCTTCTCCATGTGTCGGATCGTGATGGAGGCGGTGCACGCGGGCAACGAGCAGGTGATTGCCGACGTGCGCCGGATTGCGGGCGCGTACGAGGAAGACGAGGCTGCCGTGAAGGACTGGCTGCCGCGTACGCCGCAGGAGCTGTGCCATCGGCTCTTCCACACGGTATACATGGGGATGGCGTCGCAGTCGTCGCGCGAGACGCGCACGCGGGCTAAGGAACTGGCGGCGGCGATCGGCGCGTACCACGTGGACCTGAACATCGACGAGATCTTCAACGCACAGAAAAGCGTGTTTGCGCAGGCGACGGGCTTCGAGCCCAAGTTCAAGGTGTACGGCGGCTCGCAGGCGGAGAACCTTGCGCTGCAGAACATCCAGGCCCGCACGCGCATGGTCACCGCGTACGAATTCAGCCAGTTGCTGCCGACGGTGCGCAAGCGTCGCGGCGGCGGCGGGCTTTTGGTGCTGGGCAGTGCGAATTGTGACGAAGCCCTGCGTGGGTACTACACGCGCTACGACTGCTCTTCAGCGGACATCAACCCGATCGGCTCGATCTCGAAGAAGGACCTGAAGCGCTTCATTGCCTGGGCGGGCGTCGAGTTCTCCCTGCCCATCCTCGAGGAGTTCCTCAACGCCACCCCAACGGCCGAGCTGGAACCCATCACCAAGGATTACGTCCAGTCCGACGAGGTCGATATGGGCATGACCTACGACGAGCTCTCGACGTTTGGCATCTGCCGCAAGGTGCTCAAGCTGGGTGCGTTCGGCATGTTCCAGAAGCTCGTCCATGACTGGAAGGATAAGCTGGGGCCGAAGGATGTCGCTACCAAAGTGAAGGTATTCATTCTTCTTTCTCTTCCTCTCTCTTTTTCTTCTTGCTAAGAACCAGCGCTTCTATCATTTCTACTCAATCAACCGGTTCAAAATGACGACTCTGACACCCGCGTACCATGCGGAATCGTACTCGCCAGACGACAACCGATTGTAAGTCTTGCCACGATTGTAGTATTAATCAATTACTAACTAACATCTTTTCCAGTGATCTCCGGCCTTTCCTGCTGCCCCCGCAGTACGAGGGCCATGCGTTTAAGAAGATCGACGAGTTGGTGGAGAGGATGGAGAAGACTAGCTCATAGAGGTCATACTAGAATAGACCATGCATATTTCTATTATCTATTTATCTTCTCTCATACTTCCTATCTTCTCACTTACTCATCTTTGCAATCTCCTCATTGATAAGCTGGAAATTCGCCCCTGACGCAGCACGAACACCTAAACAGTTAGCGAATCACAGCAACAACAAAAAGCAAGCCGAACAAGGAGAAACAAAAGGACATACCAGACGCCTGGGCAAAAGCAACCTGCTTGATGCCCTCCATGGTATCCCCCGCCACGAAACAACCGGGAAGACTGGACTCGCCGAAGAGAGGATCGACCTGAGCTTCCGCCGAGGGGAGATCCTTGAGGTTCAACCCCAACTGGTCAAAGAGAGCCTGGGCTCTATTTCTCGTCGGGGCCCGATGCAGAATCATCCCCAGGGTAACGGCCGGGCCGTCCTCGAAGTGGACGCTGATCCCGTTCTCGTGTCCCGGGCCATTATTCACGAACCGCACGATGCGGCGTTGGTCGAGCTTCGTCCCCTTCACGGCCAGCACGGTGTTGACCCCCTTCTGCACCGCTGGGTCAGTGGCAGCCAGGGGGCCGTTGGTGAATAATGTGACGGCCGGGTTGAAGTTGATCGCCATGAAGGCTAGATGGGTGTACGAGGCGTCTTCGAAGAGGACGCCAATCGGGGATTCCTTTTGTTCCAGGCCATCGCAGAAGGGACATTGATATCTGACACTCAGCATTTGCTTATTATACTGTATTATAGATATCACTTACATATGCTCTGGCCAGTTCTCGGAATATCCCTCAATAGAAGGAAGGACATCCTCCGTCCCCGTCGCGAGAATAAGTTTCCGTCCGGTATATATTTGGTTCGTCTCATCCATGACCTGGAACCCAACATACCCCGTTGCAGGACATGTATTATCATCATTGATCAGAGATTGAACCGGTGTTGTTGTTGTTGTTGTTGTTGTTGTCGATTCAATCACCGTCTTGGACACAGTGATGACCCGTCGGTCGCGGAACGCAACATGGCTGTATTTGGGATTCCCCTCGAGCTGGCCGCGCGCCAGACGTCTGAATTCGCCCGGGTTCGTCCCGTCGCGTGTGAGGAAAGTATGCATCGCCTCTGCGCCGGTGTTGCGGTACACGCCTGAATCGAAGAGGAGGGCGCTGCGGTTGACGCGCGCGAGGCCCAGCGCGGCGGCCAGGCCGGCAGGACCACCGCCCACGATCAGGGCGTCGTAGATGGTTGAGAGAGCCATAGTGAGGATGCAAAAACGATGTAATGTATAATGGAAAGAGGAGGGGATAGGAGATGATGGGATGGAAAGAAAGAGCAGGATCTTATATGTTGAATGTCTCCGAAAGTCTCCGAGCGATCGTCAAGGCTTTTGTCATCAAAGGGATGACAATAGACTGAGACCGTTTAATCTATATAATACTTTCTGATTTATGAGGATTCTCAATGGAATAGATTCGTTGCCGGATTAGGTTTAGTGATAGGGCTGTAGAGTATTATCACAAGTATAAAAGGATAAGAGAATCGTAATTAACCTACGGTATAGGTGATAGATTTTGACATTGACTATTGAAGATGCTTTATACCGACTACGCTTGTACTTTATACTGACTATATAACATGCGCCGCCTCGCCAATCGCCCGCTTGAGAGCGAGAACCAGCTCATCCGTCCCGCCGAGGACTTGCACCCACGCATCCAGCACGACAACATAGTGGCGTAGTCGGTCGCTGCCCTGGTTCTCGCGGTGCAACAGACCCTGCTGAGAGTTGCTCAGCGCCATCCGGGCAAAGGCGATCGATCTCGAGAGCAGCGGCGTCGGCAGCAGGGCCGGCAGCGGGTCGCTGCTCTTCAGCACCTGCTGGGCCAGGGAGAGCACGGCCATCCACTCAGCCAGTCGGTCGGGGTCGGTAATTTCCGACAGCGGGGAAGATGCGGGCCCTCTCTTCGACGGGAAACGAGGCGGCGAACAGTAGAAGCTGCGACACGTGGTGGTTGAGCAGCATGCAGAGATGGCAGACGGCATCCAGGGTGTCGGCCGAGAATTCCAGACGCGTCAGCTTGATGGGTTCTAAGATGGAGGGCAGAGCGTCGCCCGTGAGCAGGGCCTCCTGTTCGGCCACTTGCCGCAGGTCCGCCGGTGGCAGTCGTCTCCGCTCGTCGGCTGCCGCGGCGTGAGAGGAGGCCAGCAGAGCCACACGGTCACGTACACTGGCCAGGCTGTCAGCAAGGATGTGTCGGTATTGCGTGTTGGCTGACGGCGGGCGGGGCAGGAAGTGGACGAAGACGGCGGCGCTGAACCCCACGATGACCAGCACCAGACGGCGCCAGAAGACGGCGTACCCGACGCCTGGATTGCCGTAGGTTGGATCGTGCGTGTTGATCCACCCGTACGCAACGACCAGGTACATCGTCGCGGCCATCATGATCCCCCACCATCATCAGCGCGGGCGGCACAAACAACTGCCACCACATGCGAACCAGGGCCTTATAGGCTGTGACAATCTTCAGGCGGGTGGACATGAGCCCGTCGGTTTTCATGGTACGGCCCGGATGCCTCAAGGCAAACAGGCAGGCATCGAGAAAGACGGGCATAGAACCGAGCAGAGCCTTGATCCCGTCGAGGAGCAGGGTGGATGAGGAGACGGGGAAAACCACGATGCTGCAGACGACACCTACACCCGTGGCGATCGCATAGGGAACTATAAGACTTTTCGCAAGGGTTCCGTCGAAGGTTGGGATGAGCGGAGCATCGGCAACGAAGACAATCGAGACGATGCAGGCAAACATTTGAACAGGCGTCAGCTTCGGGACGGCGATGCGCAGGCGGGCCTAATTCGCATTAGACATTACATATAGTTATTGTTGGTTTATGGCTCGAGTTGACATACAACCAGGTAGATGAACACCCCCACCATGCAAAAATAGGTCACGGTGACTCGCGTATCGAGCATGAAACCATTGAAGATCTGAATCTCGACGTACTCATCCAGATCGGTGACATTCTGAGCCTTTGCATTTTCGTACAGCAGGACATACCGTGCATCGAGATTGGCCGACGGCCGCGTCGCCAGGGCGGCCTTCATAGCGACGAGACCCCAGGCCCATCCAAGTGACAGACCGACCAGCACGGAGAGAGCCGCTATCACCTGAACGAAGAGACTGCCTGCGGGGGGGGGGCGAAGAAAAGGACGATACTGAGGTACTGTCAAAGCAAACAAGCATCGTTCTCGACGCGAATAAAGGAATCAATGCCTACCACCCCACGAACGCCGCCGAGCCGAGGACACGGAGAGTCAGATTGATGAGGATCAGGACAGTCATAATCCAGACGGCGAGTGAACACTTGAACAGCGTCTGGAGATCGCGGGCGTTGAAGTGGTCGAGCCATGAAGGCAGTTTTCCTGCAGGGACTTCATCGTCGAAGTAAGGGTTCGTAAGATGTTCATCAAGATGATCCTGCTCCTGCTCCTGCTCCTGATCATTAGTAGTCTTGGTCTGCATTATCAATCAATTATCTGAAAGATAACAATTGAAATAGAAGGAATGTAAAAGATTGTGAACTGACCGAGAGTCGCCGTACAGCTACTATTTATCCCATTCTGTTCTCGTATCCCAAGCCGTAAGGTGGCGCCATCCAGCCACTGCGTATCAAAATCCCATGAAGAATAATCTAGTCAAAATTGTAATCCTCCCTTCTGTCTATAATTGGGGGTTGCGACGAGTCCAGGATTGTTTCTCCCTTGGGCTGCCAGAACATCTCCGTTGTCTCCGCTGCAAACCTCCGTTGGGTCTTGCAGTGGCTTGTGAGTATAACGGACCTATTACAGTCAGTGATAATCACAGTAATCATAACGAGGGGTGAGATTGAAGATGGAGGACAGGTTGTGGGCGAGTGAATAAAGGAAGAAGTGGAAAGGAGGAGAGGAGGAGAGGGAAGGAGAGGAGGAGAGTCATGTGACACCATATTAAGCTTAAGGACCATAAACAATAGATTTTTAAATAAAAGCTATATTCTATTCTATATAGCCATATACAGACAGTTAAGATTATATAGTACTAGAGTCTACTATTGTTTGCCGAGCCGGGGCTTATCTACTCTGCAGAAATTAGTTGTAAACGGTTTCCACCACTGGCCCAGTGTACTCAGCCCGCCCCCAGACCATATAGTAGATGGTACAGATGAGGCTGGTGCCGACGGTGCCGACGACGGCCCAGTTCATGGTACTAGCATCCGGGTGGAGCAGCATGGGCCAGAAGCTGAAAAACACGCCGATGGCAAGGTACGCGACGGTGAAGATATTGACTGCGATCCCGAGCACGCCGGGGACGCGGAACGGGCCCCATGCGAGCGGGGTGCCGGTGGTGTTGAGGATAGTGGTCGCCGAGACCTCGCTGGCCAACCGAATGCTACCCACACATCGGCGCCAGAGGAGCAGAGCGGCGGAGATGAGATATGAGGAGTACAGCGCGGATACGGCCAGGGAAATCACATCGTTCAGCACGGCGGCCGAGCCGAGGATGATCAGGGCGAGCAGCACAGCGGCGACGGTGACCACAATGATGGCCCAGTGGGGGACGGCCTCCGAGTTGACCTAATATAATTAACATCTTATAGAAAAGGGGAATAAAAAGGAGAAAAAAGAGAGGAAACATACTCTGCTAAGGACTCTCCAGCCTGGAAGACCACGGTCACGGGCAAAAGACCACATCATGCGGGAAGCCGAAGCCAGACAGCCGACGGCAGTAGCAAGGACAAGAACGGGGACGATGGCGGCCATGACGGTGGAGCCGGCCTTGGAGCCCGTAGCGGTAAGGAAGACCTGCATGAAGGGATAGCCCGTGGCCGATTCGAGGGCGGCATCTGGGTCGGTCATGGTGAAGAGGGTAGAAAGGACCATAGCAAAACCCAGCATGCCGTTGATCACCACCGAGGTCAAGATAGACACGGGGACAACCTTTTCGGCGTCATGGATTTCCTCGCTCATCTGGTTTTGTTAGGGTTGGAGTGAATGGGTATAGAGGTAGAAAAGGACGTACGTGTACAGCAGCGTCAACGCCGGTAAAGGCAAACATACTTCCTGTCAAACCGACGAGGAAGGATAGGCCCTGAGTCTGGAAACCTCCATCGTTGATGAAGACGGTAAACACATCGCTGGCACTGTTCTTGTCCCCCAGGTACAGCAGAGGGATCATGATGGCGAAGAAGCCGATGACGTGCAAGATGAGCACAAACCCCTCGAACTTGGGCAAGAAAGTGCTGACCACGGTGTTGAAGAAGACGGCAAACCCCACGACGGCCCAGTAGAGCAACACTGTCTGCCAGGCCGTTGCGTCGTAGGAGTCACGGTTGAGCACGACCAGACCCTGGATCTGGGAGGCGCTGAGGTATGAAGTGGAGGAGAAGGCGCCGATCCACCCGATGACGATCAACCAGCCTAAGTAGTCAGTATAGTCTATCTCAGCAGATCATTCCGTGTAGGGGTGGCTTATCAACTCACCCGTCAGAAAACTAATGTATTTATGGCACCATTTAGGCGAGAGGATCGAAACCCAGTGATATTGACCACCGGATGTTGGAGCCCTGATACATCAGTATCCATCCCAGGATCGGTACGGATGCCCAAGGCGATACATACATGGAAACCAGCTCCGACAGGGTGAGAAAACTCGAGAACGTCCCGATCCAGACAACGAGGAAACTATACACCGTTCCTGCCGGACCGCCACTGCAAGTTGATGGTTAGTAGGTAGTTCATCGAACCGGCCATCGATGCTAGTAGATGAAGAGGATCGTACTTTTCGAATGGAATAATAAAAGTCCTGGTTTCGATTAGCCGAGTGAGACTCTGAATCTCCAACCCTTGGACTCACGAAAGCATGCCCTCCCATGTGGCTAGGATGGTGCAACTGAAGCCCACGATGGAGAGGAAACCGAAGCGACGCTGAAGGCCCGTCAGAATATATCAAACATCCATAGAATACAACGAACTAATAGCAAAATTATAATAATGATAATGAAGAATGATGGCTAACCTTCAGGACCTGCTTCTTTCCCACGCGGCCAAGGGCCTGCTCATCATGCACCTCCACCTGGCTAGGCTGCTTGTCCCAGCGATCAAGCTCAACGGCGTTTTCCATCGCAGGGAGTAGAGATAGAAACGCTGGGAATAGTTACGAGATGGCACGAACAACAACGACCACAAGATGACGGGCGAGAAGGGGGGGGGGGTTTTTCTCCCTCTTTTTTTCCCCTCTTGCTCCTCTCTCCCTTTCTTTTGTAACAAGCCGGCCGAAACAAATGCTTAATGATTGAAAAAAATGGTCGACAATAATAAAATAGTATATCAGTACCAAGTTAGTTTAAACCTTGCGGACCACTGCAGACCCCTGCGATGCTTCGGACGGGTTCCGGATACTATGTGGGGGGGACGGACCCAGTTGCTCGGCGTACGAAGTTAAGTAGATTGAAAAAAAGGGGGGGGAAGAATCAAGGAAAAGAAGGAGAGTAAATTGATTGGTGAAGTGATGGCATGACTGGATGGATCATGGTAATATTAAATGATTAGTCTCCACCTGCCGTACTCTGGACATCCACAGCCCACGTTCTGGTTTCCCGGATAATGATGTGGCTTTGACTCGACTGGCTTTGGGCCTCCCACTCCTGCGGGTCTGTACTAACATTCGTGCGGTTGGTTACGCCGGCCAGTTTCCGTAGCTCTTGGGAGCCGAAGTTTTTCCTGCTGCGCGTGGCGTAACTGCCCTGTGACTGTTTGGGGTACAGGTAGGGATGCAGGCCGGTGGATTGGAGACCCTCCATGAACGGTTTCAGATATGGAATGCATGCGGCGAGGATCGCGAGACTCTGCACGCTCTGCATGCAGACACTGACAGGCCATGCTGTCAGGGCGCTAGGATGAGTGGTCCGGTGTCGATAGTAGAGTTCAAGGATGATAACAGCGATGACCCTTTGATAGTCAGAAAAAAAAAAGAAGCCACGGATCAAGACATAGTAGCAGAATGAGGCATAGAGATGGGATACGTACACAATTCTCAAGAGAAAGCAGATGAGGGCTGCTTTCTTCTTGGCCGTCTGCAGACGTATAACCAGAAGAGCAGGCAAGACGATGAGTGCCGCTTCGATGAGCATGTTGTTCACTGCAAAGTACGTCCACCAGGCGTCCTTCAACTGATTAGCCGGGGATATTTGGTGAAAAGACAAGAGGAAGAGTGCTTTACCCTATCGAAACATTGCCCCGTCCACGGTCGCGGAAGCTGACACTGGAAAGCAACGGCAAACTCTGCGGTGAAGGCCCAGACGAGAATCGCGCCGCCAAAAATCCATTCTTTCATACCGATGCGCTGCGTCAAGAAGGATACAAACGCGAGGGAGCTCAGTTTTGCGAACGTGAGGCTTGCGACGTACAGAATCTCTGCAGCGTAGGCGGCCTGACTGATTTAGAACAAAGTCCGTGTAACTCATTTCTCCAATTTATTCATTCCCATACCTTGAAGACAGTATCCAGGTTGTCTTCTGACAGAGAACTCTCTGCCTTACCCAAGCCATGGGTAGCCGCCACGACGATACAGATAGACTGAACAACGCAGAAAAGCTGTTTGCGATTAGAAGAAGCCGCATTGAAGCCCACAGGAGGAGAGACTGGACTCACCACCGCCACCAGAATCAAGTAGTCGTCCATCGAGAGCCCCTTGGTAATGACATATTTGATCACCAGCCGCACGCCCACGGCCAGCACGGCGATGACCATCGACAGCAAAGCGATGATGCCCACGATAGGCGAGTGATCCGTCGCGGTGACTGCCATAGCCAGTAAATTCTTGAATCAGCGGTCAGACACAAACTGCTGTCTCTCACACACAGACCAGGAAAAAAAAAACGAATGGAGTGGATAAAAGAAGATCTCCTCCTCCTCGTCCTCGTCCTCCTTCTCCTCCTCCAGAGCAGCACTTTGGGACTTACCAGTTCATTTTGGGAAAACCTTCCCCAGAACCATCTCCAAGAGATTAAACTCCATCGTCATTCGCCACACACCAGACTCCTGTCCTTCCCTGTGTGTCTTGGACTCGCCAAGCAGCCGATTTAAAACTATCTGTTAGGCTGCAGATCGACACGAGGCGAAGATGAGGAAGGCGGGAACTCTGACGACGGAGCTTGGCTGCTTTGGGAAAGGTGGTCACTTGATGGGTCGGCCTTGACTGTTTTGGGCGCTGCGGCTTTCAGGCTTCAAATCCCAGCTGTGGGTTTTTTTTCTGTTGGTGCTTCAGCTTCTTCGTCCCTCGGGGCTGTTTCGCCCGGCTGGAAACCGAGTACGAACCCATTCTAAACCCAGACAGGCCCGGTGGTTCCATTCAAAGCTTGTTTCAGCTGTTTACCACGGAATTCGGTCCTGACTGGTCACTGCCACCGAGTAACTAGTAGTTACTACTAGTTATTTCGTGGTATCATTCCACTCCCAATCCATCCATCTTTTTGTCTATCACTCACCATGGCGTTTACCTCAGGGACCGTTGAATTTGCCCACCCCTCTCTGCCCTCCCCTGCGCAGACGTGGTATCGCGTGTACGGCGACCTCAGCAGCAGCAGCAGCAGCAGCAGCAGCAGCAGCAGCAGCAGCTCCACCCAGCCCCCGCTTGTTGTCTTGCATGGAGGACCGGGCTACTGCCACAATTACATGCTTCCCCTGGCCGATCTGGCGTCGCCATCGTCGGGGGAAGAGCGCCCAGTGGTCCTGTACGACCAGATCGGCAACGGGCTGAGCTCGCACTACCCCGAGAAACGCGGCGACGCGACCTTCTGGACGGTCGGCCTGTTTCTTGCCGAGCTGGAGAATCTGCTGGCCAAGCTGGGCATTGCCGGGCGGCAGTTCGACCTCCTCGGCCACTCGTGGGGGGGTATGCTCGGAGCCGAGTTCGCCGTGACTCGTCCGACGGGTTTACGCCGCTTGATCCTATCCAACGCCCCGGCCGCGGTGAGTCTGTGGGTGGACTCCGTCGCCAGGCTGCGCAGCACTCTCCCACAGGAAGTCCGCGATGTGCTGGACAGATGCGAACGCGAAGACCGTCTCGACTCGGAAGAATATGAGCATGCCACTGTTGAATTTCTCAACCGCTTCGGCTGCCGCACGCAGCCGTGGCCTGCGGACCTGATCGACAGTATCGTCTGGACGACGGAGAAAGACACCACAGTAGCTTCAACAATGTATGCCCTCTTACTATATATTTATTACGCTTATATTTCATACTCTAATATACTCACTATCTAGGCTCGGTCGGTCTGAATTTTTCGTCGAAGGATCGCTCAAAGACTGGACTATCGTCGATCGCATCGCTAGGATCAACGTGCCCACGCTGCTCATCAACGGCGAGTACGATGAGGCCCAGGACAGCACGCTCGAGCCCTTCTTCCAAGCCATCGACAAGGTCAAGTGGGTGACCTTGGCGGGGGCGGGTCATTGCGCCCAGTTCGACGCCCGCGACAAGTACCTCGACGTGGTCAAGGGGTTTTTACAACTGTGATGGTAGACGAAAAGTCTTAAACAGGAATCAGCCACTATATTAGGAACTATTTACCACCAGAGTCGCTGATTGAACATGTACAGTGGATACAATATTGACTCGAACCCTCACTCAAATCCTAGGGTTATGGTTACGAGTCAGTCCGATGCAGCTACTGACTAGCCTGTAGCCTAAGTTAACCCTTAAGTCATTCTATTCCAATATCTACAAGCGAAAAAAAGCTATTAATACCATCCCTACATCTTGGCCATTTTCCTTGCGTAAATCAAAATCAATATACCGGCGCATCTCCAAGTTTCATATAATTCCAACAGACTGAAAATTAGCTTTAGCCGTTAGAAAAGAGAAGAAGAGAAAAAACACAACTTACTGCTATACCCCATATCATCTCCAAACATGATTTTCAACAGCTCCTTGCCCTCCTTGACCCCGTCGTCCGGGGTATACGAGACGGCCGTGTGGCCCAGGGCGATGCTGATCATGGGCGGGATCTTGCGCAGACAGGAAAACTTCGGTTCGGAGCCCGTGGCATGCTGCATGATCCGCTGGTGGATGTTTGTGCCGGCGTAGTGGCCCATGTGGATTGCGGCGCCGCAGCGTTTGATTCCGGTCCAAGACACAAGGTCGCCGGCAGCGAAGTGGTAGGTGGCATTGGGGACAGAGTTGAATTGCAGACTAACCATTAGTTCTTCAATTCTTTTTTTCAATCCTCTTGGTTCGCTTTTTTTTCGATTGTGTATGTCCTACCTAGCGTCAATCTTCACGTAGCCCTCCTCATCCAAAGCTTGTGGAGGCAGGTAGGTGGTTGTCGGCACGGAACGCGAGATGGCGCTGATGACATGGCCGGCAGGCAGCTTGGAGCCGTCCGAGAGGGTGAGCAGGAAGGAGGTCCGCCCTTCACTCTCGACGGGAACGGTCTCGACGACTCGCTGGCCGAGGACGAGATCGACGTCGGCGTCACGCAAGATGGTCGCGACCCGGTCCGCCAGTTCGTCTGGCAGGGGTTCCGAGGAGAGGAGTCGGTCGCGCGAGTGAACGAGGGTGACTTTTTGCTGGGGGTTGAGTTCCTTGAGCTCAGCGGCGATCTCAACGCCGACGGCACCTGATTGAATTAGTAGGTCGTACAAGAATAAATTGGAAGAATTGGAAGAAGAATTGGAGTGAATAGGTACCTCCCCCCACCACAACAACCCCCTCACGAGCACTACGAATGCTCACAGCGTGCGCGCCAGCCTCGGCAAGGAAATCATCTCGCAGCAGCGACTTGGGCACGGTCGGAAACACGCGCCGCAAGCCAGACGCGGCAACAAGATAGTCGTACGGCAGCTCGCGTGGGGTGTCGGCCTTTGCCTCGAGGATCTGGGCGGATTTCCGTTCACAGTCGACCGAGGTCACGCTGCCTTGCAAGATGGTGATGTCGGAGTCTTGGAGAGCGGGGATGTCCTGGAACCGGGTCCATGTCTTGTCGGCGAACTCCTCGGAGGCGAGCGCTTTGGGGGAACCGATAAGGTGGTCTATAATATTAGACGAAAGAAACAGAGATTCTTTTCTTTTGAACTTTGACTGACAATATCCATCACGCTCATCAACCAAAGTGATGGCCAAGGGCACGCTTTGCGTCGGCGCCTGGGCCTCTTTGTCGAAATTGAAGCGCGCAATGCGTCCACGCGAGAGATCAAGCAGGGCGAGAATCGCTGCCAGACCGCCGTAGCAACCGCCAATCACCAGGATCCGGACGGGCTGGATGGGAAGGGCGTTTTCGTTGGAAGGCATGTTGGAGAGCTTGACGAGGGAGAAGAAGTTGGAGAGAAAGAGGGAGGGAATTGAGGACGGGAAGGAAGGAGGGGCAGGGGGGGGAAGGAGCGTTTATACCATTTTCTTATCAGATGATCAGATTAGATCCAAGTCTTAGCTATCAGCTATCAGATAGCAACCGATTGCGCAATAAATAGTCGGAAAAGATGCTATCTATCATTTCTTTACAATTGAAGTCGTAGAAATCATCATATACTATTGAAAGTTGCCTATTACCCATCTACCACCTACCTCCTACTACCATCTACCGTCTACTCCTACTACCTCTACCTCCTACCTCCTACCTACATTCTTAGAACGTGTCTCACCGGGCTATAACTATGTGTCACAGGAATCACATTCGCATACTTGAATGCCTGGTACAGTTCCAGTCTAGCGACTAGCGTGTCCCCGTATTTCGGCAATGAGAACCTCGGGATATGCGATAGGAGGCGATAGATGGGAATTGCCGAAAAGATGTGGAGAGTATCTACTTTGATAGCATTAGACATTCTGACCCTAGAATCCTCTCATATTACCCGCCATGAAACTGCTAGGTACTACCACCCCCCTAGTCATCTTAATCCTCTTCCTATTCTCTCTTCAATACCCGCTCCGCAACAGCCCGTAGATCGACCTTGCGGACCTTGCCGCTGCCCGTGATTGGTACCGTCTCACTGACACCATCCTCGCCAAACACAAACACGTGGCGCGGCGCCTTGTGTCGCCCCAGCGTCTCGCGCGTCCAGTCACGGACCTCCTCGTCGGTCGGGCGAGTGGCCCCCGGCGCGATCTGGAGAAAGGCGCCGACCACCTCGCCGTATTTCTCATCGGGAATGCCGATCACGGCGGCGACCGTGATGGCCGGGTGGGCGGTTAACCGTTCTTCAATCTCGAGCGGGTAGATGTTTTCGCCGCCTCGGATGATGATGTCTTTGAATCGCCCTGTGATGGTGCAGTAGCCGTGTTCATTGAACGAGGCTTCGTCGCCCGTCTTGAGCCACAGCGTGCCCTCTTCGTCTCGCACAAGCGTCTCGGCCGTCTTCTCCGCGTTGTTCCAGTATCCCTTGGTCAACTGGTATCCGGCCATGTAGAGCTCGCCGCGCTGGCCCAGAGGGACGATGCGGCCTTCCGCGTCGACGATCTTGGCGCGGGCGTGCGGCAGCACGGTGCCGACCGTGGTAAGCCGTGTGTGGATGCTATCTGTCGTATGGGCGTTGAAGCAAGTAGGAGATGCTTCAGTGAGGCCTGAAGTACTTAGTATAAGTTTTTTTCAAATATACTGTATTTGGATTTATTACCGTAGCTGCTCGTGTATTCTCGCATGTTCAATTCATCAAGTAGCCGCCTCATCAACGGCCTAGGAACGGGCGCCCCCGCAATAATACCCGTCCGGAGATTCGAGACATCCCAGCCGGGAGGTTTCGGGAGCGACAGAATCGCCTCGAACATGGTCGGCACGCCGTGCAGGGCGGTACATTGCTCATCCGAGATGGCGTGCAGGACGGCGCGGGCATCAAAGGTCTCGCTGGGGAAGACAATCTTGGAACCGTGCGTGACGACGGCGAGCAGACCGAGCACAAGACCGAAGCAGTGGAACAGGGGAGGCGGACAGCACAACGTATCGAACGAGGTGAGTTTCATGCGGTCGCCGATGAACCGAGAATTATTCACCAGGTTACTAGAGAGTTAGACACATACACTGAGAGAGAGAGAGAGAGAGAGAGAGAGAGAGCGATCCTACTAATGAGTCAGCATAGCTGCCTTGGGATTGCCCGTCGATCCACTGGTAAATTGCAGATTGCAGACGTCGTGCGGGCGCAATTCGGTCTCCCGGTCTGCCAGCGCATGCGCAGGCAGTGAATTGCCGCGATCGACGACTTGTCGGTAACTGGGGAAGCCGTCATGTTCGCCGCGCAGAATGACAATCTCCTCCAGAGCCTTGGAACGGCCGTTCTGTTTCGGTTGGGGGCCGAGCGTGGCCAGGACGTCGAGAAGCGAGTGACGACCGATGGTGGGAGTGAGGAAGAGAAGGCGACAGTCTTCACATTAGTTCGATTGAATGCAATAGATAATACAGTGATGACACCCACCTGTATGATTCAAGGCGTAATAAAGCTCCGACGGCGTGTAGGTGTTGTTCAGCACGACCAGGATGGCTCCCACCTTGGCTGCAGCGAAGAAGAGCGAAATATATTGCTCGCAGTTTCCCGCCATGACGCCGACCCGGTCGCCGCGCTGGATGCCTGAGGCCAGCAGGCCGCGGGCCAGCCGGTCGGCCTCCTCCTTCAGCTGGGCGTAGGTCCAGCGCGCGCCTGTCCAGGGGAATACCAGACACTCGTGGTCTGCAAAGCGAAGGCTTTGTAACGTCAACAGCTCGCCCAGTGTGATGTCGAGCAGCGGCGGCGTGGTTGGGCCATGGACCAGAGACACTCTGGGGGTGGCATCGACAGGCGCCGGAGCTGTGGTCGCGGGGTTGACGTGCGCGAGCGTCTGCTGCAGGCGGCGGAGAGCCATGATGTGACGTGAGGGGAGAGTTTCTAGCAGTGAGGAGGAGGAAACAGCTCGGGGAGAGGAAATTATTGTCTCTGGAACCTGATTCATATAAGGTGGAAAAGACTCCCCCACCGTGTACTGTACGGTAACCGGACTCGCTTATCAGATCAAGGCGCGATCACCGGTGGGTCTTCGGCATTATGAGTATTATGAGTATTAGCACTATATATTATTGAGACTGAATGAGAGATTTTTGGCAATACGCGACCGTGCACAGATCCTGCAGACCAGGTTGTGCACCGAGTGTCTGTATATTATTATGCAGACATGTAGGAGACATAGTTAGTGTACCTATGTAGTTACCTACGTAGTTACCTAGTTAGTACCTACCTACCTAGTAGTTGGTACATAGACTCAATCATCATACTGGATAACTACGGAGTAAGAAATAGAAATGAAGAACTCTTCTCTCTACTCCACTATTATTCACAAACCTCGCCAAGGCCGAAGGCTCAACAGAGTCGGACTAACTGGTACAATTACGTACACGATGCATAAAAAAAGCCATTCTGCATCATCGCCTCGGCAAAGAATTTTGCTGGCCAATGGCTTCTGCAGAGCGTCCCACCTGGTGCTCCGTCCACGGTATCTATTCCGTAGAGTCTGTCAGGTACCAGCAGGAAGTACTCCGTTCAAGGTACTTGGAACCCGAGGCAGGAGGAAATACGGTAATTATGTGTATCTAATCAATCTCATCTAATCTGATTTGTGCCGAACATCGGAGTCGTGATTTTCCCATGCCAATCCTCAGTTTCTGTCTCTCTTTCTTCCCTTTTTTTGATCTACATATCCACTTATCTTCAATGATCGTCAAACGTCTTCTAACGGTCCGGTGGAGTTCCAATTCTGCAGGGCATTAACGTTTAAAGCCGAGAATGAGACAGATCTGACGCTGTCTTATCATGCTCTCAATATGCTGGCTGAATCTATTCTAGGGATGGTATAGACTACCTGCTTAGCAGTGGTTCACCAGAAACCCTAACCCTAACCCTATTCCAGCACCAACCCTAAAACCCTAAAACCGAACCCTAAGTATACAGAGGACACCACTGTCTTTGGTGAATTATTACTGACATCTAATCTCTTAGATATTTTTTCTATCATCCAAGAGCCTCCTGTTCTATGGAACAAAATCTGCCTCAACAGATCTACCAAGTCTGCCGCAGAACATAATCTCGCCATGAACATCAGTATCTTACTATCTATTTGTGTGGCAAGGATGGCATCCCTTCCACAGAAGAAACAAGTGCCTAGTACTTTAAGTGATACTGTCAATTGTCAACTTGGAGAGTAATATTGGAGTGATATTGAATATTGTCTCAAAGCCGGTTCAGGCCCCGGTCCCGGCCCTGAACCGGGCACTATCCATGAGGGAAAACAAAAACGTGCGTTGCGTTTCACAACTTCTTCCATGCTTCTTTGTACAACATTTCTTTTCTTTTTTGCATCTTTATACCCTGTACTCTCAACTTCTAACTACTCTGTACTGAATATCGTTCAGATGGGCGTCGAAAACCCCCCCCTTCCCACTGACGCAGAAGCCAACCATGGCGTCACCGCCACCGCCACCGCAAGTCCACCAGCGCCTGAGAAATACTCCGTCTTCACCGTCAACCAGCGACGGGCGATGATCACCGTGGGCTCGCTGGCGAGCTTCTTCTCGCCGTTGTCTGCGTCGATTTATTTCCCGGCTCTGGATACGATTGCCGATGCATTGCATGTCTCTACCACCAAGATCAACCTGACAGTGACGACCTATATGGTAAGTATTTCATTGAGCTATCCTCCTCTTTCATCAGTCTAATTTCTAGATCCTCCAAGGCATTGCACCCATGATGATCGCTGGATTCAGCGACAAGGCTGGTCGGCGCCCCGCGTACACCATCTGCTTCAGCATCTATCTGGTTGCGAACCTGGCGCTGGGTCTACAGAACAGCTACGCGGCGCTGCTGGTGCTGCGATGCCTGCAGAGCGCCGGAAGCAGCGGCACGGTCGCCCTGGCGAACGGCCTGGTCGGCGACATGGTCACCTCCGCCGAGCGAGGCACGTACATTGCCTTTGCCTCCGTGGGGAGCATGCTGGGCCCGTCGCTGTCGCCCGTCATCGGCGGCCTGATCAGCCAGTATCTAAACTGGCATTGGATCTTCTGGTTCCTGCTCATCCTGGCGGGCAGCTTCTTCACGGCCTTGCTCCTCTTCCTGCCCGAGACGTGCCGTAAAGTCGTCGGCGACGGCTCGGTGCCCCCGCCCCCGCTGAACAATAACCTGAGCGATATGATCCGCCATCGTCGTCGGCAAAGGGAAGGTATCCCCCTCGACGAGGCCCAACAGCAGCGCCTACGAGCCAACTACAAACTAGAATTCCCCAACCCGCTGCCCACCCTGCTGATCGTGCTCGATCTCGAAACCAGCCTCGTCCTGCTCACCACGGGCCTCACCTTTGCGGGCTTCTACGCCGTCATGACGGGCGCCACCACCTCCTTCCACGACGTCTACGGCATGAACAACATCCAGACGGGCCTCATGTACGTGCCCATCGGCGCCGGCGGGATTCTTTCGGCCTTCACCACCGGCCGTCTCGTCGACTGGAACTTCCGCCGCCACGCCGCCCGCGCAAACCTCCCCATCATCAAGAACGTGCGCCAGGATATCTCCAACTTCAACATCGAACGCGCCCGCCTCGAGGTTGTCCTGCCCGTCTTCCTGCTCGGCAACCTCACCGTCATCGGCTACGGCTGGATCCTCGGCCATAAAGTCAACCTCGCGGGGCCCGTCATCCTCCTCTTCATCGCCGGGTACGCCCTTAACGCTACCTCCCAGACCCTTAATGCCCTCATGGTCGACCTGTGGCCCGGTCGTTCTGCCGCCGCCACCGCAGCTAACAATCTCTTCCGCTGTGAACTCGGGGCCGCCGCCTCCGCCGCCATCGAACCCATGTCGCAGGCGATGGGCACCGGGTGGGCGTACACCACGCTAGGTCTGATTGCCATCTCTTCCATGCCTTCCCTGCTGCTCATGATGCGGAATGGAATCGAATGGCGCAAGAAGAAAAAGCAGAGAGAGGAGGCAAGGGAACGGAAGAGGCAGGAAAAGAAGGAAAAGCAGCAGCCAGCCCGCAGCGTTTAGACACTACTTTGCACATACCCATCTCGGACATAGCTGCTAGAATTGAAAAATTTGCAGAACACCTGTGTTCTCAGTCTCTAGTTAATATTCTATCTCGTATACATACACGAGGCACCTTGATTCTATATTGTAGCTACAGTGATACTAGACGTAGTTGGATACATGGACTAACTTGTACAGATCAAAGTGAAGACTTGCCCGTTTGACCATCTTACCTTCGCCGAATATCAATCTCTACCATACCAGAACTGCTATTCTCCTCTAGGCTTTCTTGTATTTCATGTGTAGGTACATTGAATGAGGTATGCCTTTACTCTCGGGGTGTTAATAAAGACGCTCCATATAGTCAGCACGAATCGTGGTCATGGAAGTAGAATGGTGTAGATGATTGTGAAGTGCAGGTCAGCCACATCGTCTTCAGTCAATCCAGGAGGATCCTAGATCTTCCTAATGAGCCGGAAGGCCAGAGTGATTTCACCTGGGGATGTCGTGGTGACGCAATATATTTTGCACGCTCGCAACAGAAGAACAGGAAGGACCCCTAGCAGATAGAGGCCTACTCTGGTGACTTTTTTGTCCTCGTGGTCGCTGGCCCCCAGCTGGGCCAGATAAAAAAGGCGACCTGAGTGGTGGGATGTAACCTCTGTCATGCCTGATGACAGGGGATTAACGGAGGACTGAGTCTCGGCGTCTTACTTGACCTTTCTAGCACAGAAAGGTGGTTTCATGGTGGGTTAAGAGAAAGCCAGATTTCAGGCGCAGCTCGTACATGTAATGAGCCATTTGTCCTAATTCCAACGGTTAGCCTTCATCATATTGACAAAGTGATAGATATATCGAACCCGAAATTGTGCAGAGGGGCTTCTCCTTCTTCATTGCCTTTGTTAGCCCCCGTTCCAGAATCCAGGGGGCCTTGAGCTCTCCTATGCTCTGTAAGGCGACGTCTGGGATACGGCCATATTCGGCCCAGGAACTGCGAAAATCCCCGAATCACAGACCAATGCCGTGGCGGCAAAGACAGTCTCTATCGCTTGCCCGACGTGCTGGTTGAGGCACTCTTCTCTCTGTCCAGGTCTTTCTGCATGGAAGCAAACCAAGTTTCTTAGTATACCTGTCGATCTGCACTGAATCGGCAGTCCTAGGATGAAGAAGCCAGTCAAAGGTGAAACGGTTGTAGGCATAATTGAAGGCAAATTCTGAGGCTATAAGCCTTCTTTTCGCAATTGAAGGCGTCGAATATCCATTCGTTTCAAGTATCGTCGAGAATTCGTCAGGTGCAAAGTCGACTTCAAGAGAAATACATTTCCAGTTCAGGATAACCAGGTCTCTGATCATGGACTATCAAGACCATTCTGCTTCTGACGCTTGGAACGAGACAACAATTGAGCATCTCCCGGTCGATTCTCGATAGACAGAAGATTTCACAGAAATTAGGGGACGCTAGACCACTCGACCGCTAAGATTGCCCAGGAAGTTAGTAGAGTATAATAGGGTCGTTTAATGTTGGCCTAGCAGGCCTGGAAAAGGGAAGAGATGGCTGATGGTTGCTATTGCTGCTACGGCTCAGATGTGAAGCAGGTGGTTGTGCGGTGCGGCCGCGCCAAACGAGGCGATGCTAAGCCTAATTGGGCACGCACCTCTGACACACCCCCTATCACTGAGCACCTATCTAGACTAGCTAACCTCTTATTTAACATTAATTAAAGCATATAATAGCAGAAAAAAAAGGGGGAATCATTTACTTATTAATTATTAATTATTCCTTATTTAATTTATTCCTAATATGGGTTAGCATCGCCACTTTCTGAAGATTAACTAGTTCTTTAAACACAATATACTTTACTTAATCTAGAGGCTTTATTAGGCCATTAGTAGGGTTTATATAACCACTTATCTATTTAACCTTAATTAGTCTCTTATTAATTATATTATAAATAAAAAAGTAATAATTATTAATCTATTTAGTTATTGCGTTAAAACTGTTCTTCTTAAGAATATCTATAATATTAGATAAGTCAGTATAAATAGGAATAGGGCCTTCCTTTTTAATCTCTATAGTAATAGTCAATTTCTTTAGCTATATGGCCTCTTTAATTGCCTATAATAGGGCATAGAATTTAGTAATAGTGCTTAACATGGTAATAAATATTTATTTATATAAAGCTTATAAGATTGGGGCCCCTATAAATATTATAATATATACCTCTATTAACTTATCATTATTATTATCTGCGTAACTGGCGTTAATATATATAACTAGGCCTTTATATAATCTATATCCTAGGGTAATGCCATTATTCTTATAATACTTTAGGTATTATAGGAGGTGTTTAATAACTATAGTGTGATATTCGAAAGCTAACGGTCTCTCCGAAATCTCTGTTCTATCGCTACCATAGGTCAGAGGGAAGGTATCTATATACCTCCTCTTGGCTCATTAAAAGCTGAGCGACCCAGTGGCGATAGAACTCTATAGAATTAATCAATCCCTAGTACAGAGTAAAAACTCTACATAACCGCTCCACCAGGGTTGGGAGATTTCGCGTCGTCAGTGAGCAGGCACCTTAGCGTTCCGCCGAGGTGATCCCGCTCATGGCCACATAGGAGTTCGTGATATCGCTCGCTCACGATATCACATCCTCCCCCACCTAACCAGAACTTCATCCGCGAAGTCCTAATCCTCTCTCTAAGACCTTATTAAGATGAATCAGCTGTCGACAGGCGATTCGCTGGTCCTATCTAATAAGGGCCCAAGGTTAGTGAACAAAGACTTATTCTTTGATCACTTCATTGATTGCCTGCTAACTAATAGGGGGTCGCCCGGTCCCGGGCGAGGGTGCAGGGTACATCTATGATCACCATTGCTAGGTGACCTAGCAACCTCTTTATTTGTGATGAAGGGTATATCTCCTCACCCACCTGGTGGCAATTCTTTCTTCGCTCCCCCTCTTACTATTATTACTTCTTATGACTATCCCCTACCAATAGCTTCTGACAGCGAATTTAGGGACTCTAAGTCCCTTATCTAGTGCTCTTATTATAGGTCTAATTATTCTTATTATTTGTTAAAGGCTAAGCATCTAGTGCCTTTTAGGACTCCTTCGCCACCTGCTAAGGAGTCTCCCCCTTAGCCTCCATTGGGCTCTCGTCGTTTAAAGCGGGTTGCGGATTATGGTGGTCCGGCGCCCATTACTCACCATAAGTTTATCGATCTAGAGGGTAAGATGTGGCTAATAGTGATAGAAATTAAACTTCCCTTAGAGGCGCGTGCGACCTCCTTTAATAATCATGAGCTTGTTTGTTTGTTCCCCGCCATTTGTGTGCACCAGGACTTCTCCTAGGGCGGCTAGGCGTTAGTCCTGAGCCACGCGTTAAAGCTCTCTGCCGCTATCATTTTCGAGCAGGGACCTGTGGCGGCCGACCCTTACTTAAAATATGCCTATAGTAATAGTCCCTAGACTGCCTGTGTCACGCCTCCCATTAAGGAGCTTAATAGAGATAAGTATTAGGTTTGCTATACCAGGGCGTGTGCGAACTGTCTCTTCCATAATAAGGGTGCTAATTATAACTTGTATTTATTTCTCCTAGGTCTTTTCATCGCCGGTCGCTAATATATCGCAGGTGTCAACTATAATAGTAATAAAGAGCAGGGGAAGAAGGATAAGCATAAGAAGCAGCAGAAGAGAAAGGAGGTTAAGAAGGAGAGGACTCTATTACCTATTACTCTTATTACTCTTATTACTCCTGCTGCTCTTACTACTGATCTAGCATTAGCTGCCGCGCTTTCTACTATCCTTTTAGCCTTGCTAAACCTGTCGTCCGCTGCTGGTGCTGGCGCCGCTTTGGCTAGCTTATAATTAAGTGCTCTTATTGTCTTGGCCATGGAGGGGGCTTAGTTGACTCCTTATTAAATTATCCTAGGTTCTACTCCCCTAAAGGTGTCACTCCAGCGTTTAACTATTTCTCATGAGGAGATGGCGCGTTATTTTAGGGAGTTTCCAGTTCTTTACTCTGACTTCGTGGGTTAGAAAGTTAGGGAGACTGTAGACACTCATTAGGAGGGTCTAATTAATGGTTCCCTTTAACTTATTAATCATGACAATACCCCCCTTATCATTCTGTTTCCCTTATTGAATGCCGACATCGACAATTTGCCAAAGATTTGTCAGGCCATTGTAGACATGTATTAATGGGTGACCACCCTTAAGGCTTATAAGGATATGTTGGTTGCTGCCGCCGCTGCAGAGAAAGAGGAGGAGGAGGATCTATAAAGGGAGTATCTTCTATATATAAAGAAGTATTATTGTGAGGAGTGATTAGCGTCCACGTCCTAGGGTGTTATTATTAGCTCTTTATAGCTAGTCTCTTTTTTTTAGTGAACTCTATAATGAATTCCTTCTTAGTATCTTTTAGTGCTCTTTAAGGGGTGATCTCTTTATCCCTCATTTATATAATTAAGTGTAGGCCTTTTCTATTATTCCTGCCTTCTTACCTTATCTCATAATTAATTAGACGACTACTGTGAATAGTCCGTCAAAATTAATGCTGTTCCGGGCGTTGGCGTCCTGTGGTCTAGGGTTAGTCTTTTAGTTGTCCCTATTACTATAGTTGTCTTTAGACATATTATTGTTAGATGTTGTTTTCTTAGATGCCTCCTATTTAGAGGTGCTCTCTAAGGAGATTAATATCATCCTTTATTGGTCCCTTTATTGTCGGGTTACTATCTTTATTAGGGGGTTTTATTTCTTTTATTATGCCTTCCGCTAAGCCTTTTTAATTATATGCTCTATAATGGCATTATCATTAATATCTTCGCTAACCTCTCCCCCCCCTATTCTTAAGTATTCCCCTAAATGCTCTATTATCTGTCGTCTCTCTACCGCCACCCACTCTTTCTTCATAATTATTAATAACTCTCTATAGGAGGGCGGCAGCGGTTCCTATTCCTTTAGGATTTTCCTTACTTTAATTAAGTGCTGAAGTATAATACCCCACTGGTG